TCGTCCGTCTGGCCAAATGGCTAGAGACAGCAGAGTTGCAAAAGAAAGGTCGGTGGAGCTTACACCGAACGCAGGGTCCGATTCGATGGAGCATTCACAACCCACCACACGTGGAGAGTGATTTTCGGGCAATGTCCAGTCGGATCCTCCTCCCACCTTTCAGACGTGAGCTTGCGCACAAGAAAATCCAGAGTGGCCCGTGCTTCATTGCCAACCAGGGTTAGCCGTTTATCAGAGATTACCTCATCAAGGCGCGCTCCGGCGCTCCGGGATCCGATCGCCTACTTCCTCGTCAGTTACCGCAATTGTTGGCTAGAACCATCCATGCTCTGAACGAGATGAGAGTGACAGCTTTTCCATGTCAGCACAGTAAATCCTCACCTCTCCTCGATTAGTAAAATCGCCGTCGGCATAAACACAGTATCCGGACGACTGCCTTGCTCGCCCAGCGCAGCCGAGGACATGCTTTCTTTGCTGTGTTGCATCCACCGAGTCGGCGACAGGGTAGGCAGTCCGTACTTTTGAGCCTACGAACCCCCACGTTGGGCACGCTGCCACCTTTGACAAGGGCCAACTGGCGGCTCTCGCCAGCCATCAACTCATGCCGACAGCCGGGTTGGAAGATCTGTTTTGCCGGAGAGTCATTGTGCCCAAGAATTCCAGAGCCTGATCCGCAAGTACGAACACAAACTCCCAGAGTGACTTATCATTCACGATGCGTAACTGAGCTATTATGTTCGTTATGCGGGACCTTGCGATGGAGTTCTCTGTTCTCGCTCACCCCGCATCACTACAGCGGGGAAAAGTTAGCTCTCAACCAAACAGTTCATCCTTCGATGCAACTTTCATAAGTCCAAGCCTCCAGATGATGCAGCTGGCTAACAAGTACATGGTTAGCTTATCGAGCAGTATTCTAGAACGTCTGTTTGGAACGGGGTTGGGTCGCCCGTAGACCGCCTTTTGTCTGAGGGATATACGGATGACTGGGCGCAGCTGCCACCGCACCTTGAGACTTTGCCGCTCAATCTGCCGCATGACATGGCAGGTTGCGCCGGTGTAGGTGAGATGAAGAGAGATCTCTGAGCTCCGGACGACCCGTAGCTCAAGACTCCCAATTCCAGAGCCCGGCACCGGAGAAGCCCCGAGAAGGCCCTCTAATGAGTTAAGCGCAAGTTATGGGCTGCACACCTAGGTAAGACGGGCGACTACGGAGATTGGTAGATTTCAGTCCGTCGCATGCCGCCCTTTGCTCTCTTGGTTAATAGCTTCGAGGCAATCATCACGAAGCAATTTATGTCGATCTCAACGGCATTGCCACCACTGTAGGAAAAAGCACCATTGATTGGCACTTTGCTTGCACTCTGTTCTCGTTCTCACTCAAGGTGCGAAGTAGGCTTGTTGTGCAGTCAAAGTTTATAGGTCTCGGCATTGTTGCACTTGGTTGGCACATGATGACGGGAAGGCAGATCTTTCATCGTTCAACTCAGTTAGCATCTTTGTTCCCCTTGCTCCTGTTCACCCGTCTTCTCATTGAGAGGGTGAGCCTAGCAGTATCTGTTTGAAACAGCCAGCCCGATGAAACTCCTTTTGTCCTACACACATGCTTCATCTGATGGACGGGCGGAGCGCCACAACTTGGAAACGCAGCCACAGCTGGCTTGATCTTTATCAGGGCATGGCATGCTTCACATTGAAGCTGTTCCGAAGCCGTAGACTAGCCAGAGGGTCACGAATTACGAGTAGGCCGATTGCGATGACTCGATCCACACCAAAACAGATTTTAGGGTGTTAATCCGGGCAGAGGAAAAGGCAGGAAGGTAGTCTAGGTATCACCACCGACCTTAGCTAGAGGACGAACTAAAAGCCGGGCAATCAATGATCGATGGTTCCAAGCAGGTACTGGAGCACAAAGATATGCTTCCAGGTCCATCGTGGAATGTTGTGACAAGGCTATCGATTGAGCCGCATAAAGTTCGAGAAAAAAGTTTGATAAGGCCCGGAAGGATCGGCGTAAACAGCTTGCTGTATCTCCATCGATGAACGCTGTTCGGCGCTCACCTTATGTCGAAGCTGGATTGTTGCTGGGGCCTAGGGTTGGACACAGAAATGACGTAGTGGAAGAGGTCAGACCCTCGGCACTTCCGCTTCGGCCGGTCCTCACCGTGCCGCACCTGCTTCCCTACTGGTGGGCTTTCTTGTTCGATGTGTAGACACAGACTTTTGTCTTTTTGGGCGAAAAACTTGACTCCGACTTGTTGATAATTTCCCGGCCCTGAAATAGAAACTGTTTGAGCGAATTTCCATCGTAAGGTCCGATTGAATCCGGCCCGGCGACATCTCCAAAATCTTGGAAGCATCGAAGCAAGACTTGAGCGCCATTAAAATCTATGTATATCATCAGGCAGTGTTGACGTTAGTATCAGCAGAAGGGCAACGTTGTGCAAGTGCCACAGCGCCCTGGATGCATCACTGTGCGATAGAGTAACAAACAAATGGCTCGTTTGCCCCATCATCCCGTCTTTGTTGAACAGCGAGCCTCCATCTTGGGTCCACATGCTCATAAGTTTCTTTTCTTGGGGACCCTTACACGCTCTCTGGCGACCTAAGACGAGAGCGAGAGAGCGAGGAGAGATGAGTTTGTTACGCTCGCTGACTCTGTGGCAAATATAACGCTTTTATTGTTGCCAAGCATATCTAGCCAGGACATCGGGATCATGGTTTTGCTGCCACCGAAGGTTTGGGAGTACGCGAAAATGGGTGCATTGGAGGGTTGAACAAAAACGCCTTCTTAGAGGCAGTTGTTTTATGGAGTACAAGGATGGCCCAGATTGGGAGAAAGCAACATTAAGCAAAACCAAATTGACTACACGTTCTACACTTCACGACCTTGGTTGTCATCACTGTGCGTTTGTGTCCGTGCGATTTCCAAACCTCCATCATTCGCTCTCCGGTCAGTGTTGGAGTCGGAAATGCGATGTAAGCTCAGGTCGGTTGCTCTTCAAGCTACCTTAAGCTGGGGGAATTTGCCGTTTGAGCGTGCAACATCAGACTGACAGATTTGGGAACAAAACGTTGGTGCGGTAGACAAAAAGGCAGTGGAAATGGACGAAAGGAAGAGAGCGAAGTATACGACGCCAGGCCGTCCGTTAACTACGCCCGTTGAATTTCTTTTATATATCAGGTATCTAACGGTTAACAACGGTCAAGCATCTTATTAACCAACTAGAGAGCAAGTCGCCAACTGTGAGTACGTGGTTGGCGGTTTGCGCTTGCAACGGTCAGGCGCGCTTCATATTACTTGGACATGACAGAGATACCTCTGAGCGAAGGAGAGATGGTTGACAACAGCAGCAGTGAAAGACAGCAACATTATCCAATTGCCACCCAATTGCCTCCCAAACGCTCAATTACAGGCCTTCCTCCTGGCCACTGGTCTTTTACGCTACCCTACATACTGCCTACTGTAGTTTGCGCCCGTGCAATGTGCTAAGTGCGTGTTCAATGCTTCAGCGGTTGCTCCGTGAAGCTGGCCGGTAAGCCATGTTGGGCGAAAGCGCGGTGCCGGCTGGAGCTCACAAAAGACCCGGAGGCACCGCCAGAAAATCCCGCAGACAAGGTTCCTGACTGTGTACCTTGGCATTGAGCGACAGTAAGGTACCGACCTCCCGCGCAAAATGCGGGCTGCACCGCGCCTGCAGGTGGGGTGCGGTACGCGCTCGGGTTACGCGGTCGATGTACAGCCCAAGTACCCCACCCTTGATTGCGACCTGCACCCGTGAGCCCCACCTGATCTGGGGCCTGTCGACAAGGGTAGCTGAGCTGGCTGGACCCCCACCTCCCAAAATGCTTTGGTCTCGTCACGTCGATTCCCAGGCCGGCACGGTGCGAATTGTGGGGGGAGTAAAACCGCCGACGTCCCAAACAGCGAGCGGACAACCGTGGCAGGTGGTTGGCGGTGGGATATGACACTGTGTGAGAACTGTGTTCTGCACGTGGAGACACTAGACTCGCCATCAGCGGCGGCGGCTCTTCGTGCTGGACGCTGGCCTGCTAATTGACGGTGCAGCGAACGGAGGTCCTCAGCTCCACGGGCAACCTTGTCCAGAACAGGGAAGGGGAGCCAAGGTTGGCAGGATTGGCAAGGTAGGCATGGTTCGCTTGCGATGGCTTGCGATGGGCTTGGGATGGGGCTACGTACAGAGAGTACCATCCGCTGCCGCGGCGACAGCAGCAAAGGCGCAGGTACCTCCGTAGCGGCAGAGTAGCAGCAGGTACTGGACTGGAGCTCTGGAAATGGACAGGACTGGCGACTGGCCGACGCCTGGCAGGGAATAGCAAGGAAGCCGCAAGTTGCGCAAAGCGGCAGAGTGACCACAGTGATTAGAGTTTTGCTAACGGACCGGCACGGATTGCTCAATTGCTCAATGGCCGGGTGCTTCCAAACGCTCATGGGCTCATGGGTTTGTGGGCGGTTCTCGGACTGCGGGATTGCGCGAAAAGATTGAAATACGTCGGCCGCCCCCCATCTGATCCCTCTCTCTTTCCTCTCTTTTCTCCTTTACGCACGAAGGTCCTTTGCAAAACTCCCTTCGACGTGTGAGGTCTCGCTTCTCTCCTCGAGTCCACTCTCCTCTCTTCCACTTTCATCCCTTCTCATCATCGTCCCGCACCGGGATTTTGGGGAACGGGTACCGCCAATCCATTCGCCCTTCTCCCACTTTCCACGCTTCCTACACCCACACACACACACAAAAAAAACCCCAAAGCAACCTCTGATTCTGCGCGTGTGTCCGACACCTGGCTGGTTCTCGCTCGGATCCCAGAGAGCCAACACATAACCCCGCCATTTTTGCGCGCGAACGCGTGCCGTTCGCACCTCACCCTCACCTTTAATTATTGTCGCGCGCCCGGCTCTGAGCGCACATAACCAACTGTTTCCCCATCGATACCCCTAATTCAAGCCTTGCGCAGAGCTTCTTCTGCCGCAATCGATTTCCATAATGGCCGACCATCCTGCCGGCGGCGCCCCGGCGCTGTCGACCAACATCGAGAGCGGCAAGTTTGATGAGAAGGAAGTTATTCGCCCCAAGCACGTTGCGAAGGAAGAGGAGGAGGACGAGGACATTGATGCCCTCATCGAGGACTTGGAGAGTAATGATGGCCATGGTGCTGTAAGTACCAATTGATTGCTACGCTCTACCCTGACCTACCCTGCCTGCTGCCCAGCAGACCGAGCGACCAGCGCATCACTGCATCAACGCAGCGCATGCGTCTGAGCCAGGAGACTGCTGTGCGATGTCTGGACCGCTTGTCCTTCTGCCGCGGACCAATGCTAACGACTCGTTGCTATAGTTTGAGGAGGAGGAAGAGGTCCAGCCCGGCGGTTTCCGCGTTGTCCCGGAGGAGCTGCTCCAAACCGACACCCGCGTCGGTCTGACCTCCGAGGAGGTCATCCAGCGCCGCCGGAAATATGGCCTCAATCAAATGAAGTACGTGTTGAACAAGCACTTTTCCGCGACTGCTGAACCTGCTGAGCCGAAGTCGTCGTCATCGTGATCAGCGACGCGTCGACTGCAGCTTGGTGATGCAGTGTAATCCATCAATTGGGGATGTGCTAACACCAGTTGTAGGGAGGAGAAGGAGAACCTGGTTCTCAAGTTCTTCGGCTTCTTCGTCGGTCCTATCCAGTTCGTCATGGAGGTACGTAATGATCTTCACGGTGCCTGCAGCTCGGGACTTCACCTGAAACGAAACAATCCCCACTTGCCGTCGAAACATGCTAACATGCATTTTCTCCCCACTAGGCTGCCGCTGTTCGTACGTAGCACTCCGCCCTGACCATTTTCACCCCCAAGTCCCCCAGCTTTTACACATTGAGCTTCCCTCGTGGACGTCACGCTGAGCTGCATAGCAATGGCGTTGCTGTCGCATGCGGGCTGACAGACTCTTGATGTCCTGGTTAGGACGCCAAGAGTCTGGCGCTGACTCCACATCACCAACCAATCAATGAAACTAATTCATCACACACCGACCGCTGGATGTTGGTATTCCGCTAACTGCTTGTCTCTAGTGGCTGCCGGTCTTGAGGACTGGGTCGATTTCGGTGTTATCTGTGGTCTGCTGCTGCTCAACGCTGTTGTCGGTTTCGTTCAGGAGTACCAGGCTGGTTCTATCGTCGACGAGCTCAAGAAGTAGGTCGACACTTTATCATTGCGATGGTTGATCATGAGCTAATCCGATTGCTAGAACTCTGGCCCTGAAGGCTGTCGTTCTGCGTGATGGCACTCTCAAAGAGATTGAGGCACCCGAAGTCGTCCCCGGTGATATCCTCCAGGTTGAGGAGGGTACCATCATCCCCGCTGATGGTCGCATCGTCACCGATGGTGCTTTCCTCCAGGTCGACCAGTCTGCCATCACGGGCGAGTCTCTCGCCGTTGAGAAGCGCAAGGGTGACCAATGCTACGCCTCGTCTGCTGTCAAGCGTGGTGAAGCTTTCCTCGTCGTCACAGCCACTGGTGACAACACCTTCGTTGGCCGTGCTGCTGCCCTCGTCAGCGCCGCCAGCGCCGGCAGCGGTCACTTCACGGAGGTGCTCAACGGCATCGGCACCATCCTGCTGGTCCTTGTCATTCTGACCCTCCTGGTCGTCTGGATTGCCAGCTTTTACCGTTCTAACCCGATTGTCATGATCCTCGAGTTCACTCTCGCCATTACCATCGTCGGTGTCCCTGTCGGTCTCCCTGCCGTCGTCACCACCACCATGGCCGTCGGTGCTGCCTACCTCGCCAAGAAGAAGGCCATCGTCCAGAAGCTCTCTGCCATCGAATCTCTGGCTGGTGTTGAGATCCTCTGCTCTGACAAGACTGGTACCCTCACCAAGAACAAGCTCTCTCTCAACGAGCCCTACACCGTCGCCGGCGTTGACCCCGAGGACCTCATGCTCACTGCCTGCTTGGCCGCTTCCCGCAAGAAGAAGGGTCTTGATGCCATCGACAAGGCTTTCCTCAAGTCTCTGAAGCACTACCCCCGCGCCAAGAGCGTCCTCAACAAGTACAAGGTCATCGAGTTCCACCCCTTCGACCCTGTCTCCAAGAAGGTCGTTGCCGTCGTCGAGTCCCCTCAGGGTGAGCGCATCATCTGCGTGAAGGGTGCGCCTCTCTTCGTTCTCAAAACTGTCGAGGAGGATCACCCCATCCCGGAGGAGGTTGACCAGGCCTACAAGAACAAGGTGGCCGAGTTCGCTTCTCGTGGCTTCCGTTCTCTGGGTGTTGCCCGCAAGCGTGGGGAGGGCCAGTGGGAGATCTTGGGTATCATGCCCTGCTTCGACCCTCCGCGCCACGACACTGCCCGTACCGTCAACGAGGCCAAGTCTCTCGGTCTGTCCATCAAGATGCTTACTGGTGATGCCGTCGGCATTGCTCGTGAGACTGCCCGCCAGCTTGGTCTCGGTACCAACATTTACAACGCTGAGCGTCTGGGTCTCGGCGGTGGCGGTGACATGCCTGGCTCTGAGGTCTACGACTTCGTCGAGGCTGCTGATGGTTTCGCCGAGGTGTTCCCCCAGCACAAGTACAACGTCGTCGAGATTCTGCAGCAGCGTGGCTACCTGGTTGCCATGACTGGTGACGGTGTCAACGATGCTCCCTCTCTCAAGAAGGCCGATACTGGTATTGCTGTCGAGGGTGCTTCCGATGCTGCTCGCTCTGCTGCTGATATCGTCTTCCTCGCCCCTGGTCTTGGTGCCATCATTGATGCCTTGAAGACTTCTCGTCAGATTTTCCACCGCATGTACGCCTATGTCGTCTACCGTATCGCTCTGTCGATCCACCTCGAGATCTATCTCGGCTTGTGGATTGCCATTCTTAACCGGAGCTTGAACATTGAGCTGGTCGTCTTCATCGCCATCTTTGCCGACGTTGCCACTCTGGCTATTGCCTATGACAACGCTCCCTACAGCAAGACGCCCGTGAAGTGGAACCTTCCCAAGCTTTGGGGCATGTCGGTCCTGCTCGGCATCGTCCTCGCCATCGGCACCTGGATTACTGTCACGACTATGTACGCTCATCCCAATGGTGGTATCATCCAGAACTTCGGTAATATGGATGAGGTCGTCTTCCTTGAGGTCTCGCTCACCGAGAACTGGCTCATCTTCATCACTCGGTATGTTACTCCCGTCGCTCTCTGTTTAAATGATATTACTCTGGCTTTTTGCTAATACGAATTTCAGTGCCAATGGTCCCTTCTGGTCGTCGATTCCCTCTTGGGAGCTGTCTGGCGCCGTGCTCATTGTCGACATCATCGCCACTCTGTTCTGCATTTTCGGCTGGTTCGAGCACGGCCACCAGACCTCCATTGTCGCTGTCGTCCGTACTTGGATCTTCTCGTTCGGCATCTTCTGCGTCATGGGCGGTCTCTACTACATCCTGCAGGGCAGCACTGGTTTCGACAACCTCATGCACGGCAAGTCGCTCAGGGGCAGCCAGAAGCAGAGGTCCCTGGAGGACTTTGTCGTTTCTCTGCAGCGCGTCTCGACCCAGCACGAGAAGTCGCAGTAAGCGGCTCGCGCTCTCCATCACTTGCGACTGCGCTTGGGCTTGGGTTGTGGACCGGATCCGGGCAGAGCTGTGTATGCAGTCGTGTCGCTAGTATCTAACCTAATATGAGCCGGGACCAAAACCTGGCGGTGCTGGTTTTAAAAGGACACATGCTTGCCCCTACCCCAACCGGCTTTTTAACCCCTTATCCTAAGCGCAACATAGTTTTCATTCGAGAGCAGCAAGACTGCGCCTGTTTTTTTGGGCAGCAGCACCAGCGAAGACTCGGCTGCGGGATTTGTCATTGAGGTGACAAGCGGGTCGGCCGATGATATGATATGAACAGAACGGATGGATTGGGGGAAGGCCTTACCTGCTTGTCGGGCGTGTTTGCTTTTCCTCCTCCTCTGAAGTGTTTATTTTTCGTTTTCTTTGTGCAGAGTGGGGGTCTTTAATCAAGGGCTTTTCCATCTCTCACGTCGAGGGGCTAGGTAGATTCACCCCGATTTTCTTAGGACAATCTAATAAAACAGTAAAATAATCCGTGGTCGCTCTGCTATGTGATCGATGATGTGTATGACGCCTATGAGTGTGTAGGTAGTAGTATCTAATAGATTTTAAATGGCTAACATATTATGTAGGGAACATAATAGAAGATAATGTCTTGCCAGTGCTATATGTGGGAAAAATACGACCAAGCAAAGCAGACAAACGCAGTCAATCGGGTCCAAATTTCTTCTACTTGTGCCCCGGTATTGTGGGCTAGAGTCTATCCTTAGCGCCACCAAACCAGCGTTATATCAGGTTTTACACTTAAGCTTGTTGACTTCCTTGTCTAAAGTGTTTGTGAGGCACAGTGCATGAGGTGTCGGGACACATTGGTCTTTTAGGTTCTTCCTCCAGGTTATCACGTGACCTGTTGTTTCATGCTGGGTCCCCAGAAAGATAGAAGTACATGCACAGTTGATCGTTAACTGGTCAGCATTTTGTTCAAACTCAAATGAAAACAGGATGCAGATTACGTATTTTCATGTAAGAAAGATTATATCAAAATGGGTTTGGACTCCTTTGTCCCAGACGTACAGATTTCACACTGCTGCATCCGGGGTGACTCTGGCTTTGTTGATCGGACAGCGCTATTCTTTTACGGTGCACGGGCCCTTGCCAATTACATCCTGCCTTCCTTTCCTTACTTGGTTTTGGGCTCAACGGTCAACACTGGTCGACTTAAACTTTTCCTCTTAAACTTTCACAACACAACAAGCGCTGTGTAAGGTCTGCTTACATCCTACGAATCACTAATCACCCCACTGCCATTGAATAGCTGGTTGCTGCACTTGGCATGAGAAGTGCATGCTGATGCCTGATTTCAAGTAGTGAAGGAAAAAAGCGTTTGAGCAGGTCGGCTTTCCACATAAAACACAGCCCCTCATCGCTCATCTTCACTTCTTCACTCTCATCACAACAAATCATACCAGTTCCATACTTCTCTTGCTATCACGGGACACGTTCAGCTTGGCCAGCTGCAACATTAAAAGCCCATCAAATGCCTCCTCTCGAGATACCTGGTCACTATTACGGTTTGTACTAGAACCTCAGGCATGATCACTTTGGCTTAGCATCCATCACTCACACCCGACTTATCACAGACCCCGAGAAACAGCGATACTTTCGCATTGAGTCGTCACGAACTGCACCCGAATGGGCAGCTTGGTCTGAACGCAATGTTAAGCGCCAGCGGCGGCAAGCCGAAGAGACGGAAAAGGCAAAGCGTCGCAAGCAGGCCTGGGAGCGCGCCCGAGGCATAAAGAGATCAGTTCTGTGTGTGAAGACTACCACAGCAAACCTTCTCAGGCGACCCTCAATTGCCCCGGATATTGCAGGTGGTTCACCTGCTTTTAACAGCTCCCCTGTTGTTGTTTCTGGCTCCCTTGCAGCCGGGCTGCTTGCTCGGGAAACAGGCATAGCACGATGTCGTCCTGTTGGTGGTCTTGTTGGCGAGCGTGGAAGTACCTGTGGTGAAGGTGAAGTTGGAGATATCCTGCTCCATTCCTGGGTCGGAGGGTTCAAGCAAAAGGGATCAGTCCAGTTTCTTGGGGACGCGACAATCTCATCGATGTGGGTGGATAGCGGATCCAGCTTTACCCAGGAAGTGCCTGGCGGTATGCCAGCTGTGTTCGCTATAAGGATGGGTCACCGTCTAGCAGAGTCGTGGATCCCAACCAATGAAGAAGAGACGTAAGTCATATACGCCTTTATCCTTTCGAAGAATTACCCATATGGACCTTTCTAACCAAACACAGGATCGACATCCTGATTACCGAGAAATTCCGTGGTCTTAATTCAGTGCCTACATATCACATTGGAGGATTTTATCTTCCGTTAGGACCTATGGACTTCCACAAGCCAAGCGGCAAGTTGTTGATGGCCTGTTCGCACCAGTGGCTTGCATTCTTCGCTCCTAGCGCACTCCATACAAGTGAGCCTGTTCCTCAGCCCGGCTTTACAAGGCTTTTTTTTTTTCAGGCATCCCCTTGAAAGTTTGTTGCACAAAGACTGATTTGCTTGTTAGATCTTCAGAACACTGGCATCCCTCCTCAATGGCATATCCCTCCCCCTTCCACCGGAGTTTACATCACTACTCTCCGGGCTGCGCCCCCCAATTCACGTTTGACAGGAATATTGGGCACCAACCGGGGTCTTATCAGCTTCCAGGACGATGAACTTGAGTGGATTAACACCTCATCATCACCGCAGTTGTCAGTGCACCAGAACAACCCCAATGGTCATAGTCGATTCAGGGTGAATAACCCTCCATGGGAACGGGAGATTCTTTCGGTCGACTTCCTTCCCTCTAACTCCTCTGAGGTAGTCCTGGCAGGCACCCGTTCAGGACATATCTGCCTGTTGGACCTTCGGGAACCACTAGTACGGCCGAAAACAATCCGCCACTCCAGTGCGGCAGCCCATGTCAGGGCTGTGGGAGGATACACCATACTTGCGGCAGGGCCCAACCATTCCATGGCTCTTTATGACCTTCGCTTTTCGAAGCTGTTTGCGTCACAGAACCATCAACCTCAGGTTAGCCATACCCTCGGAGGAGCCAAAGGCAAAAACCCAGCCGCCAAGACCTTCCAGAACTGGAACTCAACCCTTCCCATTGTTACTTTCCCCGGATACCGAAACGAGGGCCATATTCACATAGGGCTGGACGTGCTTGACGCGGGTTGTTACAGCTCACATGGGGCGGTGGCAGCTGCCCATGACGACGGCACCGTCGGCGTGTATTCACTACGCGACGGGGCCAGGATGGATTCTCCTGAGGGAGTGGATACTATTCGGGCCCCGGACGTGGTACGGTGCCTTCAGTGGCAGACTCTGGTTGGAGAAAAGCACCCAAGTTTGTTTGTGGGAGAAGGGCCTAAGGTAGTGAAGTATAGTTTCTGGGCTTGATTGAGTCTCTCATGGTTTAACATATAGCGAGGGTATTACACAGTGGGAATAAGGAAAGGCGTTTTAGAGTTCTTGGTGTTGATAACGGGCGTAAAATGGCGCATGGAGGACAACTCGGCACATAGGACTTGTGTGTAAAAATATCCATGGCTCTGTGTGTAGTACAATGCAAAACCGAAAAGGGATAATGTACGTTCATGTAGCAGAACAGAACTTTTGATGACGAACGATGAAGCAGTGGTATCTCAGCCTGTCCAACCATGTCTAGTCCAATCAACCTTCTCATCTCTTCAAATTATATGTTCCCTTCAGGCCTGGGAATGCCCGATCAAACGCCTCCCCAAGAGTCCAGTTATCCAACATTCGCAAATGCTGCTCAAACACAGGATTGATCATCAACTCGTCACCATCCGGGCTGGCCAGCAGCACGAACGTGTCCTCGTACGGCCAGTTGACGCTTAAGGTCGACGTGAAGGGGATGAAAAAGTTGTCGAACGGGAACCCCCCGGGTTCGCGGTCGTATGTCCTTACCAGCCGATCCCGCATCCCGGGGAACGGCAAATGATCCAGCCAGGCCGGGTGTTCGCGCTCGGTTTGTGAGCGACACGGCCGGAACCAGACTGGCAGTCTGGCGTAGTTCTCGGGCGTGGGGGAGACCTGCCAACGCATGAAGAGGAACATGAGATAGAGTACGGCGACGCGCTCCGGGAGGGTGTGGATGTCGGGGAAGCGGGCGAGGATGTCAGTAAAGACTTTGGAGAGGGGATGAGAGTATACTGAGACGGCAGGGTTAAGGAGGGATGAGACGGATGGATAGCGTGGACCGACTATTTCATGGTGTGGTAGACCCTCGGCGGCGCGCTGACGGCGCTCGGCGAGGAAGTCGAGGAGGAGAGAGTCGAGAGGGCAGGTTGGGGCGCAGTTCTTAGGTAGGAGGTTGTAAAAGGCCAGGTCGGTTACATCTGTTGTGGCAGGCGGATACGGAGCTGAAGGAAGAGCCGTCGGTATGGCATGGCTGCCCGCTTCTTGTTGTGCAGGAGCATAGAGGTGTGTCGGCGGTCCTTGCGAGACCGCCGATATGGCTGGCATGTTTGAGGTAGCGGTCCAGTCGTGCTTCATGGGCACGTGGCGATATTTTGGCGAGTCTTGGGCACCGTTGACACCGCTTTGGATGCGGGCAATTTTGTGCTTGCTATCTGGAGCAAGCAGGAAGTCGAGAGGGAGTCTGTCAGAGCCAAGTTCCAGGCCGTGAGGGACGGGTCCGCACCGCTGCTGTTGGTCCTGCATCTCGAGGGGCACTAGCTGGGCCTGTGGTGGTGCAGGCTGCGTCTGGGCGTCCACGCTGACCGAGGTTGTCACGGGCGATAAACTGTCATGCCATCTGCCATGGGTGCTCGCGGAAACAGGAGAAGCGACGCTTGTGGGTGTTGATGAGACCGGATTAACCGACACGATCGAGCTCAATGGTTGTGCCGGAGGAGCAGCCTGGACTGCTACTGGCGAGGTGGCAGACGGAGACTCGGCAGCTATCTTCTTTCTCAGCAAAACCTACTTCTCACAACACAAGCGGCACCGACAGCAAAGGCGCAAGTAGATTAGGCAACAAGAGGGCAAATCATACCAGTAGGGCCGCCTACGGCCCCTACCACAGGTGCAGCACCCAAAATGGGTTGGATCATGGCTAGGATGGCATGAAGGCAGCGCTTGACTTCGGCTAGCTCAGCCTCCACAGCCTCCTTTTGCTGCAGAGCGGCCTGTAGTTTCCTGTAAGGCTCCTGGGACTTGAGCTCTCGAATCTCACGCTCATATTGTTCAGTCCGCAACCGTTGACGCTCACGTATCGCACGTTGGGCCTCACGGTCTAATACACAGTTAGATGTAGAGCTCAACCTACATGTGCATGTCTACATAGGGTTGATGGTACTGACCATTAGCTCGTTTTCGAGCAAGCTGTTCGGGAGTCAAGTTGGCCACGCCTCGTGATCCAGGGCCAGACTTGCGCTTCTTGGGAGGAGCGGCAGGGCCATTACCAGTCGGAGCATTGCCTACGGTAGCAGTACCATTGATCGGAGGGGCGCTGTTGCTTGACTGTGTCTCTGATGCTGGGATTGGGGCTACAGCCAGGATTGATGCTGAGGTTGTCGGGGAAGTGTTTACAACTGTTGGACCCCCGAACGAAGCTGCATTGAGAACGGATGTTGCGGCTGAGCCTCTCAAATCTGGCTGTTGATGTAGCCGCTGGGGCTGGGGCTGGGGCTGCTGTTGCCGTTGATGTTGTTGTTGTTGCTGCTGCCGTTGTCCCTGTGCTTGTGGTTGCTGCTGATAATGGTGCTGTTGATGGGAATAGCGTGGGTCGACCGGCGCTGACGATGCCGGAGGCGAGTAGGGAGTTGCTCCTGGGTTTGCCGAAATAGTCGGGTTTTGAAGACCAGTGGTTCCTCCAACCGCCGAGGCCGCTCCGGGATGAAAAGGGTGACCGGTGCCATAGTTTGATGTTGCTGTTGGTGCTGCTCCCGGCCCGTTGAGATCAGCATTGATGTCGCCAACTCCAGCCCCTACCCCATAGCCAGGAGCAATCCCTCCGGGGGCTGCGGGGACGGAAGCTGCTCCGTGGGCCAACGGGCTAATGCCGGTAGTTGCATCGTCAGGAGGGATGGGAACTGTCGCATTGGGATTGATGCTCGCAGAACTGCCACTACCAGTAGGGGCTACACCAACCAGCAGGGAGGGGGAATCCATGGACGCGCGAGCCAGACAGACACAGACGTATGAATGAGATACCCGGTGCAGTCGCTCAAGCAGGTACGGACGCAAGAACGGAACTGTTGCTGTTTGTGGATGACCCGCTGCAGGAGCATGCAAGCTCTCTTCCTCCTCCCTCCCGCTTGCTACTGCAACTACTGCTACAAACAACTACAACCACAACTTCTACCGCTCCTTAGCTGCCTACACGCACACTAACAGCTACTCCTGGGCGGCCACTGTTAATATGTGCCTTCCGTACAGGATGTGACTGCGTAGCAGCGGTATAGTAGTAGCAGAAAGCAGCAGGAGTGGTATAGCGTGGCAGCAGAGCGCAGTAACTCGCTGATAGCGTGTGGAGGAATCCCCAATCCTGGAATTCTAGCTGTGAGCGATCCTCTCTGCACGGCTTCCCCTCACCCACACCACAGAGTACAAACAGTCACTTAGTACAATCCGGTTGCTGTCGCTGTCTCGCGGACCACTTGGTGACGACCAAGAGACCCAGCTGCGAGCGACGTGCGGAGATTGGAGAGATTGGAGAAGCGACCCCGACCCTTCTTTGGATTGGGGAACCCTGGCTCTCCTCAATTTGGAGCTAACGCCAGCTCGGACTGGGTCAGCGGTCAGCGAGTTTTGCGATGCGAATGGAGCAGTGGGAATGTCGAGGACCGCGCGCGAGTGCCGGCGGATAGATTTAGTGAAGCGGAGAACAGGTGAAAGCGACACGGCTTGCGGGCATCCAGAAAGGCAATACGAATCAGTGGGCAAACTGCCAGCAAATACCACCGAGTCATGTGTGGGGTGGAAGAAGAGTGGCGAAAAACAAAAACGCGGCGCGTGGGAGCCAGACCAGCTGGAGCTTACGGTTGTTTGGTATGCTTGGTGCGTTGAGCGTGTTGGGAGAAAATCCCCACCGTTTTTTCTTCTCCATCCAGCAGCTTGCGGCCGACCAGATAGCGGTTGGCAAGCGTCGTTCGGCTGTGTCGGCTCGCTTTTCACACACGACTTGACTGCGATTCAAGCCAGCGCACTACTTAGCTAGTTCGAGCTCAGAGAGAGGGGGAGAGATCTGTCATCGTCCAGGCTCGATAGGGCCTAGAGACTGTTGATGCATGAAAAGAGAGAAAAGAGACAGAAAGCACACCATCTTTCTTTATGTATGGAGGTAGACGATCAGAATTACACGGGTGAACATCCGTCACTTTCCCCAGAGCCTGATTGATACTTGAACAGAATCTTGAGCTACACAATCCCAAAGGCATCTCAGACATATCTAATGTGTACGTTCTCAACCCGCATCCTCTCTTCCGCCATAGGTAACTATTAGACGAGAAGCAATTAATGCCAGGCCCCAGATAGCCGCTTAATCGGCGCTTGCCCTGGCCAGCGCCTCGTGAAGATGCGGCGGCAACCGGTAGCGCAACTGGCTGGTGTACGCCATTAGGTCGACCGTCATTTGCTTGAGCTCGTCCATCATGAGGCGAGCAGTAGACTCGTTGCCAGCAAACTGCCCTCCGGCTAGCCGCTCGCGCTGCCTCATGCAGCAGAGTACTGTCCACATGAGCAGGTTGGGCACGTTGATGGCCACGGGCTGTGCCAGCGACGGGAACCGTGCCGCATAGCTGCGAATCGTGCCCGGATCGCCACGAGCCGTGAGAGGGAGGATGTCCAGGGCGCGGATTTTCTATATGAAATTGGCATCACCATCAGCATCAGCTGGTCGCGAAAGACAGTTAAGGAGAAGGAAGGGAATAGGTACTCACATCCAAACACTCTGCCCACCGGCCCTGTTCTACCAGACTCTTGATATCGGCCATTTGCAGAAGAACAGAGCACGCCACACGATTAGGCTCGCGAATTTTTTGCCAGAACATATGGTCTCTCTCATACATGCCCATCATGGCCTTAGCCAGCTCGACCGGATCGTCGATCGCAGCCAGGCTCAGGCTGCTGCCAGGCGCGGCTTCCTCCACCTGGCCCTCGGCGTTTGTAACTCTCGGTTTCACCGGTATTAACCGCATGGGGTCCTCGCCAATCTCCAGCGATATGGCCTCGCTGAGAGCACGGCTAACGATCGATACGACTGTGTCATAGTCCTCGGCCAGATGGTACAGCAACACGGCGTCGGTGGTGCGACCGTTGTCATCGGCGAAGCTAGCCGCCTGCAGGGTGATGGTGCGGATGAAATCATCCTCCTGGCCGAGGGCAATGAGCGGCCCGCGTTCCTCAATGACACCGCGGATGCGACGGCCGTCAGGCCGGATGTCGCCAATCAGACGACTGAACTCGCGAGACTCCAGGACCAGCTCGCGCAGGGCCTCATGGCACAATGCCGCCTGCGCTTGTTGGCCGCCGGCAGCTTCGTCGGCGTTGAGACAGATCAACACCAGATAGTCCACGGCGGCAGCTGGGTTGGCTGCGCGGAAGTCGCGCGTGTAGTAACCGAGCATACGGCCAAAGTTGATCTGTGGCATTGACCGGGTGTTGTGCGATAACAGCTCGTTCCCAGCAGACGCCGCATCCACCGGACGTAGCAGGCCGTAGTACGTGAGAGCGATGGCGAAATGGACTGCATCAACATACGAGAAGGGGTAAAGGTAGGCGATGGCCTGCTCGAACATGCCCGCAAGGATCTGCAGGTAAAAAAACATGCCGAAGCTTCCATTAGTATCCTCGGCAGCCGTTTTGGGGAAGTGCTTCAGGCCAATCTCGCGAATGCTGGCCTGCAGCTCGGCCAGTCCGTAAGACTCGCCGGCCAGCTCGAGCGAACGATCCGTCTCGCGCGCAAGGTTGAACTGGAGCCAAATCCAGTCGTTGACATCGGTCTGCAGGCCGTCCAGACTGCGATTGCTCAGGTCGCAGCGACCGATGATCTTGTAACATGCCATACGGAACGGATCGATAGACCCCTCGGGCGCGTTGCGGATGCGCTGATTGTACTCGCTCATGCATCGGTCCTGCATCTGCCGCTTGAGCCGGCGCTCCTCGCTCGACGCGTAGCTATTGATGTAGCCCGAGAAGGTCCGGTCAATTGCTCGGAAGTGTGCCTGGTTGCTATTGACATACTGCGCTGCCTCCGTCACAAACCCAGCACGCAGCAGGTAGAAGACAATTGCCCACACATATTCGCCGTTGATCTGTTGCAACTCCACGTTGTCGGGCACCAGTGTCTTGCGCGCAATGCGCAACCGGATATACGCCTTGATCTTGCTGACCACATCGGGCAAGCCGCCCAAGTTGGCATCTTGGGGATACTTGGCGATAAGCGAGTTGACTTCGTTCCAGAATTGCTTCTCCAGGAACGTGGTAGCGCCCTTGAGGATCTGTTTGCGCATGGCCAACGCGTTGGCGGACTGTGTGTTGGGATCAAGATACATCTTAGCGAACTGACGCTCGCGCGGGGCTTCGCCCGCATCTGGGTGCTCGCCGACCATCTCCATGACAGCCCTGTAGGCCTCAACAATGTGTGGGCCGTGACGGTCGCCAGACTTGGATTCCAAATCGGCCAGATCACGGCAAATGTAGAAAGGTGTTCCTCGTTGTCGGGCATCGTTAAACTCGCGAATCTTTTCGGCCAGCTTAGCCTGCTTCTCCCGAAGGAACCGATCGTCGACCGACGCCACAGCCGCACCGCTGGAATCCTTACGGGCTTCGACATCCGAGAATTCAGGCGCGTGTGCCCCAATCCGTGTCGGCGTGCCAATGACCGAGCGCATCATCGTAGACCTCCCAAGGATGCTCATCCGCTGCGCAGGGCGCTCGCCGGGCGGCGGTTGGCTTGCCTTCCTCCTGGAGCGCCCAAAAGTGCCTTGACCATCCTTAGAAGGAGTAGCCGTCGGTTGGGCTGTGGTTGTGCCTGCGACGCTGCTGTCTCTGGGCTTGATGCCAAAGTGCTGGTAGATGCGCTTGCGTTGGGCCTCCCACTCCAGCGTTACATTCTCTTCCAGGAACGCGTCAAAATCCCGAGCCGACCGCTCCAGTCCATCGGCAATCATGCTCAATGTCGTCTTGGTCTGAAGATTCGACAGATATGTATCAACATCTACCTCGCCGAGTCCAGTCCCGAAGCCAGTGGTGGAAACACCAGAGGGCCCGGCAGCAGGTCCAACGGAAGCGGCAGTCCTCTCGGTCTTGGCCTGGAGCCCAAGAGCACCAAGGTCGCGAACGGCAGCACCGGGGTCGACGCCAGACGCAGCAAGGAAGTAATGAGCCTTCCCGGGTTCGATGGGGCGGTCCGACGACGGGCCCAGCTTCCTAAGGCGTTGACGCAGGTCAGCCAAGCCTAGCTGCAGAGAGGGAAGCTCGCCGAGAGCCGTCTCGCCTTCGGCCTGCTTCTTGTTCCTGGCAAGCAAACTGTCAAACAGTGCACCAGTTGGCGCGGCTTGCTGGTGCTGCTGCCGCTGTTGCTGCTGCTGTTGGGCTTGTTGGTTTGACGTTGCGGCGGTCGTTAGACTGCTGGCTCCGAGCCCTGGCTGGGTTGTGCTGGTGCCGAAGATGCTGTTGCCGGCGGTAAAAAGTGAGGGTCGTGCGGCATTGGCCGTGTTCTGGGTGTTTGCCGTAGTTGAGGTACCAAAGAGAGATGTCCCAAGGCCAGTAGTGGACGTCGGCTGCGTCGTCGATGTCGTCGTGCTGCCCGCAGTCTTTGGCGCGAAAAGAGAGGAGCCGCCTGTGGTCGAGCCGAAGAGACCGCCAGTCGGATTTGCCGAGGTCGTCGGGGAGCTGAACAGCGACGCCTTCGTCGAGGATGGTGGCACGGAAGGGCCATTTCCGATGAGCGACATGGTTGGTGATGATGCGATTTGGCGTCCTGTTACAGTTTGCGCTTGACGTCTCACGGATCGCGAAATATGATTTCTTGATGGCGCTTGAGCAGCAATTGCGCGTGTCCTCGCTTGCTGCGTGCCAGGAGCGCAACGCGTGCCCGAAATGCGCGTTGCAAAGAGTCGGTTGGAGGGACCTGGGTGGGTTGTTTTGGTGTTGATGGTTTGCTTTTTGAAGTTTTGGGCCGCAACTTTTCTGCTGCCCGTTGTTGTTTCCTGGCGCACGCTCCAGTTTGGTTCCCAGGAAACGGAAGGCTTTGAGAGTGCCTTGCAGGAAACAGTGGGGCGTGACAACCCCAGCTCAAGCCTCTTATCTTATCGGAAGCTCGGACCGTACTCAGAGCAAGCTAGCGAGTCGCGACGGAGTCTTCCGTGGGTCTGCTTGGCATCATTTCAGACCTCAGCCCCAACACCCAGAGGATGCTCAGTTGCTCATTTCCTCCTCAAGCCGAACATTATGTGAAAATCCAGGCTCCTTTGTACTTGTATGTTATCCTCTATTCTTACTTATGACTGCATTGAATGATCCTAGTTCCCTCCAAGCTCAGCCTGCTCCAATGTCTCGTCAATCTTCCTCCGGTACTCACGCTGCGTCCGGCACTGATCCAGGAACACCTCGTACTTGGCCTGCAAGAGCTTCTTTTCAGCCTCACTCGCCTTTGAATACACTACGTTTCCCGGCTTGCTCATTCGTGTCATTATGTCCCACAGTGGCTCCGTCTTCCCCTCCGGGCCAGCGCTTCCAGCTTTGGCTCCCAGCATTGCTGCTCCATGGACCACTGCTGCGTTGACATAACGCGGCACTACAACTGGCATCTCGCATGCCGTCGCAATCAGCTCCACCAGCAACTCGTTTTGACACTGACTACCGCTCATGAAGATGCCGCGGATCCCATGACCCGCCTCGTTCATCGTCTGGATGATTTGCTTCGTCTGCAGCGCAATGAACTCCATTGTCGCATAGTATGTGATCGCAAGATTGTCACGGCTTGTGTCGCTGCTAAGGCCTATAATTGCTCCACGCATTGTCGGGTCTGCGATCGGAGACCTGTTGCCCCAGAGGTCACCATAGAAGAAGAGGTGCCTAGCAAGGTAGCCAATGAAAGGTGCCTTGTGGGACGAGGCGAGCTGCCGCAGATGACCGTTGAGAAACTCATAAATGTTTTTGCCGGTTGCCTTGGCATCCTTGAGTGTCTCCTGGTATGAAGGATGTTTCTCGAGCATGTGCTTCAGGAGCTCGCCGGTCGCCGACTGCCCTCCTTCTGCCATCCAAAAGCCCGGGATGACGACGTCTCGATATGGTCCCCATACTCCCGGCACAAACACTGGCTCACGCGACATGGCGAGATGGCAGGTTGATGTCCCTGCAACAGCCGCCAGTCGCGTGAATGCCTGGGAGACGTCGTTGGGTAGAGACTCCTCATCCTTCGGGTCCAGACCCACCCGAGCACCAACGGTGCCTATCCAACCAGCGTAGGCATCGATGACACCACTCCCGACAGGAATACCGGCTGGGAGACCAAAATCCTTTGCTGCCCTTTCTGACAAGCGGCCAACAAGCTCGCCAGCGCTCAGAAATGATCCGTTCTGCCCACAATTCGAGAGTTAGCCACCATTTTCAAGACAGAAAAGAAGACCATGACAGGTTAGTAAGAAGGAAAGGGCTCACCACCCCATCTACACCCCCGATCCGTGCAAACTCTTCTTCAACCAACTCGCCCAAACCCAACGTGCGCCAGAAGTCCTCTTGCCAGCCCTTGATGCTACCATCTATGCCAACAGGAACGTAGCCCTGCTTGCACACCGCACTGCAAAAGCTGCGTGTTTCGGTTCCGGTCGCCATATGTGTCAAAGCATCTGCGAGGTCGTAGAACTTGCATTTTCTGAACAGATCAGGTGGCATGTGCCGCTGCAGCCATAACACTTTGGGTACCTCCATTTCCGGGCTCATTGTGCCGCCAACGTAGCGGAGGAGTGGATGCCTGGTGGCGTTGATTTCTTCGGCTTCGGCGAGCGCTCGATGGTCCAGCCAGAGAATAACGTTGCGGTCGTTGCCATCATTAGCGAAGTCAGGGTAGGTAACAGGAACGGGTTCGTCGGTGTCAGAGGTGAAAACTGCCAGGGAGCAAGTTGCGTCGAAGCCAATTCCCTTGATGCTTGTAGAAGGGACTCGAGAAGTGGAGAGACACGTCCGAATGCACGTTGCGACAGCCCGCCATATGTCAGTGGTAGATTGTTCCTGTCGTTGTATATCCCCTTGGTTAGCAGGATAGAGCGATGACAGTATTTGCTAGCGCAACAACACTTACATAGTGCGTTCCCCCATAGCTTGATGGATGCCAAAGCTTGATATCTTCGCTTGCCAGAGCCTTGATTTCACCCGTTGAGTCGATGATGCAGGCTCGCGCCGAGCCGGTGCCTACATCAACGCCAACGTAATAGCTTTCCGTTTCCTACATGGTGTAAGTAGGAATGCTTTAGCAAAACAGGGGAGATTTACTCAGAAGACTGACCTGGGAAGAGCCCCTGTTTGAATCCCACGGCGAGCTTGTAAGAGGCTAAGGATATCCGACGCTTGTTGTGGCAGGGAGACTTACATTTTGATGATGTCTCTTCTTGACAGGGTTGGGCTTTGTAAACGATTACCTTGATGTTGACGTGGATGAGAAGAGCTCAGTCCTGTGGATGTGAAAGACACCGTGGTGAGGCTGTGACCCTGGAATTTCAGATATAGAGGTTGCGGAGTAAAGGACCTGGGTTAACTGGCTGAAAAGCAGCTCGTGTCGCGAGCAATAACAGCGCCTTCCACCTGAAAATTGACTGGCGAAGGGACGGAGTCTAGTGTTTTGGTCAAAATCACAGGGAACAGAAGATGAGGTAGGATTACTCGTGTTCTACCTATGTCGATGTAGAATTGGATTGTCGAATTCTGGACTCTGCATGATAGCGGGGTACATAAACCTTACGGCGGGGCATCTGGCGTCGTCTAGTTCATCGTTTCGATATATTGCGATTGTCCTGCTACACTTCCAATACTGTAGTTATTTTATTTTTTTGCGCCAAATTTTCATCTGATATGCTCTCATTTGATTGCATTTTCAGAAAAACTGGGAAAGTCAAAAAGAGGATCGAGGAGTTTTCATGGATAAAGTCGACCCTTTCTGTTTACCGCCCAGTGTTGCATGATACGTGTTCTGTTGTTAAATTACATGTATGTTCGATGGCTATGGGATAAATTACACACCAGCGCTTATGGTCAAGCTCCAAAACCTGCATTCCGAGAACTCGGTAGACCGTAGGAAGTCAAGGCAGCAACCGAAAGCTTCATCCCTGCCATGATGAAGTGACATTGAATTGTACCTTGTCAGCATAATTAACTGCTTTTCTCTATTTGGGCTTTGACTGCTACCATCGCGCGGATAACGTGAAGAGAGCTCGGCCTTTCAAAGAGCTGGAGGCGCTGCGTTTTTGGCATACGTAACACATTGCCTAAACACATCCCCTCCCCCATCTCATAAGCATCTCTGCAAACCATGGAGTCCCAAGAAGCAGCAACTCATGAAGAAATATGGGATGACTCAATGCTCATTGAGTCATGGAACCAGGCATTAGAGGAGTATAAGGTATGTCGGTTTGCATGCTGCTTTGTCATCAGCTGGCGACTCACAAGACACAGAAATACCATAGTATTCATGCGAGGGGCTCATTGGAGGACCTTGAAGTACTTGAATGCTCGTAAGAATCCCTCCAGATTCTGTCTCCAAACGTGTTTTGATCGTTTGCGTACGGAAGAAGAAAGCTAACTTGCAATATCAGAGCCCGGCCAAAAGCTAAAGCTGAGAGGAGCAACTATAAAACTTCTGACCAGGAAAAAGTAGGCGAAGAATGGAAGGAAAAAGGCGAAGGCCAGCTCGACGAAGATGAACCGATGGACGAAGAGGGAGTAGGCGACAGCCACGATGATGAAACACAACAGCCAGCAGCCTCACATCCGGTCATTCCGGATGCTCAGGGCTCCGCTGCAGATAAGAAGGTGCGTTCGGCGATGAAACTTGCAGGCTAAGCATCACCGAGGCTTGGCACGAAACAAGATCTTCGTGTCTTTACCCTTCTCATCTTGAGTTGTTTGAACTCGACAACAAGCTGACGAAAAGATCGACCTTGCCAGGAGGACGGACCTCAAGTTTCTGGATCCACCGCGGCCGCTGCACTTGGGCCACAAACCCTCGTTGGAACTGGTATGTACTGCTTAGCAACCGACGTGCCTTATAATTGTCAGATCTCGAGCAGCTGACAAGTCGATAAATTTATAGTTCACGATGATGATCTAAAGAAGCTCTTGATGTCGTGGTATTACGCTGGTAATGTACTTCCTTTGCTTCTGGTAACTAGACTACAGGGCTGTTACTTACATTCGTAGGCTATTATACGGGGTTATACGAGGGGAAGCAGCAGGCTCTTCGGCAGGCCGAGCAAGCTCCCAAAGAAGCTTCTTGAATGTAGATGTAAGTTGGAGCTAAGGTCAAGATAGCAGCTCAAAAACGACTGGTGAAATCACGCCCGATAATTCAGCAGGAACCTGGATGTTCATTAAGTACCTTGGGCAACATGTTGCTCACTGTTATGCTTCAATCTATGATGACCGATCGTCCATCTGGTTTGGTCTGCTGTCAAAACTTGGCAGTTTTTAGAAACAAGGATCCCGAAGCCCTAAATCGTGACTCACAGCAGCCAGTGTTCCCAACGTTAGCAAGCCTATCTCTTAGGTAGGCACCCCAGCACTCATGTAGGCAAAGAAAACAGAGAATACTACAATTCGGTGATACATATAAAGTATCTTTGACATATCTCTGTGCGGAATATTCCGTATAGTATTTGCACAGGCAGGTTTCACCATATGCCTAGAAGTTGTGGCGCCCTGATCGCCGCCCAGAAAACGACCTTCTCTAACATTTGGTGTTGCAGAATGCTTGGCTCAAGGACGGCACCTTCAAGTTCCTTGTTGGAGTCTTTCACCTGTTCTTTGTGGCCCAGCTGTTTCCCTCCTCTACACCTACGCTACCACATAGTAGGCATTTTTTTAGGAAGCTTTTGATTTCATCTTTGTAATTCCCTTGACGAGGATGCTAATGGTTATCGAGTACAATCTCCGGCGTTGACCGCTTCGAGCACTCCTTTCAAGAGAAAGGTTACACCCTCAAGAGACGGTAAACTGAGTGCATAGATGCTTAATACCAAGGCTTGCCTCTATGAACAAGCAAATATTGGCTGCCTCCCCCTTCGAGAAAGGGGAGGGTTAGCTTTAGTGTCCGTCCCGGCTTATGTACAGTAGGGCAGTTCATGGTGACGCTGCTAAGGATCCGGAACAATGACCACCCGTTCGGAGCCTCATCCGCAATGGGGCCGTAGGAGTAGGATTACTGCGCACGGAGTTGTGTTCCCCTTCCTGATCCTACCTGGCTAAGGTAGGTTGTAAATTCTCATATCGACGGGATGGCAGTTCAATCAGTCGCGTGCATGCCTGCCTACCAAGGTAAAGTTCTTAGATGTCACACCGTCTTAGCGAACCAATTACCGTCCTCCCAGAGACGCAGACGTTTGATCATGGCTCTGGTTCTGGATCTCTGTGACGATTCCATATTGGCAAAAGTTCCACTCTACCATACCGAAGAAACATTCAACTGAATGGTTGAAACCCAGACAAAAGCTGCCGCCGGCCCATGTCAGCGGCCGCTTTCAACTCATGTCGGGGAGTGGATCTTGAGAGCTTCCGAACGGTTGCGGTGGACCACCGGTTTCCGAGAGGAAACGTACTTGTCATACAGAGTATCGTAGCAGCTGCGCAAGGGCACACGCAACCGGGGACAACTTTTAGTATTCCATATCTTTAGAAGATTACTGCTTTTTATGAATGTGTCTCTTGACCGGAACACAAGATTAGTTGGCGATACTCTTCATGTGGTTAACTCAACCCAAAGTGACAGGTCAAGATCATCCAGTCATTACGAAGTTACATACGACTTTGCAATTCATACGGATATGGTAGGTGACTTCGTCTAATCTCAGCCGCCCGTGCGCTCAAGTCTTGGCGCAACGCCAAACGTCAAGCGCCGAATCTGAGACGACTTTGTAACAGTAACCTCCCTGCTCGGTTGCTTGCCCCTCGATCTGAGCGGGATGAATGCCCCTTTCTGCAGTAAATTCCCCATGGCATGCCATGGATCGGAGAGGATAGGGCATGGCGATGTTTGTCTGCAGCCAGTGACGAGCAGCCCTGCTGGCCACGCGAGATCTGCCCAGCACGCCTAGTGCTTGGCTGAAAAGCTTGGCTTCGCCGAACCCTGAAGGCTGAATCTCGCGGAAAGGGCTGGCGGCAAAAAAGAGAGGCCCAGATCCAGAGCCCTTGACATGGATATCTGCACAATTGCCCATTTGCCGTGGGCTCCAACCCATGACAAGGAGTGCGCTACCACGGTGATGGTTTCCTGAAGTGTTTCGAGCCCTTCCCCCCGCTACTCCAGAACGCAGACTTTGCCCCCCCGTGTTGCTTGGCTGCCAACTCATGCACCATGGCACATGAATCGCTGTCCTTGAGTCCTTGATTCCTCGCAAAGCCTTCCCCTGTTCCCTACCGCCTGGATGATGTGCCCGGAGATCCTCGTGCCCGGATTTAAGCCATGCCTGTTCTCCTTTTCCCCCGTCCCGTGGTCAGCCTTCTTTTGTTTCGTCTCAAAAAGAAGCCCTGGTTCTCCTTCTGTCCTCGTTTGAGTTTTTCCTCTTCTCTCTATCTCTTCTCTTCAGTGTGTGCGTTCGTTCATTTGTGGTTGATCCATTCTTTCCTTTCCCTCCTATTCCTCCATCCGCTCTCTCATCTTTCGTTTCTACGAGCAGGGACTCGACTAGTTTGCTTTGATATTAGATAATCCCAGGAGGACTTGAGCCAGCAACGGCACCACATCCGAAAAACAAAATATCAAGGGAAGACAAGAAGGAGGTAACAGAGACACAAGAGACAAAATGAGGCTCTCTACAGCGGCATCTACGATCTTGGGCATGGCATCCTTGGCGGTTGGCAAGTCAGTTGCCCGTCGGGACGGCCACCTTCGGGGAGGGGCATCGGCCGATGTTGTGAAGACCCAGGTCACCAGCATCATTGCGACAGATGCTCACCTTGCCGAGCTTGCTCGCTTGATTGGTCTCAATCGCGGTGCCGGCACATCCATCAACTTCTTATGGGTGAACTTGGGTGGCGGAGCTGCTACCACAGTCATTAACACCGCTTCGACTGTCACAGTAACCCAGACCGTCGCGGCGACCGCCCCTCCTGCCGTCGTCACTGGCGTCGATGGCGCCACAACAACGATCGCTGATACCCCAACCACCACAGTGGTCGGCACAGGTGCCACTCACAGTGTCACTGTTGGTGGTCCTGCCGGTCTTATTTTCAACCCTCCTCAGATTCAAGCTTCCATAGGTGACACCGTCATCTTCACCTTCCTCAGCCAGAACCACACTGCCACACAGTCCTCTTTCGAGACTCCCTGCCAGCCTCTTGAGGGCGGCATGGATTCAGGATACCAGGCCAACCCCAACAACACGGTCAACCCGCCCCCGCAAGTTGCGATGCAGGTTATGGTTGACACTCCGCTCTGTAAAGCCCCCCTTAACCCCTGTTACAATTTGGATCGTTCAGACTAACGTTGGTCTTCCAGGGTTCTACTGCCGCCAAGGCAACCACTGCGGTCGCGGCATGGTCTTCAGCATCAACCCGACGGCAGACAAGACCCACGCACAGTTCCAGGCCCTTGCCATCCAGCAGAACGGCAATGGCGCTGGTTCTGCTATCACCGGCAATCCTCCGCCCGCCGCTGCGGACCCGAACCCTCCGGCTCCTCCTGCTGCTTCTGACTCGACGACCTCGCTGGCTCCCTTGCCGACAACCATCGACGCCGGTGCTGGTGGCGCCGTCAGCCCACCGCCCGCGGCTAGCACAGACATCGTCACCGGCATTGGGCAGATCGGAGAGAATGGCGCCTGCGTATGCGCTGTGCAGTGCAGCTTCCCTGGCTTCCCTGCTGCTGTGCAAGGGAGGGATAGCTTTGGCGGTTTCGGTGGTAAGTTTCTCCAGTGGAGCTTTTCCCCTGAAGAGACATGTTGCTGATTGCGTTTAGGTTCTGTCCCGATGAATATGATCCAGCCTCTGCGCTTCAGGGCTTAGATGGGAACAACGGTGGTGATGATGTAATGATCAAAAGCTCATGGTATTTGAGGATCGGCTTGCGTTGACTGGGGTGGAAAGCAAAAGAGTCGGAAATACCATTTGGCTGTAGAACTTTCTGTCTTTTCTTCTTTTCTGTTTCTCCCTACTGGCTAGTCCTTCCATTTTCAAGGAAGGCCTGGAAAGAACCGTCTCTGTAACGGAAGTTGTCGGAGGGGGGGTTGAGGTGTTAAAACTCTTCCTCTTTCGTGCAAGAGCGGTTTTTGCCGGCTTGGGATATTGCCTTTTTTGGAGAGAAAAGGTATGGAGAATACCTATATATGACTGGATCGGATTTATGTACTGCAGGCACAGATCAATATTAATGGGAAGAAACCGGGATGGGGGACATTGCCGTGATATCTGCCTGGTAAAGTGTCTCAAACAATGTTGAAAGTATCCTTTTCCAAGGTCCTATTCAATGTTAGGCAGGTAGGTAGATTGGCAGAAAATAGGTTTTAGGTGTAACGATAGACTGGACACAGGTTAGACGTCTTCATCCATGACCATCACACACCTTGGCTTATTCCCGTCGGGGTGTCATTCCACTGTAGCAGGGTTTAGCGTATGGGCAAACTGTAAGGGTAGAAAGTAATCACCGTTGCAGTGAGAAAGAAATGGCAACAATATAAAAAGTAGAACGCAAGGTCTCCTCCCTGAGCATGGCGCCTATCCATCAGAAAAAAAAGGACAAGGTAAAGATCCGCATTGCCATACAACACGCCTTCACCTACGCCTAGAGAAGCCAAGCCTGTGAGCGCCGTAGTCCATGCAATTCCTTCTGTGTTTCCCGCTAATACGATGACGATAGTCAAGATGAGAGGATGTTGTGTGCAGTGGCGATGGTATCGGAGCATACCCTTTCCTTACTGGCAGCCGCAGGGGAAACCGAATCGCTCCAATATACGTGGTGTGGATCGCCTGAAAATAAATTCATGAAACCATTGCGACGCCGTACGTGTGCTAACAATGTAGAAAGAGGGGGATGTGTCGTTAATGTCGTTGTCGCTGCGGGGCATATCCAACGCAGCGAGAGGTGTGTCAACTAGCCTGACTTTTTATTTCTTCTTGCCATTGGCCTTCTGGGCAGCGGCAGCAGCAGCCTCTGCTGCTTTCCTGGCATCAGCTGTTGGAGGCATGTCAGTCGCTAGGCCGTCCCAAGAACATATTGCGCAACAAGAGGGGTCCGCGCATACCAGCAGCTTGCTTCTCGCGCATGCGCTGCGCGGCGATCTCCTTGGCCCGAGCCAGCTCAGAGCCGCTCATGCCATGAGGCTTTTTCTGTATGTAGGGAAAGAAAACAATGTCAGCATTTTTCTGGATTTAGATGGCATGGTTGTGACTCAAGCAAAACGCACCTGCTGAGCCTGCCGCTTGAGGTTAGCCTCACGGGCCTTCTCGCGCTGGTTGCCGCGGGACATGATGAATGCAAATGATACAGGTGGTGCTCGGTTCTTGAAGCGATGATATGGAGGGCGATGATCTAAAGATCGTATGCGGTGTTTGCTGCCAGCGTAGGCAAAGGGGATGACCGCCGGATGTTTGGGAGAAGGCTCGCCAACAAGGTCGGGAATCGAGGCTTTACGCTTTCAATGCCGCGCTGGAGGCTGTGCACTGACCGTCACCAGTGGGGTTTCTGGGCACTTCCATTGGTGGGTCGTGGCCCCACACGCCTTGTCAAAGGATTCTAGCCAATGAGAAAGCAACTAACCTCAGATGCATGAAGAGCCAGGACAGGTGCATTGCACGTGTCAAACCCTGGCAGGAGATCTGAAAATCATCCCATGTTGTCAAATGCTCTGAATCTGTCAGCTTGCCAACATTAAAGCCCACTCGCAGGGCCGACTGTCAAGGCATTTCACATCCTAAAGGCTGTTGGTGTTTGCTGCACAAACAACACAAGGCAAACCAAAGACCAACATGGCATGCTACCCCTCAGCATTCTCATGTAGGGGTCCAGAGTTAATGGAGCTGGTCCGTGCTTCTCTCCTCGATAACTTATGATAGCCTTCCAGTACAAACGCACCCCAGCAATAGACCTCAGGCAACCCGCTTCATCACTCGGGATTTATATGCACATATCTGCTGACGGGAAAGACATTCCAGTATGCTGGTCACAATGTGAGATAAAAACAGATTATTTATTTTTCTACTCCTTTCCTTCATGACACTTGCGCCCAGTCTGCTCTTTATATTGGGGCTCTGGGGCAGCGCCGTCCTAGCTGGAGTCTCAATGGTTAAATGACCTGAAACAAACTTGGCGCTTTTACGGTCCAATCGACAGCCCGAAGCTCCCTGCTTTTGAGGAGCCTCTCTTCAGTTCTTCTTGATCCCCCTTTGTTGGGTCGCCGATCGCCCGAAGTTCAGGTTCCTTGCTGCGCCGGATGGCGCTTGCTGAATCATTGGATGAGAGCAGTCGATGAGCTTGCGGTTATACGCTGCTAGGCGCGAACGCCCCACCAGCAACGCGCCAGACCGAAACACCAGCACAATGGATCGCTGATCGATCTCGACCGGAGCTCTGTTCAACCCATGTCTAGTCAGTAGATGATGCCAGACTAGGGATAGTAGTTGTTGAGTAGCGCGGCTCGCGAGCATATGGAGCCTTTTTTTAACCCCCTTCATGAAACATACATGCGCGTCGAGCTGCTGGCTGCCCTGGAACTGCAACAGTGCCTAAAGCTTCATTGGCTAGAATTTCAGGATACAGTCCGACGTTCAATGCAAAACGCCCATAGGGCGGAAGACGACCATCCTACGGACACAGCATCCCTATCCCCCCACAGGAGATTCCTGGCTATTGTCCTTTATTTTCGGGGGGAACTGCCGAGGGGCTGCATCACACTTTTATTATTGTCGAGTGTTTAAAATCCGCTGTGCCCAACTTGCCACATACACTTCCCAACTTTGTACGGGTTGCTATTGTTGCACCTCGACAATGGGCATGTTCCGCTATTGAACGCTTGTCTGTCCTCGCTCTCTTTTACACTTTTTGCTCTCCTTCTCACAACGGCCTGGATTGCCGTTTCTTTTTTATTCTCAGCAGCTTAATCAACTCTTTCTTTTCCACACCGATATCTGTCTTGTCAGACCTTGTTTGAGCGCACACGACCACATCACCGCATTACTCTTCAACAAGTACCACGACAACTGCTGGCAGTTTGCAACAAGTTACATATTTTGGATTGTGCTTCAAGTAAGTATATAACATTTGGAGGCTTCCTGACTTTAATGGGCCCCTTTTTGGCAAATATTCCTCGAATGAAGCGATTGTTTCCTCTCTACCACAACGCAACATGGATAGCAATCAGCGACCTAGGCGAACTTGGACTGTGAAGACCGTATCCTCTATGGGTTCTGAGGCGGAGGGACCTCCTCCTGATCCTCGCGCAATCTCACCAGGGTCACCTACTTTCCCCAGCCCGATTCGGCACACCAACAGCCCCAAGCCATGGGAACCTGCTTATGAGGACTGGTATCCTTTGCAGGATATTTCAACCCTGGCTGACCTTTCCCAACCCTCCGTACCCTCTACCGAGTCTTCGATTCCTATAGCCGGACCGCAAGCAGCAACTATGAATGCATCTGAGAGACAAGCACAAACGGGAATTTTGAGATCGGCGACCCCCAACCCACGGGGAAGGTTGCCGAAAGAAGAATTAGGGCAGATATCAGGAACGGGGTCAGGGGTTAGGCGAAGGGGGAGTCCAAGTGGACAGTCATATTCGTCAATATCTCAACTACAAATAGGCACTCTATCCGGAGCAAAATCAGCTAGATCAACAGCTCGATTGAGAACAGGTGCTAACCAGCCGCAAGCAGGGAGATACCGAAAAGCAATGTTCAGCATCGGGCAAAACTCCAAGGTACTAGGCGCTGGCCACCTGGTCCTCAACATCCTGCGGGCTCTGACTATGATCGGCCTGCTTATCGTCATGGCTGCGGTATGGGCCATGATCGTCCTCTCTATCTTGAAAGGGCATTTCGACTTTTTCGACACCATCAGCCACGTCTTCATTTTCTTCACCTCGATCTTTCTCTTCGTTTCGGAACTCAATTTGCGCATCTTTCGGGGCTGGTTTGAGCGTAACTGGCCAGTGTTGTCACAATACCACTCTCTGGCTTGGCTGGGGATTGCCCAAATCGTGATCGGCTGCGCAGTGCTAGGTGACCTGGTGAAGCCTGGCTATAGTCAAGAGACTATTGGGCTCGCGTTCTGGCGTGCCATTGTGGCCGCGGGCATCCTCTCACTCACATTCGGCTGGTTCAACATCTTCGCATCAATCATCTTCCGCATTCCTGAGAGTAACATCACGGCTCGCATGATCCGTAGCGAGGGAAGCCTTGCACCACAACGTGCGGCGAATAAGACTATCGAAGATGTCCTTCCCCACGAGTATCCGCCTTCATTGTCGCACCGCGATCACTTCTTCCCGCCGCCGCCGACATACTTCAAGCAGCCCAACGAGGAACCCTCTCGTGTAAAGCGGCTCACACAGGTGCTGAACCCCAAGAACTTCCGCAAGTCGCGTATCCAAATCAGCAAACCTATTCCTCAGGAAACATCGGGCTTTGAGCAGACTCAGCAAACAGCCTCCAGCCCCAAGAATCAGTTCAGCCCCATCGCCCCTGAGATCCAGCGGCCGCCATCGACTTTGCATCCCATGTACACAGGTAGCAGTCGGTATAGCGAGGCGCATATGTCCAGGTGGTGAGGGCCAATCGAGACACGGTGTGGCCAACAAAAATTGGTGCATTCCTCTCTTTCCGCATCATTCTTTTTTCTTTCTACGAGCAAACTAGAGTCCGCGTAATTAAAACTCTTCCTCAGGAAATGTTATAAATTGACTCTGGATTGTTTCAGCATGCAGGGTGATTCACCAGTGGAGGGATTAGCCAGTGATACCACAGAACATGGCGTTGGGTCAGTTTGGGCACGGTAGTTGTTTTGACTTCCCTTGTGAATACCCATGGATTTCAGAATTATAAAGACCACAGGCAAAAAAATGGAATTAGTGTTGACATCATCCACAGATTGTTGTTTCAGGCAGATTGGATTTCAGTGACCGTTATTGATCAAATCATTGTTTCCATATCATATAACTAAGCAACACACATCTGGCTTGTGTCACACACAGCTTGATAAGTTTTGACACGTCACTAGCTACTTTATAGTACAAATATCATTCATTGTCCCTCAAAAGTTCATGAACTTCCACCAGTTTAGAAGGATATGCCTCTGTCTGGGGTTTAACCTAGATCACCACTAACCTTTTCACGCAGCAGCTTCAAAATTTCAACCCTAATCCTGAGCCATTAGAAGGTTGGCTATGAGGCAGGGGCTAGCAGCAGGTGCTGGTGGAGCAAAGTGGTCCGTGCACGTGACGCGCGATCTTTCAGCAGCCTTTGTGGCTCGCGCTTGCGGCTGCTCGCCAGCCGACCATCAACATCACATTTCCCTTCCTCGTCCTGTTCCTGTCTTGCATGCACTTTCAGCCTTGTATCATTTTCACAGGCTTGTGATGCCATTCATTCATCTTTTTCGAAACTGTATCTTGAGGATCTGAGCTTACAACCTGTTTGTCATTGTGGTGACCGGCCAACACCTGCGCACCAGAGCACTTCGCAGCCCGCACTCCGACCGATTCCCCAAGTCTTGTTTTCTCTAATTCCCAAACTTTGCACCTACCCTCTTTCCTCCCTCTTATGACCATCTTTGCGGAGCCAACTGACGAAGTCTTCTTGTGCATCCCGCGTCGTGTGCAATAACTTGTTGAAGCCCCCGCTCTCCATTCACGACAATAAGGAGAGGAAAAGATAGCCAGGCGAAGAAGGTCGTTGGATGGTGTGGAACGTGATTTGGCAAGGCAGATTGGTGGAGGATTTTTCGGTTGCTCAATTGGGAGAACTCCTCTGGTGGTTTGAGGCATATCCTAGAGGGACAACAATAGTTCTTTTGCCTACCCGCCTATTGTTCTGTTCGTCTGAATAGGTGGTCATTGGTCACCGAGAGATTCCCTTGCTCTGCCCTACATCCTCTCGCACACTCTCTCCGTGCTTATTGCAATCCTTCCAACCTCCAACCGCTACATCTCCTCATTTCTTCACACCCAGCAGCTCTTCTGGTTATCTACCTATCCATCTGTTGGTCAATTTCTTTGCTGGCTCACTGGCTCTTTCTCGGCCTAACTGTTACGTTCAGTGTCATCTGCATACGGCTCATCCCCCAAGATGGCAGATAACTCTGCTGAAGTGGCCGAGGACTATCGGCAGGCCCTGGAGGACCTGACGATGAACTCACGCATTGAGATTGCAACCTTGACCAACATTGCTCGCGAAAATGCAAACCACGGCCTTGCAATCGCAGAGGTTCTGATCAACCATATCAAGAAGGTATGAGAGCAAATGATGGAGCAAATGACCATCAAGACAATCGTATTCTGGTTCTCAAAATGGAGCCCTTTGGCCAACTTACAACCGAGCAATTTCCAAGGTGATAAAGAAGACAAGCTGACTCCTCCCTAGGCACCACCATCGAGAACCTTGCCGGCACTGTATGTGCTGGATTCGATAGTCAAGAATGTCCCCACCCCGTATGCTCTGTACTTCGGGCCCAAACTTTACTCGATCTTTATGGGTGCCTACACTAAAGTTGATAATGCTACTCGCCGCAAGATGGATGAGATGCTCAAGACATGGAAAGAGCCCGTTCCAGGATCGCTGTCGACAAAGCCCGTCTTTCCTATTGAACAGGTTCGCCCTATCGAGAATGCCTTGATCGCCGCCAGGAATGCAGCCATGGCTGCCAATCAGAACAGTTATCAGGGTCAACAACAGCTGCTTCGAGGTCGACAGCCAGTTCCCAGCAGGGACACACCAACGCCACCAACTGGCAGACCCTACCCCCCACCTCCTCAGGGGCAGGCCCCCTATCCTGGTCCCAATGGCCACCAACAGCTGGGCGCAGTGCCTTCTAATGCCCAGCAGCCGTATCCAGGCCATCCTCCCGTCAGCGTACGTGAATTGCGACAATATTAAATCAACCGCCCTTATAGCTAATGTGTTTGCATGCAGGGACCCAACCCAATTCCTCCGCGTGCAACAACACAACCGGCTCCTCCAGTTGGGGGTTATGCTGGATACCAACCGCCGGCGGGGCGGGATGTCTATGGCGCCCAGCCAGCAGCCATAAGCATAGACAAGTTGAAAGATGATATCCAGCAACTTATTGTTGCGGAAAAGGCGGAGTTTGCACAGGATCCACTTGATACTAGTAAACAGACAAGACTGAAGGCATTGCTGGACCTGCAAGCAATTATCCAGAGCCAAGACATGCCTCAGGAGCAGTTGATGATCATAAGAGATCGAGTTGCTGAACTTGCCGTAAACAAACTGCGCCCACAGCCGCAGCCAGCGTGTCCTCCAGTCACTGCTGCTGCTGGACCGGCCGTTGCTGTTGGTGCTGCTGCTCCAGTTGGAGCTGCCCATGCTCTTTTGTCGCCATATACCGGCACTTCTCCTACCGCAACTACTTCACCAAACCCAGTTGTGCCTCAACAACCAACTCCCATTCCGCCGGCAGCAGTTGCTGTGGTCGCAGCAGCTCTGGCTCGGCAACCTTCCGTACCAACGGCGACAGTACCACCCTCTCACCCTTCCGTTCCTCCAACAACATCAGGAGGGACAGGCAGTAGCGGCGGCGGTATATCTCTTGATTCTCTATTTGGCAAGGGTGCTTTGGCCACCCTCTTGCGTATGAACGCCACGACACCTCAACAAACAACAGTGCCACAGCAAACATCACCACCTGCTCCTCCTCTTCCTCCTCCTCCTGTTGCTGCTCCTGCTACGACTGGTATTCCGCCCTCGGCGGTTGCAACGATAGCGGCGGCTCTCCAAGCTGCACCAACACCACCTCCGGCTGCACAGCAGTCACAGCCTTCATCGCAACAACATCCAGCTGATCCTTCCAGGCCAGGAGCCCCTGTTCTGCCCCAGGATCCCGCCGCATTGCTGGCCATTCTTAGACAGTCTGGACTGCTCAAACCGGCAGCGACGGCGACCCCTCCAGTTGATACTGGTATCCAATTGACTCCTGCTTCACTGAAAATGTGAGTTGCCCCCGGATCGCCAAAACCATAGCCTTTTAATAATCTAACACTCTGGACACAGCTACCGCCCGCATCTTATTCCTCAACTTCTCGAAAACCTTGGTCCTCCATGTACACAATGCGGCAGGAGGTTCAAGACAGATGAAGAGGGCCGGCGTAGGAAGACAGCGCACATGGATTGGCACTTCCGGGTGCACCAGCGCAGCGCCGAAGCAGAGAGAAGAGGCCAGCATCGAAGCTGGTACGTCGATGAGCTGGTATGTCTTTGCCGTTCTACATGTCTGCTTTATTTTACTTTGTATTGAACGATAGGGACATGAACTGACACTTCACAGGATTGGATCCGTTCTCGGGAGGCTATCGACACCGAGTACATCACTCCAGCCCCAGGCCAAGACGACCTCACTTCGGCCACAACTACTCTTCCGTATCACATTGCACCGTTCCCTCCGACGGGCTCGTCGTCTACAAAGACTTCTACATCCTTTGGACCCGGCAGCAAAGTGCCTTACCTCCCTGTCCCCGAAGATGCTGCCTCCCGCGCAGCAAACAGTACATGCCCAATCTGCCAGGAAAAGTTCGAAATGAAGTGGCTCGACGAGGCCCAGGAATGGGTCTGGACCGATGCCATCCGTGCTGGACCCCAGGGGAGGGTATATCATGCTAGCTGTCACCGCGAAGCGGCAGGGGCTGTCTCATCAACGACTACCAGTGGCAACAATGGCAAGGGCGTTTTGGGGAAGCGGAAGGCAGAAGATGAGGGGAAGAAAAGGATCAAGACAGAGCCTTTTTACTAAGAAGAGGCCCTGACAGCAGGACTCTATCTACGAAGTCTACAATGACTGTCCAAAGGAGGCTGAAAGGCAAGGGACAATTCTCTTTTTTCACGAGTCCGATTACATCAAAGCTGCTGGGAGCCGAGAGCACACGCCTACCTACCTACCTACCTATTCATCTATCTACCAAACGGTTTTTGTTGAGAGCCAGTTCTTCATGTTTGGTTGATTTCCTTTCTCTAAGGTTGGTGCATTGTTGGTGGGGAGCATCACACGTTACCGGGTCCTTTACTCTAATCATATTCTGATTCTAATGAGAGGGCAGAAAACTGGGGGTTCAGCGAGGCTCTGGTACGAAGTTAGACTTCAAACGACAGCTAATGCCAAAGCGTGCTATAGCCTATCATCGGCCTCACCGGATGGATCATGAAGTAACCCTAAAGCATTCTCTCCAGCACGGCTTGTACCTTGTCAAAACGTTTCTTCTTCCGTACATTTCCCCACGGCTATTGCACGGCATGGATTAGATGTACAAGGACGAATGCAGTCAGCGAGTCGCATCTGGTTTATCACCAACAATCACAGGGTGATGACGTCGACGGAGACAGCCCCTCATGGCGGCGGCGCCAAGAGGTCCTAAGCCAAGCTCTCACGGGGGGAGCTCTTCCCTGTTCCTGTTGGGGAAGTCGGCTGGCAGCTCTTATTGGCCGGCTTCCACTGCAACAGGGCCAGCTCCACCAGGTGTCACAGGCTCTACTGGGCGGTGTTTCGGCGTTTTACCCGCAACGCCGCTGCTGCCCCGCTATGGGACCAGCGTCAAGCTCCATGGAGGGGACGGCGGAACGGCAGAGGACACCGAGCATGGAGATAATAAGGGAACACTCCAGTCGCGGCCGAGCTTGACGCCGCATTGCCGCGCTGCTGTCCCGAGACATCAATTGGTGTACTGTCGCTGTCGTCAACGAGTTCCCTGAGGCTTGGTCACGTCTTCTTCACTTCTTAGGCTCGCTCGTCTTCGTCGGGCAGTTACCTAGCTGGGTTTTCACTGGTTCAGCGCGTCAACACGCACTCAAAAAATGGCAGCTCCCTACACGCTGAGGTGGGGAATTTTGGCCACTGGCTGGATTGCAGAGGGTGAGTTCAACGTCAGGATATCGGCGCTTTGCGACAACATGCACTGATAGCTCTAGTCTTCACCAAGGACCTGCTCGCCGATCCTGCCCTCCGCGGCGTCCATGATGTGCGCCATGAAGTCGTCGCCGCCGCCTCATCCAGCTCCAAGGACCGCGCCGCCGACTTCCTGGCCAAGGTGAAGGCTCCTAGCACGGCTAAGGCATACGGGTCTTACCACGAGCTGGTGGCCGACCCGGATGTCGATATCATCTACGTCGCCACGCCACATAGCCACCACTTCCAGAACGCCATGCTCGCTCTCGAGGCCGGCAAGCATGTGTTGTGCGAGAAGGCCCTTACGGTGACCGCTGCCCAGGCTCGCAAGCTAATCGAGACGGCCCGTGCGAAGGGACTCTTCTTCATGGAGGCTGTGTGGACGCGCTACTTCCCGCTGAGCATCCAGGTGCGCAACCTGATCAAGTCGGGAGCCATTGGTACCGTCTATCGCACTACCGCCGACTTGTCACTCGGTAACGACGCCGGCGATGGCAAAGTCAAGTTCGACGATGCGCACCGTATGGTTAATCCGGCCCTTGCCGGCGGCGCCCTGCTGGATCTGGGCATCTATTCCCTGACATGGGTCTTCCAGACGCTCTACCACCTGCAGCCGGAGGGTGAGAAGGAGTCCCCCATTACAATTGCGGCAGTGACCAAGTACCACACTGGTGCCGATGAGGCCACCAGCATTATCGTCAACTTCCCACGGCACAAGAGTCAGGGCATCGCAACAACTTCGCTGCGCGTGTCGACCGACCCTGACGGCCAGAACACTGCTGGTCCGGCCATTCGCATCCAGGGCTCCGAGGGCGAGATTCAAGTCATGGGTCCGGCCTATTCCCCACTCCAATACCGTGTTATTCGCCGTGACAGCCCTGGTAAGGTCGAAGTTGTTGACTGCCCTATTCCCAAGGACCCCATTACAGGCTGGGGCCAAGGCATGTTTTGGGAGGCCGACGAGTGTGCCCGTTGCCTCAGGGACGGCCGCAAGGAGAGTGAAACGCTACCGTGGGAAGAGAGCGTCGTCATCATGGAGGTCATGGAGCAGGCGCTGCGCCAGGGTGGCGTGGAATATCCCGAGTTGATCACGACTGATGTGTATGATCCTCAGAGCCCACTCAACACAGGCAAGCGGTAATCGTGTTAGTTCGGTTGGGCATCGAGATACTTAGGTAGATGATGATACGAGAGTTTTTGTCTATTTTTTTTTTTTCAGTTTGCTAGGGTTTTTTTTCTCCCTTAAACCCAGAGAATCAGGCGATTGCCGAAGCTCTGGGCTTCGAACAATAATAGCTGACGTGATTCTACGATCAGACAGCCACTGGATTTTGTGTAGCCACAGCCTTGCCAGTTGGTCCCACCCTCACCATTGCCCCAATCTAAGAGAACATGCACTTGTGCCTGAGCTGCAGATGCTGCTACTAACATAGTATGCTGGTTGACCGGTCGCATCACTTGGCAACCTGGACTCGCGTTTGTGGATGTCTCAATGCCCGACACCGAGGCCTCGGAGACCGATCATGCATATGTTTGGGGCCACGACGCGAACATAGAACTTGGCATGGATGCCACAAACAAACTGTAGTTAACCAGTATGTAGACTATACAAGCTTCGGATTTGTCTCGATGCACGTGTACACGATGTGCTGGTGGATGTTTGAAAAGATAGCGTCATGTGGGGAATTTTCTTCAAGGGAAACCTTGTGCAAAGGCTAATTATAGTACACATATGAATGAAGACCACAGTTGCATATCATCAAGGGGTAATGAGTGTAGTAGTGAGTGTACTATTTGCTTGGTTGCTCGCTTATCAGAGTGAGTGAGGGTATTGAGCAACAGTGTAGAAGCTCGTGAGCGTGAGTGTGGAGCCCCACCAAACCCAAAGCACACTCTCCACACCTCAGCTTGAAACTTGATCCTAACAAAAAGTACAACCTGCAGCCTTCAAAAAAACGGTTCATCCATTTCAACTTCAGTCCAAGCCAACTCTGTGTATTTCTGCTTAGGTATGTGTATTCCAGAAAGATCCTCTTGCCCTTAGCCAGCCTTGTCATTTGACACGTTGAGAAATCTGTCGTGGGACTTGACTCATTGGTCCAACTGTCACCTGAGTACATTCAAATCAGACAACACGCTCACATCCTTTCACATCATTGATACTTGCGCTTCCTTTGTCTGCATCCTGTTCCTAAAGCTGTCGCTTACCCCGGAAGCCTAAATGTACAGTTCATGCCAAATGCCGCTTGGCCCTGTCAGTGTCACCTACATACCTCACACTAAACAAGTCCTAGTTCTTGTCGTTCCACATACCCCTCCAGTTGCCTGTGTTGTGGTCTGTTAACCTGCATGTGTGCTTGTCCTTTCATGTTTCTCATAGCCCATCCATTTTGGATACAGCGGCTGTTGACAAATGTGTGAAAAACTCTGCATGGCATGTGTGACACTAACTGGGGAACAGCCACCAACCGATCAAGGCTCAAGTTTATCCGACCGTCCTGCGAGGTCTTGCAAACGAAGCAGTGCAACAACACTGTGTCAAGCCAATTCACTTCTTGACAACTGCCTGTGAGCCATTGACCTACCCGGCGCCTGCGTCAACCTTGTTCTAGCTTTGTCCGAGCTTTGTAAAGCAGGCTTGACACGTTGAACTGGGCTAGAAGCCACCCAAGGCCCAACTTTTGCTTTCTGGGCTGTCTATCACGGCCGCCATAGCCACGTCCATGACCTCGTCAGCACTCCCATCCCAGTCAGCTGCCGAAGCAGCCGCCAAACTGGCCGCTGCAGCCGACGCTGAGGCAGAGGCCTACGAGTCGACTCACGTCCATGGCGTCTATGAGGCGATAGCATCACACTTCTCTGCCACTCGCTACAAGCCCTGGCCTGCTGTGGCATCCTTTCTGCGCGCCCTGCCCCCAGGCGCTGTTGGGTTTGATGTAGGCTGCGGGAATGGGAAATACTTGGGTGTCAACCCAGACGTCGTCATGATCGGCTCCGACCGGAGTCCTTCCCTCATCGCTCTGGCAAAAAGCCGCGTCAAGCAGATCCAGAGCGTCCGTCCATACCCAAACCAACAAAACAGTGTCGCACGAACGGGAGGGGAGATAACCAGCAGCCCCAATAACAGTACTCCGGCTGTTGGGACAGATGTTCTTGTTGCCGACGGGCTACTTCTTCCCTTCCGCGAACGGACGGCCGATTTTGCCATCTGCGTGGCCGTCATCCATCACATGTCGACCCGCGCCAGGCGACAAGAAGCCATCCGGCAGCTACTCAGGTGTCTCAAACTCGACGGCCAGGTGCTGTTGTACGTCTGGGCGCTGGAGCAGGGCACCAGCCGGCGTGGCTGGGACGAAGGGAGTGAGCAAGACTTACTCGTGCCGTGGGTTTTGAAGAACAACCAGCCAAATACGCAGAAGCAACAACAACACCAGAAAAAGGGCTCCTCCCAGAAAAATCAGGCCGAGAACGCTCTCACTGGTTCTGCCGGGATGAGTAGGAGCCCACCGACCCCCGGCGCTCCACCTCCAGCAGAGCCGGCAGCCACAGCACCCGGTCAGTCCGATCCTGTCTTCCAGCGGTACTACCACTTGTACCGCAAGGGAGAACTGGAAGAGGACGTGCTGGCTGCTGGCGGTGTTATTATCTCAAGTGGATATGAGAAAGATAACTGGTGGGTGGTGGCTGCCAATAAGGGCGTTCATCACGCAGGATAAGCAAGTCCGCACAGTTGGATGGAGGGAGGGAATCGACATCCATGCCAGCCGCAGACTGGGATAGGAATTGCTGCCTGTCGTCTGCTGAGATTGTTGATTATGTGATTGAGCAAGAGCGATCTTGGCTTGCCACCGTCCACCGCAACATCCGTTCAGGTAGGATGTTGTGTGTTTATATCTGATTCGTCTTGTGTAGCCAACTATTGTCGAGAGCATGTTGTACTTCACCTGTAACTGCTCATTCGGTGGTTAGAAATTCGAATACCCCCCTGAAGGTGAGCTATTCTGCTACCAATCATTGTTGTATTTAGAAATCAAGACTCTTGTGGTTTTTTCAAGCAATTGATATCTCTCTTTACTGAGCGGTGCCTCTGTATAGGGGTTAAGTCTGGTGACTGACAGTGCAAACCAAACATGAATGGGCCAAGGAATCGCTAAGATATCCCAAAATACACAATAGAACAGGAGAGAATCAAAGACATATTGGTCACAAAAAAGAGAGCAGGTTATATTGACCGAGGATAACAAGGGCATAGTTTTGTAAAAAGACATGACTTATGTGGTTAAACCTTGTACCCATTCTTCCATTCACCCGTTAATATCAACCCTCATCAATCAATCACCGACTTCAAACCTTCGGGTAGGTTGGGAGGTGTTATTGCTTCTCTGTTGTTGATCTGGTTGATCGAAGAGGCGAGAAAAGCTAAGGAAAAAAAGGGTTTTGTGAAGCGATGTGAGAAGAAAGGAACCAAAAGGTAAACGAAAGAACCTCCTTTCTATCGTGTCACAATACGTGGGCTGCGTTCACCAACCCTTCCCCTCGTGGTAAATCGCCCAACCCTTAATGCCCGGATTTGAATGTTGAGAATGCCTAAATTGCTTGCACGTTCCTCGTGAACCAGCAGCCTTCAAAGTGAGCATCATTGCCAACGGTATATCCAACTATCTCCCTGCAATCCTCCGTTCGCCTCTATCACCCCCTGCTGGAGAGCCCCCTCCTGGTCCTGTGCCTGTTGATGACATGGGGACAGGCATAGTCAGCCCCACTCCTGCTCCATGCCTGTCTGTGAAATATGGTGAGGTATACCCTCCAGACGGGCCATCAGATTGGTGAGAGGGGTAGTGGTACGATTGATGGTTCTGTCTTCGCCTTGTTGTCTCCCGGGCCCCGATGTCAAGGGCATCCTCTGCAGGGCTTGCTCTCCGCTTGGCAGGCTCAAAGCTTGGCTCAAATGCTGCTGGTGCTGGGGGCGGGAGCGTGGTCGTTGGGACATGTCTTTGTTCCTTCCCTTGGTCTTGTTGGTCTCTTTCTTGTTGCTGTTGTCGCCGTGGAGACTGGATTGGAGCTGGAAGGGGAGGAGGGGGCTGCATAGTAGGGGGTTGGAGAGGCTGCGGCGGGTAGGGAGACAGCGCAGGGAGTAACGGCCCTGGGGCTGCTCCGATTGTCCCTCCTGGACTAGCGTTTGCTGTTCTGCTAAGAGGGCTTGTCGTGCGTGTACTTGTGGCTGCGGGGTTGCCTGGTGCCTGGGCTGCCCCAGCCATAGCACCGCCTGTTCCAGCACTACTGAGAGTATATGCTGGTGAGTTATATGGGCTTACGCCCGTCGTGAGCTCGGCTACACTGGGGAGTACCCCTCCAGAAGTCCCACTACCACGCCCCGAGGTTGGTGGGGGTAAAGTGGCTGTCTGAATCGGGGCGAGAGGGGGAATTGTAGGGCCTGAGCCATATCCGTAATCTGGCGACGGAACTGCTGGGGATGGGTATTCGGGATAAGTGGGAGGAAAAGACGGACGCGGTGGCAGGCTTTCGCGTCTGTGAGGGGTCATAAAAGACGATCGGCTGGCGGTTGTAGGCTGTGTGTGTGATGACGGAGGGGGAATCAGGGGCGGAATCGGACTGAGACCTTGACCATGTGGTCCACCGTATCTCGTAGACGAGAAACCGGATAGGTCGCGAGGTAAGCTACCTTGCGAATGGGAATGTGCGTGGCCATGATGGTGACCATGGCCCGGCCGGGAAGGGGAAATGCGGCGAGAGCCTTGAGACTCGCTCGAAGAGGCCATGTTCAGCGAGAAGGGTACGACCCCTGCGCGACGTGCCATTTCCATCTCACCTAGTTGCCAGTGCATTGCCTCGGCGGCACGCCAGGGGACCTGCATTTCTTCAGCGACTTTTGCCCACATTTCTGGCTTGAACCTGTACACATGTGCGTCAGCGTGCTGCATGGACTTCCGTCATCCAGGAGTCAAAAGTCAGGGACAAGTTCGTTCAGCGTTCCCAGACAACATCGACATACCTCTCGTAAAGCCGGGCAAGCTTGTTCTTGCGCTCCTCGTCCCATTCACTACGCCTTTCCAAGTAGTTTTGGTAATGCAATCGACAGCTGATAGAGCTGCGGCCCGGCAGACGCTTAGAGATATCATCCCATTTCATACCACTGCCCCGTAGTTCAATGATGAGAGCATCTTCCTCCGGGGACCACTTGCTCTGCTTCTTGGCCGGTGACTCGGACGTGTGAGGAGGCATGCTGCGCTTGCTGCCTCCGGTCCCCCCCGCACTACGTGATGATGATGATGATGACGTCGTCGTTGTTGTCGTTACCGTCGGCACCGTTGTACTAGTTACTGTTGTTGTCACTCCCCGCGAACTCGAAACCGGCTGCTGCCCAGCAGCCCCGCCGGCTGAGGTGCTGTGCCCTCTCACTTTGGCGATCGTTCCCCCAGCAATGAGACCAGAAGACGAACTTGCCAGGTCTCTGGCAGCTGTTTCAGCTGGTGCTGGCGCTGATGTGGATGTTATGACCGTCGAGACTTTTGTTGCCAATGTTGTTGGCAATGGAGCCGGAGGTGTTGGGCCAATAGGTGGCGACGTCACCGGCGCGGAAACCGAGATCGATGAAGACAAAGGCTGCTGGGTTCGAGTCGCGGAGGACTCATTTGAGTCGGAACCCCTGAGAAGCGAGGCGATATCCACGATGACGGTGTCTCGCCGGGGTTGCCTGCAAGGGCGATGGGTTCATGGGGCGCCTGGGCTTTACTCCTCGGTACTCAATAGCCCGGCTCCGCTGCCTTGCAGTTCCCTTGGTAGCCTAAAACAATGCTTTTTGATGCCTCGAGCTCTGAACCAAAGAGCTTACAACCAGGTCGAAACGATGGATGGAGCCTGCTCCGAGCACACGGCCTCCCGCGAGGAGACAGCCGAGTGTTTTCGGCCGACTTCAAAGAGTATGTCGCGTCCACAAACAAGCGAGAGAAGTATAGATGTTCTGAACTAGAAAAGCTGGATATCAAAGCCTCTGACACCGATGAAGTGTGTCTGTGTCCAGCAGATGAGTTGCCTGAGTCCTTAGGTTGGTCCAAGACCAGAAAGCCTAGACGGTCGTGGTCGACACTCGAAATGCACAGACGTTGGAAAGGAGACGAATGAAATGGATGCAGAAGGGAGATGGCCGGTCTAGAATTGACGATTCGTAGCTCTTCGACGAGATGCGGTCCGTGTAGTTATCTGGGCCGGTCAATTCGGGATGATTGGCATTTCAAGCCTACAGAGGTGGTTCCCCTCCACCAATGGGTGATGAAAACAAAGGAGAAGAAGCGGGACAACTGGTAATTACCTACCTAGGTAAACCGTAGCTAATAGCTAGGCAGTAGTGAGCAGTGTAATCGGCGGGCAGACACGATGAGCAAGCAGGACTGACGGGAAGCTGCTGCGGCTGCTTTGCTGGTGCTGCTTCTTCTGATGAGAAGCGGAGAGGTTTGTCTCCATAATCGCCTCACAGGCGCACACCGTTTCCCTTACAGGTGCGAGAGAGGAGGGGGCGCACGCAGTGAACAGGGAAGAGGCCTGATGGGGAAGGGGGGTCAAGAATGTGTCGATGACGAGAATCTGTCAAGGCTCCAGGCGAAGATGTGGGGGATGAGGAATTAAGAGGACCAGGATTCCGTGGCACTGCATCAGAGGGAGCGAGCAGGAAGCAGCCAGGGGCTTTTGTACATGAGTGAGCTTGACAGTAATAGACGGTAGTGTACAGAAGAAATGGCTGCATGTCATCGTGAAAGGAAACCTTAAGCATATTCTGGTCTCTACTGGGTACCTCTAAGCTCGAAGCATTGGACTTGGTGGTGAGGGCGGACTAGGAATGAGGACAGGGGAGGGTTTTGCAATAGGGGGCGAGTCTATCAAGTTCAAGAGTTGGTAACAATGAATCCATGCAAAACAGAACGCCTGCCAACGAAAGAAACAACATTGAATGATTTGCAAAAGCCCCGATTACCAGCCGCTTGGCTTCTATGTTCCGCAGCGCACCTTTCAATCCCTCCAGTCCAGTTACATACCCTTGCCTATGGGCTCCAAGCTCTACTCGCGAAGGTATGGCTTGGGCATTGACTAACAAGCAAGGCGGAAAAAAACAAGGACTCAGGGAGCGAGATAGATGCCTCACTTCTGCGCCCTATGGCCATGTCAGTGCTAAGTACGTAGTGCAATTGGGCCGTTGGCAGAACCCGACCCTCCCAGCAAGTGTCTTGTCAAACAGCTCAATGCTCATCGCATAGAGACCAAAGTTAGAGCAATGTCAATTCAGCCTCGCACTAGCCCGTAGATTGGGTTTCGAGCTTGTCGATCAACGAACGCCAGCGGCGCCGTCAGCCCAGCCGACCTAGTTTGGCTGTCTCAGCCCTGCGAACTCGGCAAAGCATTGTCCAACAAAATGGGAGGAAGAACCAAAGTTAATCTTCTCTCGGGGCTTTTTCCTTGACACTGTCCACCAGTTCGTCGTCTCAGCTGGATGATTGGCACAACGCTGCAGATCCGAGCATGAAACTCTGGCAGCGTGGTCAGGGCAAGGCCCGGGATAGGACCGTTAAATCGCCTTGTTGGATCGGCCTTCAAGCACGCAGCCCTTCCAGATCTGACAGCGCCGGATCTTATGCAAGACGATGAGTTCGAGATCGATGCAGCGATACTGGCAGGTTACTTGTGAGGCGTCTCCGTTTATGGTCTGCTGGTGGCATTGTGGGTTTGGTCCTGGCTAAAGCCTAGGGCCTCTTTGTCGCGCAAGACGAAGCAATCAAGTATCACTTACACGCTGGAGGTTGCTCTTGGTTCAGAAGGGATGCTGGGGTGGTTAGAATGCAGCCCTAATGTTTGTCATATGCGTTGGGCTGATGGAGTGGCGGGAAGGGCTCCAATTTAGTGCCGTGGGCGGTTGGGCTCAAGCTAACCTCCCCCCTCCAAGCATAAGTGCCTGGCAGACTTACCTGCCTACCTTGCTACCTACCGTCTAGCGCCCTGAATCCTAATGAACGGTTTTGTGTGGGACATGTCGGTACCTACCGGTAGGTGCAGGGAGAGCAGCAGGCTTGAACCGGTGACATGTCGACTTATGCAACTTCCAACATGCACTCGTGCCAAGTCACTCTTGTGCAGACACATGTTCTCATCTGGCTACTCCTGGTGTGGCAGAGAGACCGAGGAGCGAATTAGAGCAGTCAACATGGCTGAAAACCGCACAGCCAACACACAGCTTGGAAGCTGTATCATGCACAGACGAGACTGCCCAAGAGGCTGAGTGAGCGTGGTCCCATAAGCTCAACGAAGGAAATATGCAGAAAGCGTAACTCATACACCGGATTCCGAATCCACCTCTTGACTGTCCAAAGCTCTTGTTTAGACGTCTATAAGTATAGAGGAGCTATTGGGGCAGGCTAAGACTACCTATGTGAGAGTCCCAATCCTCACGTGCTGCGTGGTGTCTTTGCCGGAGCTATGGGCAGGTCTGGTCAACTCAAGCTGGCTATGGTCCTCCGGGATGAACAGCTTGCTTTTTTGTGCATCATCGGGAATGCCAGGTTGGTCCGGCAAGCAATGCGGATTCTTACAGAAACACAACATCTTGTCACCCAAATCAGGCCAAGCGCACGGAGCGTCGAGGAGCATGGGAGCTGGAGAAAAGGAGCTTAGTTAAAGAGAGGCTCCTCCCTTTCGGTACCACGCAGATCTGGCTTGCATTGACCACCACTTCGCATCCTGGTACGGACCGTCGGGGAGTCAGCGTCGCACATGGGGTTTCGCTCAGATCTCACATCTCGTACATCCCGCGTGTGCGATTTATGGTCGTTTATTATAAACCGCTTGCCCGATCCTGGGCGCCCTACTAAAGTTATCAAACTGAGGAACACTTGGATCGTTGGTTACCTGTGGTAGCTAGGTGTTTGGCTTGACGTCTCGAGTCTCCGTGCGCGTGACGAGCCTGCCGAACTGTGTCTGTTCGCATTCAAGTCTGGATGATCCCGGGCGATATGCCGCAAGGACGCATCATCTCGGACACAAAATGCATCCCTCGCATAAAGGGATTCTGGATCTGAGCCCGGAGTTGGCCACTGTCGACTGAACTGAGTTGCCCAGCTAGCTCTGCCCTTCTGGGGAAGTTCGATTCTCTGCATCAATCCTGGAACCCGGGAAAGGTCAGTTCAGATCCCCATCTTGGATACTTCCAGAAATGAAAAACTACGCCAAACCGATTTCCCGCGTAGGCAATCAAGTCAAGATCATGGACAGAAGGAGTAATTACTACCATATGTGTATCACCTGGGAATGAATAAAACATTATGATATCTCCGATGTCTGTGCGTCACGGGATCGACCCTCGCTAGCGGCGTCTTGCTTAGATCCCAGGTCACAATGGTGGATAGAAGGCAGACAGACAGCAGGAAGACCGTCAGCAAGCTGGGAGTTAACAAAACTATTAATCAGTCCGTGATATTTGACTACATCGCTACCTATGACAGTCACACCTTGTGCTGGAACAATTGTAGTTGAAAAACAGCGGTCATCCAAAAGCGTCGTCCCCCCTTCCCCGCATCGAACTAGGATCATGGAGTTCGAAGATAAGTGATGCAGGACGATCACGAATCATGCCCTTCCCCAATTCATGCCAACTGCTTACCTGAGCCGTAGACGAAGCATTGACCATTGAGACCTCCCATCATTCCCGATGATGAACTGGGGTTATCACCGTAGGCATTGGGAGGGGTACTAGATCGCAACCGCTGCAGGAACGCAAATCACCTACTTAAGTGGCTGTGATGTCTCTGAAGTTATCAGGAACTTTCATCTACGGCACTAACTCGACAAAGCCATGCTCCCTTCTTCGCATTATCGCCTTGGCCATAGGACGACCCATTTGGATACGGATCCAGTCCCAAGTCAAGCGATCCACGCCGCAAGTAGACACTGCGGGGGGCCGAGCTGAAGAATCAGCACATTCAGTCTGTTTCGATCTAGCTTCTGATCGGATATCGGCATTGTTGACTGTGTCGTTCAGTTCATTGCCACCGATCTACAAGATTAGAAACGAAAACGAGAACCAACAGGGCAATGGTGCATATTTTGCGACTAGGAACCGGTCCCTTAGCGAGAACCGCAGATGGTAGATATGTTGAAGCTGACGAACGACATGCATCTGTAGTACTGGATTGAGTCCTGGTCCAAGCTCTTCATTATGAGAGCATTGCCATGACTTCCTCAACACATTCGTCGGTGATACATCCTCTTCTCAGGGAATGCATAGGCATTGGGAAGTGATCTTTCCGTGTGAAGGATGTTGGGGAATAGCAGGCGAAGTGCTATGCCCTTCCACAACGTCCTTTCTGCAGCTACTGCGCCTCTAGACAAGCTGTGGAGGTTGTTAACAGTACACAACAGGCTGGAGTATTGGCAGCAAACACCTTTCAGGATCGACACGGTCGTGAAGCATCGGGTGGGGAGCAGCACATTCCTTCTGTTGCCTAACTAATGTCCATCACATAGCCCCGTTCTCATCACACCTGTTGAAAGAGTGGGCAGGAAAGACTGCTCGTTGACAACTGCCGGCACCAGTGGCAACGTGGTTCGATGAGAAAATACAAAAGTCGCTTGGCGGTCAGTTACATGCATCCAGCGTAGGGCGACGGTGAGGTGAAATGAGGCCTTCAAAGCCTGCTTCGTACGGGTTGATCCTTCTGCCGATGTCCTGATGGTCGGCTACTACTCGGCTGCAGAGGGAAACGAAGCACAGAGATTTGATTGATGGGCGCTGTGTCAATGAACAGAGAAGATGACAGCCCCAGGCGGTTTTGTCATGTCGGAGGGGCCGAGTTGCCTTCATTGTCTTGTGTGTTCCAAGAATAAGGCGGGTAGAGGCATGGCCTGCCGCCGCCTGAATCTGCAGCCATGGACAACGCGGGCCGATAATAGATCAGCATGGCTCTCCGCACTGCATAATCCGTATCATTGTCATTCATTATTCGGCGCTCGTTTGCCCGGGCAGGCGACAGCAAGCCCAACGGAAAACAGTGACGGCAAGGCGGATGGTGCCGTGGACCGCGCAGCCTCGGGCTCGGAAAGAGGGAGCGAGACAACTGGCTCCCGCCGGAACGGCGAACGTGAACGTGCCGTATGCTGTGTGTGAGTGCGAGTTTGGATAATAATGCGCACTTGGCTGAAGTACTTGCAATGGCTGGCCAATTGACGTTCTAGAAGGCCGTTTGAACCTACGTCGGCGGCAGGAGAAATCTGATGTTTGACAGTGATGCAGCGATGCATGCCTGGGCCCGGTGCTACACGCATTTGGCCTCCCAATGAGACGGTTCCTGAGGTGTGAATGCAAACGCTGCAAGCCGTTGTAACCCAGTCGAAACCCGTCATCGAATATTCTAGCAATTAAGCAGAGTAGCACCATGTCTGAAGGGGCACTGAAGGGTCATTGTTTGCCCTTGGGGTTCATCACGGAGAGCCGAAATGACCGGACTCGTGGAAACTCGGGAAGAAGTGTTGAGCCATCTGCATAGGTACCCACAAGTGGCCTTGGGCAAAAAGCATCAGTGATATACACGCATCATGGGCGTCATGAAGTAGCCAAAGTGCTGCATCTCTGACCGCTCGGACAAAGACACAGGCAAATCATCAATCTTGTAAGTTCATCGAACACAAAAGATACTGAAGGGGAAGTTCCGAAGCGACAAAATCCTGGAACGGAGAGCACGGAGGGCCAGGCGCCTGAGCAGCCGAGCTTTGGGCTGCATGTGGCTTGGCTTTGCTGCGTCTCTCTCATTGGCATCACGCAGGTCAAGGACCCACTAGTGTGGCGTAATGGGTCTGTGGCGCAGGAGCACCCTCAGCAACAGGGAGGATTGCCAATCATCTGCCCGCGGACTACCCAGTGGATCCTTGAGTGGGCCAGGCATAACTGCTTGCCTAAAGAGCCAAGACATACGAAGGGGATTCGAGATTGAATCCCCTCGAAAGGTAGTTATTTCTTACAGAACTGTCGACGATTACCCATTTGGAGGTCTTATCGCACTGTACTGCTGGAACCTCTTATTTGGAGTTAATCTCTTCTTTACGGGCAGCATCTTGGGAGCTTTGAAAGGGTTACCTGTCGCCGTTTACCTATCTCAACCCCTAACTGCATTGTGGCTGCCATTTTCACTTTCATCGCCAATCATGGCCGACGTGCCCCTTTACGTAGTCTCAGACTACACGTCATCTGAGAGACGGATTACTCCGTCCTGGACCATCACTCAGCTTAAGTCCAAGCTCGAGCCCATAACTGGCATTCCTCCCTTGTGCCAGCAAATCTACCTCAAGATATCCTCAGACGAAAGGATTCTTATACAAGCCGTAAATGAAGATGCTGTCCATCTGTCATCGTTTCCACTCGCTCCATACGCCGAACTGCAGGTATGTTGAGAGCTCACTAAGGAGCAAATGCATCACCTTGCCTGACTATATCTTAGGTCGTTGATACCCGACCTCCTTCAGCTAGACCTGATTTCTCGAATACCGCCGGCGTTGAGAAATACGTGATGCCCGATGAAGAGTATGAGAAGAAAACGGATTCAGTACTTGCCTGGAAGAAAGCGCAAAAGTTGGGCCGCTTCGACCCCAATGCGCCGACCGTTGAGCAGGCTAAAGTTCAAGCCATTCAGAGGGAGATTGAGGTCCGCGGGATTGCTGTTGGCAAGCGGTGTAGGGTAGGTGGAGACGATACCCGGCGCGGCGAAATCAAATACGTGGGAGAAGTGAAGGAAATTCCCGGCGTGGGTGCTTGGGTAGGCATCCATCTTGACGAACCCGTGGGCAAAAACGATGGAAGCATCGGAGGAACCCGTTACTGGGGTATTGAGTCGGAGCTCAAACATGGCATATTTGTCCGGCCAGAACGTGTCGAAGTCGGCGACTTTCCTCCGTTGGATGATCTGGAAGATATGGAGGAAATCTAACTCTCAGTGAGCAATTTCTTGCGGCTATGAATTAGCTGTTGCCTATCTTCTCCATGGCCCAAGCCTCAAGCCAGTCACAGGTGTCTGGTCTTAACCATCTTCTGACTGTAGCAATTAGCGCCGTTCCCCTCTTATGTGCTTCGGCACTCATTGTTACTGAGAACAGGAAGTTCTTGTCATGGTTCGGACGAGGTAGACCAAATGCCGGGGGGTGACATTCCGAAAAGCCATGGGAGTCAGGCAAGGCTTTTCTGGTTCGGTTGGTAATAGTCGCTTTTAGAGAAACGTTTTCCGGGGAAATTACAAATATATCCTAAATCTCCGTGATTCAGCCTCGAAAGAAGTGTTTGTGGGGCCTGACTTGGTGACGATCACCAGCTAAGTAACAAACATCCGCTCAACCGATGACTGTTCGATATAGTCAAAGATGTTTGTGCCATACGAACTCCTTCGGCACCTCGCATTTAGCCGCATCACAAGGGATGGGTGTACCCCGACGATCGCCTGGCCTGTCACACTGCGTGTATGAAGTCAGCGATCACCGATAACCTGGTTCCATATCTAAGCAGTTACCAGCTATCGCGGTAGTATTTTGATCGCTTAAGCACAAAACTCTGGCAGATCCATGAAAGATATAAAGCCTCCTCCCTTCATCATCACCGTAGCTGTCAAGTAAATACATGATCGAGAGAACATAGCAGTCCATTGGGCGCAGCAGTTGCATGTTGCCCGGTTTGCCCAGCAGGGTCACATGTTTACAATAGCGTTCAACAACGCTAATGAGTTCTACTCTCTGATTATTTGTCAATAGTGTTAAGATACTGCAGTTGCTTGCTGATGGGTAGGAAGAAACACCCACAACAGCAAGCATCCTCTGCAAAGTCGAGATTAAATCTCTCTGAAGTCTAACTAGTGCCAAGTCCTCCTCTCATGGCAGCTGCCTGGTACCTACCTTATCTAAGGTAAGTAGATAGGCAGTTGGTCAAATATGAGCACAAACGCTTATCGGGCACTTTGCGATTGACGACGACACCAGAAATTTATCAGCTCGAATGGGACGGTTCAAATAGGTGATGGCAAAAACGTTGGACAAACCCGTGATTTGTACCTCTTTGCCCGGACTCGAGAGTTGACCTACCGATGACGTGATGCACGTGATTCGCGTACGGTATACAGTGTATAGTAACTTTCACACTGTGTATTTCTATGGGGTTCTGATGTCCGAGATTCATTCCGAGTTGTCGAGGAGACAGCATCATATACACGTAAAGGCTGAGATTAGTTGTCTCGATGAAGAAAACCGCCAAAAATTTCCCTCTTTGCAGCTTTATTGCAAGGTGTTGACGACGCTTACCCAATACTGATTCGTACTACTTGCACCGTTGACGGTTGCCCAAATAAGCAAGCCCCGCTTACGTAGCACAAGCGAGTGGGGGGGACCGTTACGCACGGCAGCGGCAGGAAGCGCCAGCGCGGGCTTGTATCAGGGCTACTATCGATGCTTGATTCCTCTGTTAGAAGCGCCCTGAGCACTAAAACATATCCAAAACGCCGACTTCCGATCCCCCTCAAAAAATGTTCCATCTCGTGCCTCAACTTCTTGAGACCCAACTTTGAGTCCTGACCTGGCTTACTCCCCAATCAGCAACGTTGTGTTTTCCATCCCGCATTCCGCACTCCGCATCCCGCATCCCGCATCCCACCTGGAGCCAGCGAATGGCCTTCCTTAACCTCAGGGTCCCTTTGGCCGTGCCCGTTGTGTTGCGGTCCACGGGTAGTAGGTAATCAGCAGTAATCTGGGCCTAACCGCCATCCGTGTGAACAAAAACAACCGTTCTACGGTTGTGCTGGTGCGCTCGTGGACAATGTCGTGGAGCTGACAACATACATATTCGGTTGGTGGCCTTGTCACTGATAAATCGGGACCTGCTTTGACACGTTGCTCTTCGTTACCGCGGAGGTACCTCCCTAACATCTAAGTACCTAAACATTCATATTTTAGGCCTTGAGCTACCAGCTTTTCCGCAGCATACCACCACGCTTGTTTCTGACTTGGCTGGTCGGACTTCATGGCCTTGGTCGGCACTCATCGCCATAGCCCAGTCCATCCACATCCAAATTCGTTGCCCCTCGCGACTTTTTGGTTTCTTAGCATAGCGCTTATCCGACGATCAGGACTCGGCCACTCCCTGCACGGCAGCGATCAGTGAGACACACACAGCGGCTCAGCATCATCAGCAGTGCTTCCCAGCTTCCTGCACCCTGCGCCCTATCCGCATGTCCGATCTGCGATGCGATCAGCCCCGGTCCGTCCACCACCGACATTGGCATTCCCATCGGCCTTTTCCTCCCCACGCACCCGACCTTTGCACCCGTGTCTTTTTCTTCGACCCGGAGTCGAACCGTCGCCCGTTTCTTATTCACCATCCCGCTCCAGTTTCGCCCGTAGCGACGTTGACCGTCGCCGGCGCTGGAGAATAATGGCTTTTTCATCGTGGCAGCTTCTCCTCGGCCCGCTCCTCGTGATCTTGCTCTCTGCGCTACCGGGAGTAAGCGCGGAGCAGGCAAGGGTATTGCCTATTCTAGAGGCCCCTAAATGGCAGCAAGACTCCCAGATGCATCTTGAGCTCAGAGCGCCCGAAACTGAGGCCCTACCGTTGACCTATACCCTCTACCCCCTCACTCACACGGCCGGTTTGAACCAGACAGAGCCATCAAAACACGTGGGACACCCCGTTATTGCACCGCTTTCGCTAGGGAACCTCTGCGCTAACTCGCCAGTAGGACATCAGGATTCGTGGCAGTTTGGTTGTTGATGGTGCCCTCGAAGACCGCATTCGCTTGAGGAGTTCCGAAGTGATTGCCTTCCTAAGCTGCGATGGAGAAAATGCGACGCAGGAGGTCAATGATCTGATGCTCGATAAGCCAAAGGCCATCATTCTCTACAGCATAGAGGCTAAGTGCTGCGGTCTTCAGCCAAAGGAACTGGCCTACCATTACATCTACACGATGGCCGATTCGCATGAAGCGAAGCATGCCGTGAACCATACTCTCCAAGCCGGGGGTGTCTTGCGAGCCACCATCACGGGAACGTCCAACAGCACTAGTACCCAGTCTGGCACCCAGGAACAGAATGGTAGCAACTCGGCCGTGGCCATGAGCATTCTGTACAGCATCACCGGCCTTATCACGCTGCTCTTTCTGGTCATCATCGCAACAGGAGCGATTCGAGCTCATCGTTACCCGGAGAGATACGGACCTCGTGCCGGGTATGGCGGGCAGCCCCGCCAGAGTCGCGCAAGAGGACTGGCCCGCGCAGTTCTGGATACCCTCCCAATTGTCAAATTTGGCGATCCCGATCCGGCAAAGCCCGATCCTGTAATTGAACTTGAGGCCCAACCTCGAGGGCCATCACAAGATGCGTCGCAACTGGGAACCAGATTGTCGGCAATTCCAGAGGAACCCCAACAGTCGCCTGTTGGCGTAGCTCCTCCCGCATTAGGGGAGAATGCGCCTGTTCCAAAACAGCAAGAGCAGGCTACGAGAGAAGGTGTGGGTAAGACGGGCACTGCTGCTCCTCAGACAAATGCGTCGAGTTCAGCAGACGGCCGCAAGTCGGAGGACCGACTTGGCTGTTCGATCTGCACCGACGATTTTGAGGTTGGGGAAGATGTTCGCGTGCTCCCATGCAACCATAAATTTCATCCTGCTTGTATCGATCCCTGGTTGGTTAACATCTCTGGGACATGTCCACTTTGGTAAGCCTCTCATCCTTGTAACACATTTTCCCATGATGTTGCTTGGTATTCTTACACATGAATTATCAGTCGCCTTGACCTTCGCCCACCCGAACAACGCGACCCCCCAACGCCCCCAGCTCATACACGCTCTGTCCTGGTTGATGCGTACGATCCCTTCCTGATTGCTGCCTCCTCGCAGTTCGCTCTTGTGACCGCTGCAACAGTTGACTACTGGCCGGGCGCTCCTCCGCCCTCTGAGAGTTCGACCTCGGCAGCGACGACAACGAGGCAGCAACGTCGTCGCTCAAACCGTGCTTCGCGCATCCTCATTGACTTGCAGCGTCTGAGGCATGCCTCGACAATAGAAGAGAGGATCGAGATCTTGCGCCGTCATCGGTCGCACCAGCGGGGCCGCGAGCGACAACAAGAGGGCAGTGATCAAGAACAGCAGCCACAGGAGACGCGTGATGCTGTCGATGTATCGGCGTCGGCCTCCGGGGCGAACGAGAACCATACTGCGGTCGAATCTCAGGCGAGGGCTGCGGAGGAAAACATGTCCCAGTCCCAGTCTCAAACCGAGACTCCCCAACAACAAGGTGGAGATGGGGCAAACTACCAGGAGCAGCAAGGCAGGCGGCAGAGGTTCCGCTTGCGGCTCCCAGAGAGGGTACACCTGCGTGGGCGGAGGAGGGAATCGTCCCCCCCTCCTGCGTCAACAAGCGACACGACGGGGCAGGCCCCGGATAATGGAACCACGGGTGCTACATGATCACTGCGGATACTGATTTCGATAATTTCGATGTTTTCATGATTTCACTCATGACTGGCTTTCATTTTGGGAGGATACCATGTCTTGCTATTGTTTTACAAGATACCCTTTGCTGCGAGTTGCTCGATTTTTCATTGCTGGCACATTTTATGAAGGAATAGTCTTTTAATCATTGTTTTCACACTGGTCCCTCAGCCGTGGAGAGGAATCCACCATGTTGGCACAGGAAGGAGGGCTCACAAAGAACATGAGAACCAAAACTCTGAGTGACGGATGTATGAATCCCTGACTCAGGGCCACGGATACCTATTTGGTAGATAGACGTCCGGCCTATCTCATGGCCCAGCATAGGGGCAGAGTTAAGTAAATGGAATTTGATGAAATGGCCTGATTGACCATTCACTCTCCGCCGTATGCTTACTTGTGCTGTTAACATGCAAATGCTTCCACATGCGGAACATCAATCCATTGAACTGTGACATTGGTGTCTCATTTCATCGTGTCATAGATTCATAAGATCTACCCCACACAAGCTCTGACATTGCCCGCCCTGACCCAAACCCCAGATGATATCCCTTCCGAGTTCCTTGCCATGAAAGACTTGCATATTTCAGTTCTTGTTGATCCTGGTTGCCCCTCCTTGTTTTGCCTTTTCCTCTGGCCAAAATGGTGACATACATACAGATACATGAAAGAAAGTAAGAATCGAAACCCAACCCGTACAGCCGTACAGAATATCCCAACATCCTAACCCATAATATCATCTCCAAAATGCATAAAGGGGTTGGAGCATGAATTATGAACGATCATGAGAGCGAGTGACGAGAAAAATGGTGAGGAATGGTAATATGTACAAGGTGAGGCAAAGCCGATGGCCAGGGCGAGACTCTGATTCCCCCCTTTCCTCTCTAGGAGCCATACGCAAAGGTATTGCCATAAACACTGAGTGTGTTGCCTCTGACAAGATGGCCCTCGCTGACCATGAAGTAAGCGTAGCGCTCAACGAAAGAGAAGGTCGCATTATTCTCGAGTTGGTGGATAACCTCCGTCAGTTGAGCGTTGATCTGCTCCTCAGTGCCATCGAAGGCGAACTCAGTGATCCAGACGGGCTTCTTGAAGGTGCTGTAGACGTTGAGCACATGGTTAAGGAAGGTCTTGGTATCAACGCCGTAGATATGGATGTTGACGAAATCAACTGCGCACTGTCCATTGCAAGCATTGAAGAATTTCTGCAGCCAGCCAATGCCCTGGTGAGGAGCGCCGCTGTTGGTGATAGCTGGTGCGCCAATCTTAGCCTTGCCTGCGAAGGGGTTCATGAGCTCGACGTGTTTTTGGGCCGCCAGCTCAGGAGACATGTTGGCCTGAGAGTCAAGATCGGGTTCGTTGAAGCTAAAGAGACAGCGGGAGCCAGCACCAATCGCTTTCTGGGCATTGGTAGGCCAAATCTGGGGGAAGTCGAGCTTCAGGCCCCACAGCATTGGGCAGAACTCAAGATCAAGACCGGAATCATCATATTGGCCCCAGTTGTATGTCCACGAGATCTTGGTTCCAGAATTGACGAAGCGCTTCAAGAGAGTGGGATCGTTATAGGCGAGGCCACGCTTGCCACTGGATCCATGAGAGTTGCTGCCGCTGTTTTCATCTTCGGCGACACCTGGGTTGGCCGAAGGGGCAGACTGGACATTCTCGACAACAGTAGACTGTGTCGAGGCCGGAGGAGGCGGGAGAGGGGGAGGAACAACACTCTCCGCAGCAGGAAGAGGGCTCACCTCTGGTGCAGGATCAGCCGAAATGACTTGGGTGACAATGGTGGTCGGCACAGCCGGGTTAGGCGTGGAAAGAGCAGCTGCTTCCACAAAGGTGCTGGTGCTGATCTGCTTGGTCTTCCAGTCCTTGGTCTTGCCCTTGTTGGTGTAGAAGCGAGTATGGGGGTTGAAGTCCAGAGTGACAGTGACGGTGACCCAATCTGTGACAGTCACAACCTCCGTGACTAGAGCCCTCTTCTGATGGCCATGCAGATGGCCATGACCGCCGGGGATGGCAGCGAGAGCCTGCCCGGCTAGGCCGGCAACAGCCAAAAGAAGGAAAATATTGGAGTGCATCCTGCTGGCGATTTGTTAAGGAGACAGTGCAATTCTCAGCCCTCGGGTGCTGTGCTAGCGCTGATAATAGCTCTTTCGTTGTTGCCGCCAATGACGAAGTGGCGGTTTCGGGCTGCAGGAGTTGGTAACGTGCGCAAAAACAAGCAGTTCTGGAGGGCGAAAATATATGACCAGCTTGTTCCAGGCCGACACCGGGGAAATGAAGGTCTTGCGAGAACCGAAGGCCGCGTAACGGTAGGAGTGACGCTTCTTGTGACGCGCGAGTCGGTTGGATTGCAGTGTTTCGCAGTCTGTTAAAGACGCAGAAAGAGTGATGCGACTTTGAAGTTCGAGTAGGACGGTGACCAGACGCTCCGTGACGGTTGCTCTCTCGCAGAAGGTGGATGTACGACAGTCAAGCTGGCTGTCTGTCAAAGGTTGAACTGCGCTGGGCGAACTGAAGGAGAGAAAATCAAATGTAGGTAAGTGGACTCCGGCGTAGCCGAGAGGAATGGAAAGTCCCGAGACCGAGGAGATGGAGAAAAAAGAAGTAAGAGGAAGAGGAAGAAAGGAACACCGCAGGTCAGAAACCTAAGCCTGAGCACTAAGGCACCGTCGCTTGAAAGAAGCTGTGTCGAAGGGAGAGAGACCAAAGAGGCAGGGAACCCGGGACTGGAAGGTTTTCTGCGGTGGGGAGGACTCGAAGGTATAAAAGAGACAGGGAAAGAGCGCCTCGCCAGTGGTGGAGGGGTACGAACCGCGAAGTTGTGTACCCTAATCATTAATCCATTCCTACATTCGCATGGACAGCAAGAACACCCGGACTGCCTACAAGCTGCAGTGAGGGTTCCTAGGTTCCCCATCCCCATCTCATCAGCGGCTTGCTGACACAGCCTGACAGCCTTCCCGCTGTTCCCGTTAGGTACTGAATAACTCCGGACTGGCTGGATGTGGGACAAAATGTGGTGTCTTCTAGGCTCACTACTTGCAGCTCATAGACAGTCAGCTTTCCCGAGAACGGTTTATTCGATTTTTTTTCTAATTCTGCCACTTGCTGCCACTCGACTGCAATCTTTCCTCTGTTTTCCCAATGTTTTCCCAGTCGTCTTTCTGTCTTTCTGCTCCCAGCTTTTGTCAAGTCCCCACCAGAATGGCGGGGCTGGGAAGTCAAAAAGCTGACAATAGAGTCGATCTTCAGGTTTGAAGGCCCGCCGTATCGCAGGCTAGCCAGCTCGTCGGGTTCCCCATCCATCCCCATCCATGGCGCAGGTGGAGCTATCATTCCACCGCGCCAATCTGGCCAAAGCCTACACAATCTGGTTTACGGAAGTTGGTTTACGGAAGTGTGGATCGGCGGCTGTATTTTGTTTTCTTCGTCCCGTATCAAGCTCATGACGGGCCAGACGAGTTCTGCCGATACAAGATCGATGTGGAAGGCACTGTTCAATCTTGTCGCAGCAAGCAAAGCGGTATTGTCAATCATCAAGCCGCTTTACGCAATCCCATCACGCCGGGAAACGCCGCGAAGATCTCCTCCTTGGAAGACCGGCGATCCTGTTCCAGAAAGTCGATGTGCCTGGTGCCCAAACAGCGCCAGGGGGTCCCTGTTGGAACGGATCATCCGATCTTGGCGCTGGAGTCAACTCAACTATAGCTCCACCGCAAGCTGCCCTGTGAGTGGGCCTGGCCTCGATGTCCGGACGGTTCCTGACAGGTTGACCACCACCGCGGCTGCACAAGAAGTCTGCCCCACCTCCACTTAGGGTTTCGTGGGCTAGGCCGCCAATGACTGTCAAGGCCAAAATGCAGGAACGGGAATATTTACAGTAGTAACCAAAAGCAGGCTGACATCTGCAGGAACACGGCACTTTTTGTTGGGTAGCATTCGTGCAAACAAAAACGGGCATCTCTTGCCTTGTGTCTCTATGCTCGATGGATGGCACTCTACCGGGAGGAATTTGCTTACTTGGCAGGTCGTAAGTGCACCGATGAGAGAGACCAATAGAACTCGCACCCTACCCTACTTCTATACCTAAGTACGACCTGTACTACCTGCATCGTGTCACTAAAACCACACGCTCGAACATCCAGGTCCATATGCATTTCCACGACAAAGAGTAGAAATAATCCGCAACGGGCATGGGGTTGCATCAGGCACTATCAACCAGGAAGCGAAACATCCTTTCCAAGTCGTTTGCACTTTAGCTAATACTGACTTCCTGTGCTGTAACCTGATCGACTGTCATCAATACGTCCAACAGCAGGCTGACACTTGAAGAACACAAATAAAGTGGTATAATGCAGCTAAACACCTTTTGAAGGGGCCCGAACTAGTCACGTATACAGTCCATTAATTTCGCATTCTTCTTCCCAGTTCTGGGCTCCTGGCTACCCTGCCCAGTTAGTGTGGCTGATAGGGTAGCAAATGAACCCGCATCCGCTCCCACGGAACTACCCCAACCACGTGCCGTTTGTTCTTTTGACAGGGACAGTGCACAAAGTTTGTATTGTTTCTTCCGAGCCCGCCAGCAACAGCAAGACAAGACAACTTGTCCAACAGCCAACGATGACAGGTGTTTTGGCTGGGTCAGGCTGTTGGTGATAACATCGTCATATAACCATTGGCCGGACGATGAGGAATGTGTGCAAGTGCAGGTTTTTGCAACCTGCTGTAAAGTGGCATTGATATCACAAAGCTATCGGATTGGCTCTCCCTCGCCAAGCCCGTAAACTGTCGTAGGTGGTTCCCTGATCCGGCCACTCTCCAATGCCGGCTCTTGTACACAAAGCTTGTTTTTAGGCTTATCAATCATTTCGCAGATGACACAATATCTCAAAACATGAACGAGATCAATCCTTGGATGGCTTGATGTCTCAGATTACAATGTCCAGATGTGCTTGGGGTGGTCGAAAGATGTCACGGTCAAGCAAGCAGGTTGAAGCCGGAAACAGATATGCATTGGCTGTCAAGCAAGGCGCTAAAGCATCAACAGCCGCCCGCCATGTATCCGACCAACTCATCTCACCTGCCCCATGACACCCAGAAAGTTTCAGTACCTCCTGCCGCTTAGGTCAAAGACAACGTCATAACTAGAAATAGTACATCATACCGATATCAAGAGGTGTCTTACAGTGGCAGGTTGTGTTAATGAGTCAGGATGTTTAACTCTTGACAGGTAAGTAAAGGCAGCTAATGCCTTTATGAATGCGGTTCAGGGGTTCAAGGTCCTGGAGTCAGGGGATAAGCTGCACTCTATGTTTTCACTCACTTCTAAATTGACATTTGGTATCCCTCCGGGCTTTCATGATAACTGCCTAGGAAATTCACCAGGTAACAAAGAAAACCACGGTTATATTATAATAGAGTGAAAGGATGAATAAGTTAGACCTAGAGGAAAATGAACAGAAGCTGTCCTCTTCCAGCAATTAGAAAAGCATGTCATCTCCCTCAGATTCTTTCTCTCAGTTTAGCCTATAGTTGAGGATCTCGACCCAACCACTCTCAGTGTGAATAGCTAACCTCTGTAAAACACATAGAAAAAATGAAAATATATTTTCCGGTTAGGTGTTTGAACCGATGGGAGCTGAGTCAAACGTTGGCGACTCCCACAATGACGGCCGGGGGCGAATGATGAGCCGATCTCGCTGTGAGTGTTAGAGGCGCTTATCATAGGTAGCTGAGGCCGTTTTGATAACTCTGACTAGACCCAACCATCCAAGAGCATACTGCAACAACAAAGTGTGGCTGAGCACCCGCCATTGGGAAGATTTTCCTGCATCAAGGCCTGGCCCATTTGGCTACCGAAGTTCTCTTGATCCCACGAGAAATAACGCATTTATTGGTGTTAGACATTCTCAAATATTTGCCAGACATGATACGGCGGTTCTTACCCTCCAAGACACTGCCACATGATATACCAGTCCGAAATCAGACCTAGGATTCTGGGGATTCAAACAAATCATTGGTAACCGAACTCCCAGTGATCTGTTCATTCTTGATCTAAAAAAAAACTTGGTTTCTCCTGGACTTTCAGGAAAACTGAGGCATTGGCTCGAAGGAGATCATACATTGTGCTAAAACAAAACCTCTCTCACAAAGCAAACACAAGCATGTTACCTGTCTGCCCTCCAACACAGACCATCCGCGGGTTTCTCAGAAACTTATACAGGACTGGGAGGACATTGATTATGTCTATATTACTGAAGGGAGCTCGGGATCGACGTTGGCCCCTACAGTTATCTTGTTAACAGCAACCTCGTTTGATGTATTTCCTACAGGACTTCGCCAAAGCACATCGGCTCTCATAGAGACCCAGGAATTACCTGCTCAAAGAAGGGGAATAGACCAGATAGCACCATTATTTCATACGGCGACGAGTCATTATGGAGACAGCAACAGCGGCATTGGACTAGATCAAGGAACTGTCAAGCGAAAAGTGGGAGAGGAGGTGACATACTAAGAGTCGAAGGGATTGATTTAACTGCAAGCGGCGACGGATCAAGGTAAGACCTCGAGGTAGGAGATGAGAGGGTTGAAATTGGTAGTTGATGGCTGACAAGCGAATAGTGTCAGAAAACAAGGCCGCCCTGTGAACATTGCTTGAAACATGGACTGAGATGGGCATACCCTCCCCTTTCAGCCGTCGTTCATCAGATATATGAATTTTCATTGAGATAAGTTGCTAGAGCTTTACGAGCTAATGAATCTCTCCAGCCACAACATTGACTCTCCCTCTTTAGTCTCTGGGACATGAGGCTTTTCCATCTCCTCTTCTCCAACTACCTGCGCCATCTCGTCGGCGCTGAGAATCTCTAAACGCATGAGATTCCTTGTCTGGCTCATAGCGTGAGTTCCCTCTGGGTTATCCCATGATGGAAGTCGTATCTCACACACTTCAACATTACTATTATCTTATGCACGCGATCCTCGGCTATGCAGCATCAGAGCTTATGTCCAGGCACTAAGACCAATCACTGCTCTCAGTATCATTAGGACATCGGATCAAGACCATCCAGGCTATCAAAAAAGGCACTTGCTGGGGCTGAGAAGAACAAGTCTTCCACTGCTACCTGCAATAATGCCTTAACTCTTTGGGAAGAGGGAAATGCCCTGGTGGCGACATGCTTTGAAATGACTTACCGTACATGGTCGTTGGTCATTCAGTTCGTAGTCTAGACAATGATCTGACGGTTTGAGTGGTATAATCTCTCCTGCCGCCTGACGGCCTGCCCGAGTACATGACGTTCTGTCGTGGTGTCGTTGTCATGGCATACACCATGTACATGTATTCGTGCCAGATGCCGTCACTTAAACCGCTACTCTTTGCTAAACACTTAGCCCTGGACTGGAGGCAGGCAGTGTTGGAGCCGCACATACGTGCATGACCGCTCATCAACAGGGAATGGGCTGATCAAGCTGTGGGCGCGATCCGTGCTCTGGAGCTTCTTCTTGTTGTTGATGAAACTGGGGAAGTGGAAAGATGCTTTTGGGAGAAGCTGCTCGGCATTGCTGAAGCGCTGAAGGTCCCGTGCTGGAATAGTAAGCCTGGTAGCTTTCCTTGACTTCATACAGATTCCCGATATCCTGCACTGTTAACTTGACTGACATGATATCTCCCGATAGCGGACTTTGCCCTCACATCACACCTATGGCTGGTGGGTGACTCTCAAGGAGTATGCACATTTTCGATGACTGATCAAACCATCGAACCACATTTCCATGCTAATTGCAGCACACTAACTCGCTCTCAAGCACATCATGGATTCCATCACCGACGTTAAACGCACGGAGCCGCAAAACTTCCTCACCAACAGAGTCGACCCGAGTCAACAGAAGATGGGGATGGAAGCCGAAGCCGGGCCTCAGATGGGTCCGGAAGCAGAGCCAACCGCTTTTGGCTTAAGCATGCTCAAATTAATCTCGAGGATCCGTACCTGAGATGCTATGTTTACAGAAGTCCCTCGGCTCGCCCTTAAGAGCAGTGGTTCGGATGTCTGTTCCGAACTAAGAATCAGTTTCCCCCACTATCAACTGCAGTTTCATCTCTCGCCCCCGCATTTGCCTCCGCATCTGACGCGTAGATGTGGAGCACAAAAGAGTTAGCTTTGAGAAGGCTTGCCAAGGACGGGAGCGAGGACGCTCAGGTCTAGTGATGGCGGAAAGGGAGAGAGGGCAAGATGAACGTACCTAATGACTCAGGTGCGTTTGGCCCCAGCCGAGTGCTTTGTGTGGGGTCTTTCGTGTAACGGTGACATCTAGATCTGGATCTAAATGCTTCAAGATCATGATTGGTGACAGCTGTTGGAGATTTACATTTCGAATTGTCATTATGCGCTTCGGAACCATTTTACATATTGATGTGTTTTCTCGTGAAAGATCTCATTGATCCGTCAAATGCCCAAATATACTACCCCGCACATGAAGTTACAAAACAAATGCCTGACGATAGGTGACCGAATACCTCCAAATCCAGGATCTCTATCGAGGAGACAGCAATACAAACCCTTCTCGCAAAACCAAGCTAAGCCGTATGCGATATGGGTATCTTGGCCTGACCCCGCCCATGCTGAATCGTCATGGAAGTTAGAACCTGTAAAACGGTGAAAAAGCCCGTGGGCGTTGACCGAACATGCAAAGCTGTCGAACCCAACTCCAACTGACCCGAAACAATCCCAGATCGCGACCACCTTAGCCATGCTTGCAGCCCGTGTCCGTCCCTTGTGTACCGCCGCCCCTTGATTGATCCCAGTTGAATCCCAAGTACGCTATCTAAAACCCCTTTCCGAATATTACACCCCTCGGCTTGCGCCTGTTAAAGTTCAAGGAAAAATGGAGAGAAAAAAAACAAAGCCCAACATCCATGCCCCCAAGTGAAACCCATATATGTTCAATGTTAGATATCAGAGAACAAGCAGGTATAAATGTCCAAACTTCAGCCCATATTGAGAAAATAAACACGAAAAAGACGTAACATCAATCACGGCGTTTGACTGCTCTCATGAATTCCGGTCTACCGTCTTCCGAGGCTTGTAGTTCGGCACTTCGTCAAACCAGCCCATAGCTTCGTTGTAACGGTAGGCATGGAACTCAATTCCATACGGCTTCGGTTCGATGGAGTAGAGCATGCCGAGCGGCACGTCTAAATCGGCGATGTCATCCCGGGTAAGATCCATGAAGTAAGCCATGAGGACACGGCAAACCGACCGGTGGGCAATAATGAGCACGTGATCCGTGATGCGCTCAATCTCGCGTACCATGTCTCGAAGACGGCTGATAACCTGAAGATACCCCTCGCCGCCAACTCCAGGGTAGACATATCCCAGCTTGTCGGCATTCCGTTTGGCATATTCCTCCGGGTACTTCTCGGCGATTTCTTCGTACGTCATGCCTTCAAAGTCTCCTGCATTCAACTCGTTAAGCATTTCCCAAGCCTTAACATCATAGTCGTCATCTGCCTCGAAGTATTCCGCCGTCTCAATACTGCGCTTGAGCATCGACGTCCAGACGCAGAAGTTCTTGTCTTCAAGCTCCTGGTCTAGCTCAGGGTATGGTGGCGTGTAGTCTCCAGGCTGAGGAGGGAAGTTCGCCTTGGCGATCTTATCTTTCTGTTCGACCAACCATTCCTTCCGCTTGTGCGTGATGAATCTGTAAAGGGCTTCGCCATAATAGTGGCCCCGCTCCGTCAGTTCCGAGTTGCCACCGAGCTTGTGGAGCTGGTTGTCGACACTTTGGCCATGACGTGTGATCCAAATCTGTCTGGGAGACAGGTTGAACGTAGTCAGGTACGAGGCAATGCCACCGCTGAGGAAGCCCCGAAGGCGGAAATTAATGATTTTTCGACCAACATCGATCATCTATACCTCTTTGTTAGCATAATATTAAGCTGTTTCCTGGGTTAGACACCAACATACCTGAATGTACTGCAGATCGTTGTCCTCTTCCCACTTGCCAAGCGGCTCATAAGCACTCTCATACGCCTTGACGCGCGCCTTGAAATCCTCCAGTGACTTAACAGGATCCTTATCTTTGTAGTCAGGGCCAGAGAGCTTCAGGCGCATGTTGGCTTCTAAAAGCTGAAGCGGACGGTTAGCTTCCATTATAACAGGCACCGATGTTGATAAATCAAGCGAAAACTTACATTCTGGTCATGGCAGATACTCTCAATGAACAATATCCCCAACTTCGGTTCGCGTTGCCTGATGCGCTCTACAAGGAGCTTGCGACGATGAACAGTGCTGTTTGTGGCATCGAGGATACCTACAGCACCACCCTGCTTGAGCAAATAATCCAACAACTCATCCAGAGTGTCAAGTGCCATCTGTTCGCGCAACTTGGAAGCGGCTTCATTCTTGGGATCAAAAAACTTGGCCGACTGGTCCATTGCTTCAGGGGGAACAGGTGGCTTGCCAGAATTGTCCAGGTCCAGCTTTGAAGGCTCCTCGATGACAATGTCTGGATGATTATGGCCCCCAGACAAGATAGTAGCCACCTGAGTAGAAACGTCGTCTTTCGTCGCCGTTTTGCCAGAGCACTGACCTGCAGGAGTGATGCCAGCGACAACGCGCCTACGGTTTCCCACATTGAAAATTTTGGTGTTGTGCTGCTGCCAGTTGAGATAGCGCTGGATCTTTTTGGTAATGTACGACTTGCCCCTGGCAGGCAGGCCGACCATGATGATGACCAACTTGGCAGCAACATCTCTGTCAGGAATACGCCCATCGGGGGATGCCTTTGAGCGCGTCATACCAGGGATGTTGAGGGTTGTTGCATGTGGCCGAATCCGTGGAGTGTGATTGCCAGAATTCTGTCTGACAGGTGGGCTGTGCAGATGAGGTGTTAACTATTGCGCCAAAGACAGTATTGGAAGCTAATGATAAGACGATGATGACAAGGCCCATCAAGATAAGACAGCACAGCTGGCGATGTGGTGTATAGTACTTAATCAATCAGTGCGAGTGCCGGATTATGGGAAAGGTTTGTGAGGCGTAGGCACCGGCGCCGATCTCTCGCCAGCTGAGGATGGCTGGGTAGAGGAAGGCTAAGAGAGGCATGAGGGAGGTGTAACCAAGGACACAAAGGACCAAAGTGTATGTGGATGGACTACTCACATTCGCGGCGACCCTGGCGCAGTGGAAGAGAGACTGCGTGAGTAGGGTGAGTCGTATTGGCGACTGGGAATGGGTTTGTCAAAACGACCGCCATTGATACCATTGCCCTCGATGTTGTTCAAGGATTGTGACCAGTATGGGACGCTGGGCGGTGGCAGAACAGGAAGTGCTTTCTCATCAGTGGGAGACTCGGTTGCCCTGCTGTAACCATCGTCCCTATGCTTTCCCCCATTGACGCCATTGACATAGTTGCTGGTGTGGACCGTCGGCGACGAAGGTGCGGTGGCAGACAGTCCGAAGAAATGGTTCATTGCAAGCTTCCACAGCGAGGGCTGTGGGACGCCTGCAAGGTATCGAAAGAAAAATGCAAAGTTAGCCGTGGTGACTAGTTTTGAGGGGTGGTCCCCTTGAGTACAAGGACAAAACTCGAGTGGGTAAAGTGCAGTAGGTGTGTGTGTGTGCTGGGTGTGGATGGGAGATGGGCTGGTGCACCAGGATGAGAGGAGGGAGTATATCAACCTTTAAGACTCGGTTTGTTGGGTTTATTTTGAGAAGAATCGTTCTGATGTTGTGGCATGGAGTTTGGGCTGAGCGAAGGTTAAAAAAGTCCCCATGTCTGCGTGTCAGGACGGACAGATTGACCGGAAACCCCCCAAAAAGGAAGACCAGCATAGAGGGCTTGCAGCAACAGGGGTGCAGCACGCCGATGCCAGTGCAGGGGGGCTTGCAGGGCTCCCTTGCAGTGGGGTGCAGCTAGTGCCTTGTCCAATCAGGAGCACCTAATCCGCTAGGGGTCGGTGCCAAACAGAGGCGTGTTATGGTGGATCGTGGCCGATGTGCTGGGTCTCAACCCTGGGAGTCTGGGCGATCCGGTTTGGTTAGCCTCGATTTGTGGATTTTGACGGCTTGTGAAATTAGGGATACCACATCGAGAGCGATGAGGACCATGGAAATGGCACAGGAACAGTGTGCAATTGCCACAATCAACTCGGTGAAGCGAGCGAGTCTAGAGAGCCTCAAGAGTATGAACTGGAATCCTACTTACCTAAGGCAGGTATGTGCCTTGTGACTTTGCATATGCAAAAGCGCAGGCGTGTACTCATCCAAAGAGGAGAGCACGCTCTCGTCTCTTGCACGGGGGTTGGTTGATCTGCGATGCCGGCTTCTGAGGCGAAAGTATGCAGGTGCGCGGCGACAAAGAGGCCGTAGTGGCAGGTGTATTGGTGGAACCTGCCACTGCTGGGCACGGGGGTCGCGCAGCCAGCGTTGGTGTCGTTGGAAAACGAGATGACGTAACTTAGCGCCTGCGCCGAAGGCTCCGTGGGGTGACTCAATCAAGCTGACCCAATGCAACCGATGCTGCCGGGGCGCAACTGGCCTGCCAAAAGCAGGAAAAGGGGCGTCCAGCACCGTAAACTGCTGATGCCAAGGGCTGGTAAAATAAACCTGATCCCAATAAGGCGATGACGGACGGCAGTGTCGCCCTTTGAAATAGCCTGTGAGACTGGTGGTGTGCAACTCAGCCTCTGGTGGGCAGGTTGCAATGACAGCAAACAAGAAGTCGATGTCCAGCTCAGAAGCCCATCCGCCAACTGGCTGGCAGTCTGGCATTTAATAAGGCCTATCCTCTGGCCACTCGAAGCCTTATTGCAGCCTTGCAAGGTGCACCCTGCGACCACAGCCTTCGTGAATCTTCTGCTGTTGAGGACGATGCAAGTTAGCATGTGGATAAGAGACAGCTATGGGCAGTGAATGCTGTGAGGCTGCAAGACGTGTGTGGCAAGCGGCCACCTGCTTTAGATGCAGACAAATGCTGTGTATGCAGTTCAGCCCAGCCACTTCAGGCTTCTTTTTATCTTGATATTTGAAGATTTAATCGTCTCATATGGATGGATGATGCAGGCTTCATTTCGGGCCTGACACACCAGCAAGTGCCAGTTTCCCCTGTCAAATGACGAGGACCTTGGGCCATCCGGACTTGGTAGGTGTGCAGGTGAAGGTTCGTGGGCATGTACAAAGTCAAGAAAGCCGGTTTTTTGGGATGAGATTCCTCAATGAATAGCACAAAACAAGCCACAAACTACAGAGTCCCATTTGGTTCCCATGATCTCACCTACCTACCCAATTCAGGGCTTTCCGTAGTATCATGTTGCTTGTCTTTCCTCCATCAAGGAGAGTGTGGCCGGCTTGGCCGTGTCTTTTTCTGCAATGTATGAACACTTCAATCCATTGCTTATGATTCAATCATAACTCCAGCGATGCCCGGACTTGCTGTCTAGCATCCCATCGGACTTCCGTGCTCCGTCGTGTTTTCGTTACCGTCCCTTTTGTCGCTTTTCCATCCCTCATTCGGCTCACTATCTGCTCAAATATTGCAAGGCTCCATGTCTGGAAGCAAATGTGGGTTGTAAAGAATGCCGCCTTTATGTTACTCCCCCCACAGCACAAAGTCTCCCCCTCCATCTTAGTCTGCACTGCACCTCTTCTGGTATCCGTCCCACTGTCGCCAAACTGCGGGCTGCTGCCAAGACTGAACGCAGGTAGCCGTCACGGCGGGCTGCGTTGAGATCGGAGGATCGCCGGAGCTTGGCTTTGGGGTTTCCAGGTTGGAGAGCTCCGCTTTAGCCCCCGGTCTTGAGACCCTCCTGGGCAGCGCGAAAGTTCCACCATCGCATCCACCATTGACGTCGTGGTCACCGGGGATCGGATGTAGGCCTGGCTTTCGATGGTGCTGCCTCGCTGCGCTGCCGTCACCCGCTTCTCGCCGCCCCTAAACGAAAGCGCAAGGCTTGTCATCGTTGATTGCTCACACCACTTCGTTGACACAGGGCTTTACCATCTCTAGGGTACCTGTAACTAGATCACTAGGTATGCCTTACGGCCTACCCTATGTCGGAGTCCGTTGCACAGCAGTTCCGAAGCGCTTTTCAGTACTCTAACCAAATCGTTGCTTGACCGGTTCGGCATATCCTCACCGTCTTGCCACCGCTGCACCGAGGAAAGTCAGAACCACTTCCGCGGTCCCCATCTTCCTGTGATGCCGAAACAGCCTGGAACAGATGCCCGTTGATGTCAAGCAGTTTGGGGCAGGGTGGCCTGTTATGTCTGTAGCGTGGTGCGTTACGGCTTGCTTCCTACCCAGCTTGGATCTTTCCCCGTGACAGGTCATCTCATCGTGCAGGTCACCTCATATTGCATTGGTCTGTCTGCAGTGTCAATATCCGAGAGATCCTTGATCCATCCAGATGGCCGCCGATGCACTGCGGGAAGATTGGAAGCTTGTCCCAACAACATCTCATCGAGCCCCTCCCCACCATCTGTCGAGTCATGAGCCAGTCAATCCACATACCTCCAACTGGCAGACTCGCAGTCCGTGGGGGCGCATGGTGTGGGGTCGACCCGTGGGCCTTTCTCTTGGTGGTTGTGGGAGGCCTGCGCACCCGGCCCAGCCTGGCTGTCTGCGGAGTGAGCCATCCAGCCCTTCTATGTGGCGCCTGCCACGCGCGCTTCCAGGGGCCCAGCCCAGGTACGCGGGGCAGGTGGGGCTTGTAATTTTTCGTCGCAAACACCAAACCTGGAAGGGGCTCTGCTAGAAGAGGTCTGAACGCTCGATGTTGTAACTGCTCTCTAGTTTCCAGTCAGTTCAAGATACGTCGATACATCCAAGAGAGAACAGTTCTTTCCTGAAAGCTGGAAGCACAGGCTGCGCCTGGTCTTGAGCGGAATACAGCATTCCTTCAGCTTCAAATTCCTCTTACCAGCCGGGCCTTTGTTTTTCTCTTCTTGTGCTGTATTCTCGGTCCGTTGCTCTGCCATCTGGGTTCTTGTTTGGGGCTCTTGGCCACTCGAAAAACCCCACCTTGAACAAGGACCTTTGAAACCAGTCTTTCCAACTAGCTGCTTGCGACGGCAGACTTCGTGATCTCCGGCCTGACAATAGCGCTGTCGGTTAGGAGTCGACAACCCGAGTTCGCCTGGCTCTTGGAGAATTTGCTATTGCGCGGGACAAAATGGACGAGGGCGGCAGGTCAATCAAAGCACTACTTGCTGCCCAGGAGCCGGTTGTTAAGGAGCTGATTGAGGATGATATTGAACACGGAGTCCTGGTTCCACTGAAGACAACACTTGAGCTTCGAGATGACTACCAAACTGGGCGGGTATTGATCACTCGCGTGCCCACCAAAGCCGCCAACCCGGCTATCATGTAAGCTGAAAGGCCTTTCCCCTCGCTGCCAATGTCAGTGAGATGCTAATGTATCCAGGCTATTGCGCAAGCTGCTACCTGAAGAAATCATTAAGGGTTTTCCTCATCTACGCAGATGCGCTAAGCCATCGGATCTTCCTGCCCACCTTAAAGCCGAGCTCATGAACGAGTCGCCGCAAAGCAGACAGATACATACCGGCAAGTCGAACTGGATCTACATCATAGTTGGACCTGAAAACATGCTCAACCGAGATGAAGTCGCGCAGGCCCTATCGAGCGTGGAGGGCATAGAAGGAGAGGTTTTCCTGCACAGCATCCCGGTTCCTATGGTCGCTCCAACCTCTCAAGTCCAGGCTGCCTTGTGGTCCCAACAATTCTGGCCTTCGTTATACCGGAAGAACAACCCACTGGGGCCGCACCCCTCAATGATTGCCCGGCAGACCGAGGAGATAGCTGACGACGCGGCTATTTGGATGGCTCTGGCCCACAAAGTGGCCAAAGAAACTCATGCCAAAGGTTATGGTGAACCCATAGGAGCGTGCATAATCCAGCGTGAGGAAGGCAAAACGAAGGTGGTGTCGCTAGCTGGCGATGCCCGCTGGTGTCCAGTTGGTCAAATGAGCGGAACCGGTAATCCTATGGCGCATGCGGCAATGCGTGCTATCAGCATGGTTGCTCAGAAGCTTGTCCGAGCTGAGAACAAAAAGACGCAGACAAGTCCAACACCAGTGCTGGAGTTCGAAGCCTTCCAAGACAGCCCCAATCTTGATGACGAAAAGAAGATATTTGACATTGACCATCCAAATCCCGACGGCTATCTGTGCCACGGGCTTGAAATGTACCTCACACACGAGCCATGTGTGATGTGCTCAATGGCCATCCTGCACTCACGCATGGGCAAGGTTGTCTTCCGTCACCGTATGCCGTTGACGGGTGGGCTGTGTGCCGAGGAGCGCGGCCGTGGCCATCCAGCGCTAAAAGGAGCAGACGGCGGCCGCGGTCTAGGTTTATTCTGGCGCAGGGAACTTAATTGGAGCATGATTGCTTGGGAATGGGAGTCGGGCGGTGCCATGAAGCCTCTCGACGTCGACCATGCTGTGCATGCTTAGCGTCCTCCAGACGTGGGTGTTTTCAGTTGACTGCATACTAAACCTATCAAACAGGGGTTTTTTACTGTGACATTTGGGTTTTGGTTGTCAAGCACACAGTCAGAGGAGTTAGGTAGTCCTCTTGTCGGATGGCATTATGGCGCAACATTTCTGAGTGATGTGTGTTTCTTTGACAAGGAAATTGGCGCTGAGAAATTTTCATCATTCCTCGAAGTCAGAGGCCGGGCGTCGGATTATTGTACGCTTAGACGGTGTTGCCAGAGGTTAGACGGGATATCACGGATGGTTGAGAGCGGGGTCACGGGTTTCCGATTACACTTTCATAGTCCTGTTGAGATACCTATTGAGCAGAATTCAATATGACATTCTAGATCTCCTTGAAGTCACAACTCTTTGAATTCTGTCTTCTCCATCTCGCCAGAGTCGCGAATGGCCTGGGTAGTTCAGTCTTACAGGGCTTGCTATGGTTCCGAAAAGAGTATGTGGTATTCCCTGCCAGTTGCCAACCCCGACATCTCAGGTAAATCAGTACAGTCATCTATGGGAGAAAAAGCGTCAGAATGCCTGGTATGAACGCAGAACACTCTGGTTTGGTGGCCAAGCCTTTGTTGCTGTGTGTGTATCGAAGAATGTTGGCCGTCTTATGGTGAATGCTTATGCCACCCCACAGTTTTTTCCACTCTTCCTTATTAAGTGGGGCTAATTTTGCCCAAGCTAACAACTAAAACGTCCAAGACGCGGCCTTGGTGTAGTGGTCAGCATTGTTGCCTTCCAAGCAACAGAGGGGGGTTCGATTCCCCCAGGTCGCATTTTTTTGCCTGTCAACAAAGTATTGTCCCATATCCCCCTTGCTCGATTAGCTGTTTTGCTTTTGCGTGTTGGTCCTGGACTGATGGCTAAATTGCAAGTTCTTTTGTCTGCAGGTAGTCTGTACCTACGTTGCCTGCATCGGACGATTAAGATGGCTGTGCAAGTGAACCAAGGAACCTATGGCTCTGCTACGTTCCATACACGTGTTCGAAGTCATGTGACTTTGTCGGCGAAAGGCAATGAGGCTGTCTTGTGTGTTCAGGTGACTGCCTGACCGTTTTGCTGATCCTCGGCTGTCCAGCAGCCATGATGGTAAGAATGCCCCCCTAGCCGTTTGGTCAGGCCACCATTTCTCTCGAGACTCTGGGATCTTATGCTCGTACCGTGGTGCATGTCTGGTCATCGGTACGGTATGAGGCTACTATGGGCAGCGTCAGATGCTAAACCGCCCAGTCGAGTCATAGATCTTACCGCTTGCTGCTGGTAATTATGATGTGTCTACCTAGTTCATGTCCTCAACCCCAAAGGGCTCCTGATGTCTGGTCAAGGTCGTAACGGCAGTCAACAGCTGCGCACTCTTCGGAGTATCTGGGATACATGACTGTCAGCGCTTGTGTTTCGCAGGTGGCTGCTTCGTACAGATTGGTCCTTCTCCAGGCTGCTCAACATGTCTGAACACCCAACAAGCTACTGGCATTGCCTAATTTACGTTTCTCACTACGTGGTTGACCACGTATCAAAACTACAAACACAAATATCCTGGTGAAGTTGGGAACACCGGTAAAAAAATATGGAAGCTCCCATCATAGGAGAACTACCCCTCTCGCGGCCTTCTCGGCCATAGTAAGGAAGCCGGTACTTGGCGAATCGAAATCAGAGGGGTGCGTAGATACCCAAACAGCCAGTCGATCAGAGACGTGGCCTCAGAGGTACTGATGGCGTGCCTTTGGAAAGAAAAGTAAGGTTTAGCTGCTTCCTCCCCATGGAAAGCGCTATTCTGTGTATAGATATTGGCCCTTGCGGGCGTGTTTTTGGCATCAGCCAGGCAACATACCTAGGCATGGTTCAGATCCAACCTCAACTCGGCTCGCGGTGCGGTTCTTGGTGAAGCAAAGACTTCGGCTCCTGCTAGTAAACATGTTTGTCCACTTGGGTGATGGAACTGGGCGTTTGGCACGCGGGGACTGGGACGGTTTTCTAGGAACACATCCCCAGTGGCAAAGGAGTTGAAGAGTTGTTGATGACATACTCAGCCCTGTTGTCCTCTCTTGCGAAATTGTTCGGTAAAATCATTATACTTTTAGGTTGACTTGTTGAACTATTTTATCTGAAACTTTTCTCACGGGTCTTCGGGTCCAGGATGGAAAGCTTCAAATTATCTCATTTTTCCTTCAATGCGCCAGACCTTATTCGTTCCCCCCAAACTTCTCGGAGTGTGTCATCGGCATTTCTGGCCGCGGCGAGAATCGCGTGTTAAACTGATCTATTTTGAACCAGCTGACCGCTACGGTTAGGACATAGGTACAGTGTGCAAGTATGGGTAAAGTGTTGATGCAGGTATGGAGGAGTGAAAGTTCAGCCTGCTATCCTTTAGCCCAAACCGCGTCGACTTCAACATGGGTTCCACGGGTCGATGATTCTTTGTGAAAGACAATAGGCTATAGGACTTTCTTCCTTCAAAACTCATCCACCTCGACGTGATGTGTCTGGACAGTGAGAGCGGCGCAAGCATCTCGAGTGAGAATGCGAGGCCCAGCTCTCTCTGCCAGCAAACCTACCACAAGGCAGGGTTGTGACAGAAACAGTGGGTGGATACCACTTGCCAGCGAGTGAAACTAACCAAACTAGCTAGACGGAGGGGAATCCTTGGATCTCCGTTTGTGGAGGTCCCTGGTTAGCCTGCCTGCCAAAGTTCAGGTCTGCGCCAGTTTCGAAAAACGTTACCTACCAACCGTCCACCGTCTCTGGGAATCCGTTCTGCAGAAAACGGTTACCGAAGATGTCCGTTGGCTTGATCGGTATTTCAAGCATGCTGTAGGCAAGTTGATAAGTTTGAACGCTGAATTGCAAACGGTTCGGCAGACAGTGCACAAAGCTCCCCAAAAAAGCCCTATACCTTCAATATGTTGTGACTTGGCGAGCACACAAAGCTGGAATGCTTGCCGGTCTCGGTCTCAGCCGCTAAAGATTGTACACTGTTCTGCGTGCTGCAATGTAGGATAGCCGCAGTTACATCTTCACCGCCTGACTTTTGGCTGCGCTCGACGGCTACGACGCCACATCACTGTGCTGTTTAAGGGAATATTTCTATGCAGTAAACAGAACACAACAGGCTAATTGGAACAATAAATCGTTGGTTTAGCGCATAGATTTTGCTTTGGATGAAATTCTCTGACAAAGGAAGTGCCCCACCTAACAGGGTCAGGGCGCCCAGGAAGCCCCAGGAACATAGCGCAATTGCAACCCCGTGCGTGGCCCTGGGGTCCGTCGACCTTTTGACGTTGAATTTGACGTGAACGAAACTGAACCTGTCAATCTGCTCCCCCAAATTTCGCGGCCGGCGGCGAGGGAGCAGCTGCGCTCTCCGTCCTGTCGATGTGTTCATCCCATCCGCTTCTACCCAACTGACCAGGCGCGCGACATCGATCGCTTCATCAATTCGCTGCGTCCGCACACTCGGATCCCGATTTCGGCTCGACGTTCCATCATTTTTCGCGCTCTGCCAGCACCCAGGACTGTCACTACTGCCGGTGCAACCGCAGCAACAGCAGCAGCACGCCTAGCTGAGTAACAGCGATCTTGTTCGGCGGCCTGTGTCGCCCACCACTGCCACGACCACCCAAGCCACCACACAGTGACTGCAGCGACCCCGTTCCGCCGTCCCACACGTCGCTCCCGCCCCGTGACTTCCACCATTGCCATCACCATCATCATCGCAATCTCAAACACACGCTTCGCCAATTCCCAGCCCCTTTGCCGCGACTAGGCTGTTCGTCCCGATCGGCGCCCAACATGCCCGACCCGGACTTCGAATCCCAATTCGACCTCGAGTTCAACGCCGGCATGCTTGCCGGGCATCATCACACGAACGAGTTCATTTTCGATTCTGATGAGGGCAGCCCGCTTCCTAATCGCCCCGCAAGCCCCGGCCTCGACTGCGGCCAGGTCATGAATGGCACACCCGAGGACTACGGCTCACCGTCAGAGGCCCTTGGCCTGACAAGCAACACTAGCTCGCCGCACGATTCCATGTTTGACTCAGAATCATCCAAGAGGACGTCTAGCACAGCGTCCACGAAGTATACTTTTGGCGATATGTCGATGGACGACAACGGCTCAAACAATATGAAGCTCGACTGGAACCTTACCGATGACGATTTCGCAGCCATGATGCAGCCCAGCTTTAATATGCAGGCCTCGTCCTCCGCACCCGCCCAGCAAGATGTGCGCAGTCCAACTGACAGTCCTAGTCCCTTCACCTTCAGCCCAGATGCGACAAATATGCAAGACGCTGCTACAATATCCAAAGCATCACCTCAGAGTGACGCTGGGCTCTCCTTTCAGACTGCTTGCGAGGATGGTGTTGGGGTGAGTGAATCTTTATATATGCCACAGTCTTGTTCTCCTGCCTGCAGCATGCTAACCACTCCAGCAGGCATTTACCTTTCGGTCGCCTGGACCAAGCATGCCGTCGGATGTCTCGACTGCTCCAGGCGCATCATCCTTCTCTCCAGCAGCTTTGTGCCTGCGTCCCTCCCAGTCAATACAGTCCCCTCCTAAATATGAGTTTCGTGGCGCTCAGCAGCCAGCAGCGCCCATTGCTCCGACGATGGCCACCTTCCCCGGCATGCATATTTTTTCCGCTGGTCCCGTGTCCTCCAGCCATTCCTTCTATCAGGACGCGATGAGGATACCTATCGGGCGTTCATACGAACATGACCAATATGGGCCAGGGCCGTATCGGCTGGAGGTCGATGCCAATAACTCCAAATCTCGTGTTGAGACCCAGATCCAGATCCGGCTCCGGCTGTCGCATCTCCCTCCCGGTGTTACAAAACTTCACCTTCCCAAGCACACAATCAGTAAGACCAAGTTATGGGCGAAGCCTCCGGCGCAGCCTTCGCCGGACATGCTTGAGCTGCATACTGTCTTGGTTTGCACCAGCGCGATGCAGGTTCAGAAGCAGAAGGAGGCGGCTTTGCAACGTGCCAAGGCTGCCGCGCGTCTAGTCAGGGCCCCTCCTCCCCCTCCCAACGGCGAAGAGGAGGAGCTAAAACCACAGGACGGAGGGGAAGTCAAGATTTGCGAGCAGTGCATTGGCCGAGAGCGCAAGAGGGCTGGTCGCAAAAAGCTCAAGAACCCTGAGGACGAGTTGGCATGGATTAGCGATGAGCATCGCCGGGTTATTGTCTTTAATACTCATGAGGTCAAAGACTGGGTTTTGCAAAACCCCCCTGAGTGTGGCTCACGGCCCTTCTTCCAGGTCGAAGCTCCTATGAGGATAGCTTGCTACTGCCGACATCATGCTGAGAAGTTGGGATTCCGTATCATCTTTACTCTGACCGACCACCGCGGCGAGATCATTGCCCAGACCCTATCCCCGTCTATCATGATCACCGATGATCACAAGAACACCAGTCCCAAGCCCCAACCAGGCTCGCGCATCCGGAAATTAAGTCCAACAAGGGATGAGATTCCAACGCAAGGTGTCAACGGACTGACCCCTTCGTTAGAGTCCTCTCCTAGCCTTGATCTGCAGGCTGCGAGGCGAAGTTCAGCAGGTGTGCCGCCGATGTCCACGACGTCGTTGGAAACACCCCAGCAACAGCCTGTGTTGGCAGCCGCAGCTCAAGCAGCTAGACCTATATCGCGCCCTCCTTCACCCTCCCTAGCAGGCGGGCCGGCTAAGAGGAGGAAAGCAAATAAGTCAGTCAAGATACCGGGCGACGTGACTATGACACGTCTCGACACTGCTGTACCATCAGGTCATCGTCTCCATCCGTCGATTTCCAGCACTGGGCCGCTGACACCAGCAACCTCGCCGTTTCCTCCAACGCCACCGGCTACATTACCGCAGACTTCCGACATGTCGCTCTTCGGTTCTACTGCCGCCCCCACGGAGACCATGCCAAACCCGTTTGGGAGCGCTTCGCAGACACCCGGGACTGGTAACAGCCAGTTGCTTCTGCCCAACTTGAGCAGGTCCTCCAGCTTCGCAAACATGAACATACCCATGTTCGGTGCCCCTGGACCAGCCCGTCCCAATCCTGTTTCAAGCCCCAACGCCACGAGGCCTGTGCAGGCTACTGCTGGTGCTGCTCCTCCTGCGCCCATTATCGGTCAGCCACGACCACAGCCTCAGGCCCAACCGGTGATTTTCAAGGTCATTCCGGGAGAGGGCCCCATTGCTGGCGGCATAGAAGTCACCCTCATGGGACAGGGTTTCTACAACGGCATGCACGTCATGTTTGGCGATAGGCAGGCTCCTGCGACGACTTTTTGGTCATCGGAATCGCTGGTGTGCCTCCTGCCGCCTGCTGCCCAAGCCGGCATGGTTCCTGTTACTCTCAAGGAACAAAACCCCCAGATGCAAAATGTGGCAACTCAATGGTTCAGATATGTGGATGATACAGAGCAACAGTTGTTGCGCACAGCTTTGATGATTCTCGGCAACAAGATGACGGGCGGATACGAGAATGTTGCTGATTTTGCTCGTCGAATCATCAAGGAGTCTGGAATGAGTTTGCCAACCGGCACAACGGAGATGGGTGCTGAAGGGACGACTACTCGGGCCATTGATAGCTTTGAAAATCACCTGCTCAAGGTGTTGGAGCTCATGGATATCACCAATACGGCCCGGAAGCCGCGACTTAATCTCAGGAGGTCAACCGGGCATACCATGTTGCATTTGGCCTGTATTCTTGGACTTCACCGCTTCGTGGCTGGTTTGCTAGCTCGCGGAGCAAATCCTGATTTGCGAGACAAGGGCGGCTACACAGCTTTGCATTTGGCGGCGCTCCACGATCGTCCTGAGATTGTGCGGATCCTGATCAATCACGGGGCAGACACGACTTTGCGGACGTTATCTGGTCTGACGGCAGCAGATGTTGCCAGGTCAAGGGAATGCTTGCGGCTTATTCTCCGGTTCGAGCAGCATAAACGGACTCAGAGCGGTAGCGTGCCGCACAGCAGAATTGGCAGCGTCACGAGCCTGAGATCTCTCCGGCAAGAAGCCATGGAGTCGTCCGAATCCGAAGCTTCTCCCAGCACATCGAGCGATGAACCCAAGTCCGAGGACGACGGCATTGTCTTCTCCGATGACTCCTCTTCCGAACTCGCCACAGGTCGTGCTGTCAGTGACGAATCTGGACTTCGCATGCGGCGTGGACGAAGCAACGTGAACACTCCACGCGAGAAGAGCCCAGCAGCCCGTCCTCGGCGACGCGGCACCGAAGGTGCTTTTGGCCTTCCTGCTGCGGCCATGAACCTCATCAAGGAACAGGTAGCCGTCCACTTCCAACAGCTGCAGCAGATGATGGTGCCAGGTCTGCAGTACTTGCCGCAGTTCCCTCAACTTCCCCAGTTCTCTCAATTTTCATACCTGCCGCAGATGCCAAACATGCCTCCTTTGCCGGAATATCAGGCCGCTGTTCTCCAACGCCTAGCCGCTATGATCGGTGCCGCCCGTCCTGGGCCCGATCAGCCCGGAGAGCCCACGACCAAGAGTCGGGAAGCCTCATGGGGCTCGTCCGCTGATGCCGATGTTCAGACGCCGCCGCCGGCCTACGATGAATTGTTCCCAGACCAAGCGGGCAATAGTGCCCTTGATACGAAGCGAGCGTCTGTGGCACAAGCAGCTGCTGATGCCGTGGCAGATGCGAAGTGCGCTGCGATGTTTGATCAGCCCGTCACATCGGCAACGACATCAACAACTACTGCTGCAGATCAAAGGGCAGAGGAAGATGACGATGCCGATGATTCAGCTTCGCAGGAGCTTCCTGTTTTGCTGCACGTAGGCCGCAAGAGCGCTATCACTCGAGAGCAACAGGTCACACTGCGACGGGCACACGCCAGAAACCGCAAGAAGCTGGCTTGGGATCGTAATCTATTCTTGATTTGGGTATGCATTTCGCCTCGTACATTTCTCATGCCGTTTATAGCAACTTATTGAGCTGACTCGTGTTTCCAGATTCCTCTCCTCGTACTCATGGTCTGCGTTATGATCTACCACGGCTTGCACGGCTTTATGGGCACTGCGCCTGGTTGGCGCCCTCCCGTCATCTTGCCCGACGCCCTTGTTGCAGGCAAGGAAAGTCAAGGAAACATAGCAAATCCGGCCCTTGATGTTGGCACCGTTGCTGATCTTAGGGCTCCCCAGATGCAAGAGCAGCATGAGGCCGTTCCCATCCTGAACGTCTAACTCGTGCTTCTCGTGGCGCATCTCGGTATTATTTACTTCACTCATTAATAGTGTTATACCTGTTTGCTTGCTGGATGGATGGATTTGCCCTGGTTTTCTCTTCTCTTCTCTGTGTATATTTCGCTGGTAATGTTTTGCGATTGTTTCCAACTGTATGCTATACGGTATGTATGTGGGAACCAGATAGGGATGGTTGTATGTCTTTGGGCGGATCGTTGGTTGAATGGCGGGGATGGAATGATCAGGTATGGAGATGGTGCTTGATAATGCCAGGATCCTTAGAGGGTTGGGCTGGGTGGTTGATGATTGCGAGTGTGGACCGGGATTTTCTTTATAAAAAATTTTTTTATTTTACTTTTTTTTCCATCATTGCCTCTCGTCTTCTTTTTTTCTCGTCCGATTCAAAGTACGAAGATACTTATACATTACATTTATTTTCGAGTAGCAAGAAGGAATGCAGTGGTAGCTCGGTGGGCATGATCCAGTGTCCTCGTTTTTTTTCCATGGCCTTACAGGTTCAGAGATTGTGTAAAGATGACCAGATATCTACATAGTACATGATTGCAAACGCAGTTAGTCATATGACGACCGCATATCCAAGCTATGTGTTGTCTATTTTTGCCAGGCACGGCTCTCAAGATGAGAGCTGCCCAATCCTTCCAACTGATGATCTTGTGTGTGCACAGCACAAACTTCCAAGCTAGGTACTCTAGCAGCTCAACGGCTCCCAGGCCAGGAATAAAGGGCGCCGTTCGGTTTAAGCGACAGAATAGGATGCTCAATGTAGATGTTTCTTCCGGTTCTCCTGAAGTATAGCGAACTGTTAGTAGTAGTACTGTTGTCATCTCACGGGTGTCCTCGCAATGGCTATGCAAGTCAACTTTCCGAACCAACTTCCCCAACAACAAATCAGAGCGGTCCGCTGGCTCAATGGCAGAGCGTCTGACTACGGATCAGGAGGTTCCAGGTTCGACCCCTGGGTGGATCGATACTCTTGCGATATTTTTTAATGGATACATTTCAAAAACACTTTGAACTCTGAGTGATGGGCACATGACTTGAGACTGGGCATCTTGTAGTCTTGTGGTAGCTATAGGGCATAGGCATTTGTTGGTTTGCTTTACTTTTTTTTCTTTTTCCGCCGTATTGCTATCCACTTGTATCCTCGTACCCAGGAATCCGATATGCGCTCCTCAGGAGAGCTCAGGAGAGAGTCAAATCGCAAGGCAAATGGGGGAGTGGCAGTTTGGAACGTACAACCCCAGACGACAATATCGAGGTTCACAAAGCGAGGGCTGACGATAGGTATCGGGTACACTTGACGCATAAAAGAGACATGATCAGACAATGACCGAAAACAACATGTAGTTAGAGCTAGAGGTATCCAGACACAACGATCAGTACAAAAGCGCTGCAGTACATATAAACTCCACCTCGCACGCGATCCAGCGATATATATACAGGTCCCTCCAGTCAAGACTCCCAGATGAATTCGTGATGTCGGTCTTTTCAGGAGAGAATGGCGAGGCAATTGTCAGTGTAGTAGTGTGCAATGAACAAACCGATGTACTGTAACCTCCCGTCCCGATCCCGTCCCGTCCAGTTCCCAGTCCAGCCCAATCAATCCGCGTGTTTTCATTGGTCATGAAAGTCGTCGTCATAAGTCATCATCATCATCATCATCTTTAAGGTCATCAAACTTGGCCACTTGGAGGCGTAAACATGAAGTGTAGAGAAGGGATGGAGGAAGTAGGAGATGGTATCTGTAGAGGGGCATGATGAGTCTCTCACTCGCATCCAATCTCTGAACACCACACCGTCTATGCGAGACCAAGATAACCAAGCCGGGCATAAAAGAGAGTGGAGAAAGAAACAGAACGAATGACTGAGGTGAGTAGATGATAGACAGGATCAAAAGAGAGGGAAAAAAAAAAAACAGCAAAAGAAAAGAGAACGCCAACCCCCAACGCCTTCATTCCAGCCGTTAGCAATACGTCAGTTAATGTTGACGGTCCATTGGAAGATGCCTCCGACCCCTCGGTTTTGTTGTGGGGGGGAGGGGGCATTTTAATACAGCTCTGCTTGAGCCCAAACACAAAATCCACCTTTTGGAGAAAGACAATACATTAACCGCACCATAAGGAATCAAAACGCCTCCAGAAGTGCGAGGAAAGAGAAGACCTTTACCCCCAAACACTAACGGGGATGTTCTCAAGATCGTCGCCCAAACCCGAGTCGCGGTTGTTCCCGCTGTGGTTTCGCCGGTGCGTAACACTATAGGACTTTGTAGCCGTCGCCATCATCGTTGCCGAGTCTTCGCTCCCCACGCTCCTGCCAAACTCCGAAGCAGAAACGTCGTTGCAAAACGAGGGAGGAATGCGCGGCACATGAGAGATGCCGTGATTCGGATCCGGCACGATGCTCAGCGTTTTGTGGATCTCCTGATCCCCTGGTTGCTGCTGCTGCTGCTGCTGCTGTTGTTGTTGTTGCTGGATGCGTTCGTAGAAAGAGCTACCCTGGCTGTGGCTGCGGGATGTGAGGAATGACAGAGGAGGAGGGGTAACTTTGCGGCGGCCGCGGCGTTCTGGCGACGGCGCATGCAACATGGGGACTGGCGGAGGTTCTGGAATACGTGGGGGATCGATCATCATGACGTCCTCCGCATCTTGTGGTTGGTAAGGCTCGACTGCGGGCGTGGGCTCGCGCTGGCGTCGTCCCAGGCTCCAAATGCCGCGGTGCTTGAACAGTTTATTTTTGAAGGTAGTCGTCGATGTAGTAGTTATGATAGTAGGGAGAGAGTCCTCCGTGGCAGCAGTCATTATGGACGGCGCACGGCCACCGAAGGCCGAGAAGGTCGGGGAGATGGGCGAGCGGGGATAAGAAGAGGTTGACGCCCGCGGCCGACCGCTATGGTAGGTGCAGGAAGTGTATTGCGCACGATGCTGCTGCTGCTGCTGCTGCTCTTGTCGTTGTAGTTGTTGTTGCTGTTGCTGTTGCTGTTGCTGGCTCGAGAGGGCAGTTAGATCTAGCGACAGACGAGAGGCAGAGCGGCGTAGCTTCTTGACAAGCTTGCGCGCAGCACCCTCGGTGTCCATGGGAGGAAGTTCACGAGATGCCAGCCGTTTTGCCGATCGTGATGGCGAGGTCGATTTTGATGTGGCGCTCGACGAAGGGCGAGGTAGTAGTGAAAACGGGAATGGGATATCGTCAGTCATGTCCACATCGTTCAGCATCTGTTCTTGATATTGCTGCCGTTGAGCAGCCAGGCGGTCTGCAAACGACTTGGTTTCAGTCATCGCTGGAGCAGGTACACTCGTCCCAGTCGACGTCGACTGCGGCATAGGATGTCGTCCACCACGGATTGCATGAGCGTCGAAGAAGCCCGACGCGACCAGGTTTCGATAACTCTCCAGCACCTCTTCGCGGGTGGGGTATTGGTCTCCGATAAGGGAAGCCTTCGCTTTCCCGACGTCTTTCTCTTTCTCCTTACTGCCATTGCCGTTGCCGTTGCCGCTGCCGCTGACCACACCCACCATCCGCCCAATGCTTCCAGATGATTTACTCCCCCTTAGCCCACCCAAGCCTGCTAGACCGAACTTCTCGCGCGCTGCACCCCAAAGCAGAGAGAGCGAGCTCGTCTTCTTGTGGACCTGCTGGCGACCGCCGCTGGACCAGCAGATTGCGACACTCTTGGGACGTCGCAGCTTGTGTTTATCGCTCTTGCTGCTGCGGCTCCCTAAGGCCAGAGCAGCGTTGAGTTCAGCATCATAGTCGCACATAACCCCGTCACCGAGAAAGTCGGGAGGAGGAGCGGTTGAAACGCGGTCGTTCATGGACCCTTCAACAAAACGGCTCTGTCCGGGTTGAAGCGGCGGCCGGTGCCGCGGGGGACGGGGGCCGCTCTCGTTCGTCTGAGGCTCGCATTGGTGTGCTTGCTCATCATATTGCGACTGGAATTGCTCGCAGTCTTGTTGCAAGCCGCAATGACTACAGTCATCACAGTCGCTGTTGGAGGGAGGGCCGGGGGGAGGCATCGTTTGGGTTCTCTGACGACGGATGATGGGTGTCGCGGGTTGTGCAGGAGGAGGAGACGATTCGGGGCGGCATATGTAAGCAAGCACCAAGTTACCTTAGATATTTATTTGGGTTGCCAAGTGATCGTCTCTGTGTTGTCTTTTGTTGTCGATAAGCCGCGGTATGTTTTGTGCTGCCGGCCGTCGTCACTGCAACCACACTGTTCAGGTTCTCCAATCGCAGGCAGAACTACCCGATAAGTGCGGTGTCGCTGCGTTTACCGCGGAAGGACCTGTGGTGATTAACGGAGAACGATGGTGCAGTTTTGTTTACTTGTATTTCGGCGATGCATATGCGGGCGGGCGCCCACCCAATCTCTTATCGTTTGTCTTTTTTTTTTTTGACGGAAGCAAGGTTGAGTCAATACTAACACGTCTCTGATGTATGCAGAAGGGGAGGAAGCTGGCTGGAGAGAAGAGAGTTGGAGCTAGGTCAGAGAGAGAGATGGGGATCGCGACCCGAGACGTTGAGAAAGGCGGTATCGACCCTCGGAAGCAGGGGAAAGGGAGAAAGGGGTGGGGGGGGGGGCTGGCAAAACCCTGGGCTGCCGTTATTGACATTCTAGGTTCTCTTCTGGGCGTCTCGGCCGCTTGGCTTGATCAATCACCCGCCCACGGCATCCACTTCACTGCACCGGGCAACCGGACAGAGCGGCCCGCTTTTGGAAAAGACCCAGATGGGTTGTAACGTGACAACGGTCCCTTGGCAGTTGTAAACCAATCAAATTGACTCTGCAATCTGCACACCAAACTTCGATCGATCCTGGGTCAATCTCCACCGTTGCAACTTTGGCGACCCTGCACCAGTCCCTCTTCGTTGGCGCCCTCCACCAGCGTGTCGCGCTTCGTGCGTGTGTTGTGTCTGTGTGTCTGTTCTGTTGGTATGTCTGTGTGGTTGGTCAGAGCACGGGGCTTTACCGCTGCTGCTGTAAAACTCTTTTTCATCCTACTGAGTACCTACCTACCTACCTTATATACAAGGTAAAAGGTAAGGGAGGTACCTGACAATCCACACGGAATATGTCATGCAGCACGATCTATTGGTATAAAGCTTGGAACTTAGGGTTCTGTCCAAGGTACAGGGTTCGATATCCTCCATACTGTTGTTGATGCTACACTACTTGTACATAGGTAGCTCTCCCGATTCTCCTTCAAACACTTCCTGTGTAGCAAGTGAGAACAAAATCGGGCAGAGCTGTCACCCCCAACAGATTGATTTCCATCGATAACTATAGAGGTTCATCAGGTCTCCATCATGACATCCTCCAGCATTGCATGTCGTCGAATCGAGTCGTCTCATAGCTATTGTAACGATCCAGACAGACCTCCTGAGATGGGTTCGATGGTTGCCAGGCTGCTGGATTGTGAGAGACAGGAGTTCTCACACAACCAAAGCGGCCGTTGTGGTCACCAGTTGGTAAGCAACCGTTGTATTGCTGACTAGAGAGTTTCTTGGGCCAGATGGCCCTACTTGGAATCTATATACATCTCATGCACTCTTGTGGCTTCTTCCTCAACAGCAGAGATTGCTGAGAGTTAACATTCTTGGGTATTGAGGAACACTTTTCCAATGTTCGGTTGTTGGGGACGGATATCCGGATTTGATGGGTCACAGATCCCTTCTACTCCGATCAGTGAGTTGCACGGAAGCTGCTCTCCCAGATAGAGTCATTGTTGGTCGTGACAGCTATCTAGGTAAATGAGACTAGACATTCAATGGCGTGTTGGGTCTAGAAGACACCGAAGAGGGTATTGGTAAGCAGTTTGATACCTATGGGTATTGGTATTAAGAAAGACCAGTCCAATATATGGTTAGACAAGTCCACTACAAGAGACGAAAGAAAAAAAAAAAAAAAGTTAAAAAGGAATGACTCAGGTCGGCTGCGTGGTAGTGCTATCCGCCCATCAGCCTCTATCAGTTTCGCTTCTTCCCCATCTCTTTGATAGTTAGTACCATCTTCCCACCCTCGTTCCCAGCCCAATCCATAGCCCAATCCCCAATGCTGTTCTTTCTCCTCATCACTAGGATGGATATCAAGCTCAAACCTAACACTAAACTTTCTTCCCATCAAGGTCAACTCCTGGCCATCCCGACTCAGTCCTGGGCCGTCCAGCGTTCATCCAGGGGACATCAGGATCTCAAAGATGAGCAAAGCGAGGCAATGCACACACGCGCCCTGGCAGTCGATAGGAAGGGAAGTAAAAGGAGTTAAGACGACTCAACTAAAGTATGATATCAGAGCTAGCGAGTTGCAGAACCGAGCTAAGCGCGCACCCGAATTGCGCGGGAGACCCGTTGAGAACCTGGAACCCGGAAAAGAACCCTGGACTCCCGAAACCCCCAACCAACCCAACCAGCGTGCTCATAGTATCGATGGTATATACACACACACAGTTGCCTTGTTGAGGCAACAGCAGGGGGAGGAAAAAAAATCAATGGAAGGTAGGGAGCGATGCCTGCCGTCCATGTCTGAGATCTGGGGGTCAAACAAAAACTTTACGAACCAAGAGGAAATGACTTAAAACTTCGAAAAAAAATGTGCAAGATGGCGGAGAGACAGAAAACTAAACCCAGACCAAATCAAGCGCAAACCGATAGATCGATAATGAAGGAATAAAAAAAAGGAACGGCGCAGACTGACGGAAAACCCCATATCCCAGAGACAGGGAAAGGGAAAAAAGAAAAAGGAAAAACAAGTGTTTGCATCTTCCCAAAACTACTTCGCAGCAGTTCGACATCTCGGTACCCTTAGCCAAAACTTAATTCAACCAGACACATTTACAAAGCAAACCGGGTCGCATCATTCAACTTCAGCGCATCCTTTCTATGACCGTTGGCGCGCTCGAACCACATAGGGCTAGCATTGCCAGTATACTCGGAGGGCAGGTCATCAGCCGCGCCCTTCTCGCGCTGGCCGTCCTGGTAGCGTTGGACGGCAGGCTGAGCGAAGGTTTCATCACGCGCACGCTTCGAGCCAGCAAGTGGCGGAGGGGGAGGAAGGGTGAGCGGGTTGATGGGACCGGCTGACAGGCTGGGAGGCCGGGGAACAGCAGCCAGAGTTGCCGGAGACGGGAGAGTCGGGCGCGGCCGCGAGTTCGAGATACGGCTGGTATCAATCGGAGGAAGCATGACCTTGTTCTCTTTGGTCGACGGCTGGAGCGGCGCGAGCGATGCGTGATGCTGAGTAGGAGTAGCCAAGGGGGGAGGAGGAGGAGGAGTGTGCTGCGACACAGTGCCAGGCGACGGCGCGAACTGCGAGATATTGTTGATAGGAGGAAGAGTGCATGATTGAGAAGGCGGGCGGCTGTGCTCCGAGGGCTGGCTGCCCTCCCGACGCAGGATGGGGGTCGTGGCCGGAGGAGCAGGTTGGTAAGACGGACCCGGAGTGCGCTCACGACTATACGAACGCGCAGGGGCCGAAGGGGGCGGCGGCGGTGGAGGAGGGTTAGCATAGGACGGCGGAGGTTGATAGTGAGTGCCAACCGGCGACTGCGGAACAGACTGTGCTTGCGAATAGCTTTGCTGAGGCTGGCCAGGATACTGCGAGTTGGAATTGGTAAGGAACTGAAGATGACGACCAGCCGGGCCGGAGTTCTGCTGAGAATACTGAGGAGGGGGCGGGGGCGGAGGAGCATGATATTCGTGCATGGACGGGCGACGATGCGGTTCGGCCGGATACGGAGTGCGCTCTTGACTGCCGCTCATGGACCTCGCGCGTTCATGATACTCAGTACGTGCTCCCTCAGGCGTGGCCGTCCTCCTGTCATTCCTGTACTGGCCATCCTCGTTATTGCGGTTAGAGCCCTTGTTGTCGCGGCGACGCATGCGCACATCACGACGGATGCGAACGCGGCAGCCCTGCTCAGCAACTACACGGCTGAGCTGGGTGCTCTCGGCCAGGCCGGGGAACTTCTTCGCACTGTAGACAATGAACTCGGCCGACTTGACTTCCATGCGCCAATCGAACGACTCGACGGCAGCCGGATGGTTCATGTCGCTGATGGGCGCGAAGATGAGGTCCGCATTGCACGCATCCTTGTCCTTGTCTTTCTCTTCCTTTGTCTGTTCGTAGAGGTTAAAGCTCAGCCTGTAGCGGCCCTCGTGCCTGACGGAAAGGTCAGGAAACAGGAAGTAGCCCGCCTCGATGGGACGGTCCAGATAGGCCATGCCAGATACAGGCATGCCGGTGAGGACGGGAACATTGGCAGGCGGAGCAGGGGCGCCACGCGGGTGAGCCATCAGGCGAGCGTGCTCAAGGGTGGCATAGAGGAAGAAGTTGGCATTGTAGTGGAAGGTGATATCCTTTTGCTGAGCCTCCTGCCATGTTGCGCCCTCGAAGATGCGCAGCTCCACGACCGGAGGAGGATCAACGGGGCGACGATCAGCAGACGCTGCGATGCTGTTAGAATCACACAACTACTTCAAAAAAAATTAAATTAGTTCTAGAGATGCCCGGTACTTACACTTCGGGCCGGAACCGCAGGCTCTGGCGCGCTCGGGCTGCTGGATGACCTTGAGGGAATACCACAGTCTGCGGCCGCCCTTGGTCTCGCGGGAGATGACCGCGGGCTCGATCACGGCGCCAGTGGTGTCGACCTGGACGGAGTGGTTAGGTGCTGCAGCAATTGGCGCACCCATCTTGGCTCGTTTCGCTCGATGTTCTTGGCTCGATTGCTCGATACGGATGAGATCAAGGAAACGAATGACGTTGAAAAGCGGATTGGAATTAAGAGATGCAGAAATGTGACCAGATTCGAGGAGTGATAAAATGGATCAGTAGGCAAGACAAAAAGAAAGATTGGAGATTGCGCAGAATCGTTCCCAGGGTCACACGCGATGGATGTCTTGTCGTGCAATGGGCTCGGCCTCGATCCCAATCAATCAAATCAATAAAATCTCGATTGAGCAGCCAAACGACCCAAATTCGATCCCGCTTGCGTCGTGTTCTGCGGCTCGTGGCGTGCGTCGCTGCAGTCGCTGGCGTGGTCTTCGAGAAAACCGCAAAACCAAATATAGCAGTCTTGTCGGTCGGCTCGAAGCAGGAGGGTGAAGGCAGGATAGGGTCCCAGGCCTAGCTCGTTTCCCAGAAACCAGAGTGACGGGACTCGTAGGTGGAACAGCACAGCACGGTCGGACCCGGTACTCTGTTACCTGTTGGGTTTATTTTTTTTTTTTTTTGCCTATAGGGCGGAGTCAGGATGTCGACGAGTGGCCGTTTCGCAGCGTTTGCTGGCTTGCCTGTTCGTCTCAGCGTGGCGGGGAACAGCTGGTTTCGCTGTGGTGATGGCAGCTGGAGAGCTCAAGGTTGTGCGGGAGCTCGACGAGCTTGATGGGAGAGGTTGTATAGAGGTGAAGGTATGATGGGTAGGTAGGTGACCTTAGCGGCGATGGCAATGGTCCGTCTTGTCCCTTTCTCTTCTTCGTCTTCTTTCCTTTTTTACCCTCTTTTTTTTTTCTTTCCAGGCGATTGCTGGATGAGGTCGTCGATTCAAGCGGCCGCGTCTCCTCGCGGTCCCGTCGTTCGCGGGCTGTGGAGAGTAAGAGGAGGGAGAGTGGAAACGGGATGGAAGAGAGAGAAAAGTGCAACGGAGGAAACCCAGCCCCAGCTGCAGCAGAGCAAGACTGGACACACAGCGGACACAGCAGACCACGACACACAGCACCAGGGCACAGCCCACAAGGGGAGGGGGCGCGGCCGCCTAGAGCCTGATGGATCCTGAGACCCTCCCGCCCGGCACCGGGGTAGGGGAGCACCCGAGCATTGGACACCGGAGACTGGGGAGAGGACTCGAGGCCAGGGCGCCAAGCCCATGGCAAGGGGGGGTCCGAAAAGGGAACGCATACAACCTGGCGCTCGAACCAGGGAGCCGCTGAAAAAATGAGCGCAGGCGCCATGTCACAGCTCTTGCATGGTCAGTCGCATCTGGGGTGGAGGCTCTTCCCCGCCGACCAACCCCCCCAGCAAGCGACCCAGAGAGCAGCTATGGTTCCGCTTCCAGGGCCGCGGACAGTCGGACCTGATTGGCACGGTGCCACCAGCCATTGGACTGGGCTCATCCACCACTCACCAGGACTCGGCTCTACCGGCAACGTCCGTTCTGATTGGCCACAGGTGTTCCCGGCACAGCGGGAGCAACGCCCGTCAGCGGCTCAACACAGTGCAGCAGCACCGTGGGGCAAATTTTATGTGGGCTCTGTTGCCTATCCGGGCCTAATGACCATTCTCCGCCACTGGTGCCATCGAGCTCCTGCAGCTTGGGCGGCTTCCCATTGGTCAGATATCGTTCGCGACCCCCACTTTTTTCGATCCAACGTTGAGGTTCTGGTGGGCTGGCGCACCACTGGCCCGCTGCTCACCCTGGCTCTGGTCGCGACCACGGAACTTGGACCTCTTGCACGAACCATGGATCTTTCGAGCCGGATGTGCTCCAGTGGAGATTACCTGCCACCGTTGCGATTCTTCCCATGCCGCTTGCGTGATGGCGAGGGGATCGCTGGCTGAGATGTCCGGCGGCTGGCAGCAAGCAAACGACAGACATCCGGAGAATGGAATTCGAAAAGGAAATCGAAACTAACGACCATTGAGAGAATCATTGGGGAAGAAAATGGATACAGATGTGTAATCTTACTGGTGTATGGAGTATCGCTTATTGATGATGAATAATAGCAGGCGTTGCGCTCAGCTGTCTCACCGACCGACCGTCCTTGACTCCTCGCTGCCTGCCGCTCGCCCCCGTTTCTCTCGCATTCCCAATCGGACAATACCGGCCGCCATATTGTTTTTTTTTTTGGGGGGGGGGGGGCGGCCAAGAAAAATGAAAAAAAGAAAAAAAAAGAAAAAGCCAGCGAGTGAAGAAACATGTGCACCAAGGTGTACGTTGGATGTGTGTCTGCTCTGGCACGAGCCAAAGAACGGCCATTGTTGGCTTCCAAAGCTTCTGTGTAGCGTTCCATTTCTCTTCAAATCTCGCCTGCTTTGTGACATAAAAGTACGTACATCCATACACCTCACTTTACAGCCCATCTCGCTTGTGGTGATGACTCTTAATGAACAACACCCATTATCGCTTCGGTTCTTGGCCCCGAATCTCTTCCCGGAAACAGCCAATCTACCGGTATTCATTCTTGGTTTCTTTTCATCAATTTGTTCCACGTTCCTGTTGAGCCTTGTTCTGTATATCTTCCTGTATCGGAAACTTCACCACGTTCTCAGTGACACGTCTGCTTTGCTTTTGGCTCCTTATCGGCACGTGGCCAGAGACTCATCTTCGTGGCAGCAAGTCAGGTTGCGTAGATCCCCAACCCAGCACCATGTGCACATCCACCAGCCCAGCACAGTGCAGGACTGGCGCTGCGCTAGCTAAGTTGCCAAAAATGTGAGATCATGCCCTCCCAACAAATACCTATCCTTACCTACGCTACTTTGTATGTAGGCTAAACGCTCATTTTTATTCGGCGGCACGAGAGCATGAATGCGGCACTGGAACTGTGAAAATTGCTATAAGGTGAACCCAAGTCGTGATTTTGGTTTCTGTTAGCTCTATTATGCGATTAGATAAAGTCGTGACGAATTGCTTAATGAACGCCGCACTCGGCTCTGGTGATTGATTCAACAATGGGCTGTTCGGGGACTTAAGCAAACCCGGCTTTGTTGCTTGTTGTGGCCACGGCACCGGCAACAGGGTTCTGGGTCTTCCATGTAACAATGCAGGAGGGTGATATGCTGGCCACAGCCCCACACAGCCTGGCAGTGGCACTGGCTCCGGTCATCAGAAAGAAACCCGGAAGCTTTTTTTCGACCTGCCAGAACAAAGGGTGGAAGCACTGACCACCTTCCCTCATTGACAGCACACGGTCCCATGCACACACACACACCTTCCAGACAAGGGGAGCCGTCAAATGGGTTGTGGTGTTGCCAAGAGATCACCTATCAGCTGCAGATCGCACTGTGCAAACGGTCGGTGGACAACTCGCGGCGGGATTGTTTTGCTGGACCCAAAACCCGTAAAACCAGTGGCCATCCCATGACCCAAGATCCACGATGCTTTGTATATATATATCAAAAAACAAAAAAAAAAAAAGGTTCCCAATCCTCCTGCTTCATCACTGCTCACAGGCAGTGACTCTCATCTGTAATCCGCTCAGATCTTACCGCCGGTGTGCAAACTAAAATGATGAAGTCGGCCAAGCCAGGAGAAGCAAGCAAGCAACGGCACAGAAAGAACGAGATACGGATCCGACCGGCTTGCCGAGGAGGGTGCCCTTCCTTTTCGGACTCCTCCCCAGGTCACGGTCGGAAAAGGCTCAGAAAATCTCCGACTCCCGTTTCAAACATGGCCAACCGATCGCATGATGGCAAACGAATACCGGCATCGGGACTCCGACTTGCAAGGGCCGGTCCGTGTTGCGTGCTCCCATCTTTTCGGACCCCTTGAGCTTGGAGTCAGACGCTGAGCTGATGGGCTTTTTTTGTTCAAGATCCCGTCCCACGTTACTAAACCGAAAAAAAAAAAAATAAAATACCTACATATGAGTCTATGATAAGCATGCCTGTCCGTTCCTTAATATCTATGATCTGGCACTGCCTGCTCGTGTCGGCTATTAAAGGCATATATGGCTTCCCATATACTATTGTACAGTACACATTCAGAGCGGCTTTTGCTGTAAGCGGTGCTTTTCTGTTTCAGGAACCGGGCTGCTCCGAGATCCCCGACCTTTCGTCAAAGGCCCGTTATCGCATAAGCACTTGCTTTAAACCGTAAGCCAAAGCATCTTGGTATCGAAAAAAGCTCAGTTTCCCTTACACCACAGCAGACAAGAGTGAAGAGATTTTGTTTTTCTTTTTTTTTGGTGGCTCTGTATATCCCGGAAAACAAAAAAAAAAAAACTGGTGTATACGAGACAAGAGCGCCAGCTACCCTGCTTTGACCGCAGTGTACGTACATAGTGTTGTGCGTACAATGCCCACTTTGTACTTGCACATGCAGCCCTCCTGGCGCGCGGTGTTGCCGGCCTGATCTCATCTGATCTGATCTTTAGATCTGATCTCCTCGATGAAACGTGAGAGCTTAGCCTGCTCCCAAACCCCATCCCATCCGAAAGGGCAACAGAAGGGAGGGTCAATCTTCAGCCCTCCAAAGGCATGTCTCTGTTATGCCGAGCGGCCAGTAAGGATGGCCATGGCCTCCTATGTACACTATAAGTAGGAACAGCACGCTTCATGGTCGTTGTGCGCTTGGCATCCACCAAGCTGAGTCCAGCTTTCTATTTCTGTATACCTACTCACTTGAACAGTATCTTGTATCTGCTGTTGAGAATCAGCAAACATGCTGAGGAAGCTAAAAAAGGAGCCACAGAGCCCCAGGCACAGTCTTTCTGCTGCAGGATGCACGTACTTGCTTTGCTATGCTTTACTACTACATTTCCCCGACGTTACAGGTGGTCTCCCTTCTCTGCATGCCTACCACACAGTATGTGCTCTTCCACTGTAGACATCCGGATTGCTCTGTGGTTGGCCGGCAGGAATCAACACGGTCTCGTAGAACACGTCCCAGCCGTCCTCTTCTTCTCGTGGAAGTTGTGGGATCCTGATAAGAGTGACACACAAGCACACACAAGAAGCACAGTGGGCAAACAGTCCCGTCAACAGGTTTCGTTTCATTTACTTTTCCCTTTTTTTTAAAAAAAAGTCGGGCTTTAGTTCTATGCCCACGTGCTTGTTAACAGGCAGGCAATCCTGTACAGGACAAACTCATGGCTGGTAGCTGGTTACTATTCCTTTTAAAGAGATCTATGTTTCCTGGGTGCGTCTATAGTTCGGAAAAAAAAAAAAAAAAAACTTCGGATACCGATTACCGAAGTACATAGGTAAGGAGGTCCCTGGTGGGGGCGAACTCAGCTGGGATGTGGAAATCTCGAGGAGGGTACAAACGAAGCCTTAAATCTCAAAGGCAAAAAAAAAAAAAAAAAAAAAAAAAAAAAGAAATGGGAATCTGATCAAACTCTGGTCAAATTAGGCCTCACATCCACTGGCAGCATTTTGCCGTTATCCAGGTTAAGAACTCGCTCCACATGCTCTGATGACCGGCTTCTTCTGTAAAAACATGGTTGGAATGCTTTCCCATCCCCAATTTCCTTGCTCCTCAAGATACTCTCGTCTTCATACACAGTAGTGCAGTTAGTGTTAGTACGTGATATCGGCTTCACTAGCTTGTATAGCTAAACTAGTCTCTGGCAAAAGAAATTGCTTCAACCTAACTGACTCCCCAGAGTTTGCAAATTGACCGACAATATTCTTTCACCTTTCACCGTGACAACGCCAAGATCCACAACGTGAAACTCAGCGAGCAACTGCTGCAGTGCTAGTCTGTACTTCGTGATCTCCATAACTGTGTTTGCCTGTTTCGTCTGTAGCATTGACCAATGAGAAGCATCCAAGCATCCTGTGCACAAACCGATGGGTGCATTCTCCAGGGACATATCCGATCCCGTCTCAAGATGCTGGAGCTACGTGCTCCTCTTGTGTGATAGCGTCGCTCAGCGAGACCGCAGCATTGAGTGACAACTCATGCCCTCGCCATCTAGCCATGCATGCCCAGCGCTTGTTGGATTCTCACCCATTAGTTGCATGAGCCGCAAGAACGGCATTTTGATTCCTTTCCGTCTTGGGCTTAACCCCCCCATCTGGCAGAACACTATCACGCCCATATTCGGATGTCTGGATGGACACAGCTTGTAGTCATCTTCCATTGGACCCCAACAGCATCTACCGTTTTGCAGATGCTGCTTTTTTGCTTGCCTGCCCTTTCTCACTCACACACACTCTCTCTATTTCATCCTCTCACCAGGCTACATACTAAGTAGTCATCCGGCCGTCAGCACGTCATTCACTCAGTCCTGACCGCGCAGGCACCCGCTCCGGAAGATCCGTAAGAGGATCTGATCTGGTTGTTGGATGGTGGGCCAAACCTGTTGCTTCAGCAGGGCGCTATGCCAAAGGAAGCAAGGCCTCAGAGGCAGGCCCAACAGCCCACATTTCTCAGCCAGGTGTCGGATATTGTCGCACGTTAGTCATAAATTACTTGACCCTGGACCAAGGATTCGGGTGCGTGTATGTGTCGGGCGAATAGAGCAACACCGGATGTATGCAGTAGGTGTCTCTCTGACAGCCAGCTAGAGGACGGCGTAAGGTCATGGTCGTACACACATGCTTTTTGTGTCCGGTGACTTAAGAGTTCTCGTCCTTTTCGTGTGTGCCGTGCATCCGTGTGTCCGTGTTACCAACGGGTTGTTTCAGGCAAGGTGCGAATGGAGACATATGTGATCTTGGGCTCTAATCGAGAGACTGGTGCTGGGGGGGTTTGTATCTAATATATACGGTAGAGTCTTAGAAGCTCTGCCATGGATTCTATGTTTACACGGCACGCAGGATATGTATTGAGTTCACTGAACTCTCCCTCCTTGGAATCATTCATTTCAAATAGTGTGAGTTCATAACTGATGTGTCTATGGAGGTGAAGGGTGGTGTGTGTGTGTGACACGGCCTAACCTCGGAGACGACGGGGTCTTCATACCTCTTTATGTGGCTGTGAGTTTGTCATATATAGCGACAAACTGGAATTTGAATTCCATGTAGCACGTTACTTGAAAGTTCTACTGCAGATTTCTATCGACCACAGACTCTCCCCCCCCCGGCCCTTTACAGAAAAGGTTCAGAAACAGGTAAGAGGCTGGCAAGCTTCTAGGATGATGAAACTCTGGAACGCGACTACCTATATTTTGTGATTCTTTTTCATCAGGCTGTCAAGAAAAACATTACAGCAGGAACCGCCAAACTCTGACACATTTGACACATTATACAAGGGTGTACTCAAAGATGGCTTCTCGAAGGACTTTTATGCTCCGCCTCTTGCCCGTCAGGCCACCTCTCAGCAGCCTGTTCACCAAGCAGGAAAAAAAAGTTCATACGCATGATGAGGTGTGTATAGCATAAGCAGTTCCCACGGTGATCAAGGTTTCCGTGCTCACAGATGAATAATAGCAATAAGCACGGCGATCATATGTGCCACACCTGACAGCTGACCCCCGATAGGTAGCTATGTAGTGTGCGTGTTGCCTTGAGCAACCACACCATTTATCCCGATGTTCTTTCCTAGTTCCTTCTTGTATCTGATGTTACACATTACAGTAATGCTCAGCTCAGAATTTGACGAACTGTGATATGGAAGTTCTGGGTGTAGAGTATGTAACTTCCTTTATCCTACCTTACCCCCGTGCTTCTTTTTTGTTTTATTCTTTTACTTTTTTTAATTCTTTTTCATTTCATATTATTTATTCTGTTAAGTTTCTCTTATGCTACCTTGCTATTCTTGCATTTTTTTTCTTCAAGTCCTCCCTCGTACAACCGGTTTTGTACTGAGCTGAGCTTTATATCATGCTAAAGGAAGTAGTTCACCTAGACCACACAGATTGCACTGGCATAGAGTCTGAGCACGTGTTGATAGAGTCCGGGCTGTTCAGCTACCAAGATCACCTTGATAAGCAGGAAATCCAAAAAAAAAAAAAAGATTCCAAAAAAAAAAAAAGCTTAACCTCGCTTAGAATTGACGGAAGCCTATCAACCTCCCTGCCAAAGCCCATCAACCTCTCTGCCAAACCCGAGCCCATATCCTAGTCTGTTGCCCCAGTCCTAGCCATGTTGAATATCACCTACCATGCGTACATCTAAGCCCACGAAGCATAAAGTTAAAACATGAATGTGTCATGGAAAGCCAATTACTATGTCATGAAAGCGGACGCTCCTCCCCAAAACCCCCACCCCCTCCCCCCTCCCTTTTTACGACACAATCTCCTTCAGTCTTGGTATACCCAAGCCCTCCTCCTCAAACCTTTAAATCAACCACCTCGGAGCTCACATTTCCTAACCCTCTAATTCCGCCAACAACACCCTCCTCACCCCCCGCAAATACCCTCTTCCACGCTATAACCAAGTTCACCACCAGGGCTACCATCAAGGCCCCACTGACCACCAAAGGCCCAACCACAAAATCAAAATCTCTACCACTTCTCATAATAATCATCTCCCGCCTCTTCTCTAACACCCAATAACTCCATCCGGCGGCAAAAGCCGCCACGCCCAAGAACGCGACGCCCATCGCCTGAGTGAGCAAGTCGCCCTTGCCGCCGTGTTGGGCCCCGCCGGCCGAGTACAAGCTGACTGCCAAACCGCCCAGCAGCACGCTGATGTGGGCCCACTTGAGGAAGGTTCGCTCGTTGGCGAGCCATACCTTGGGCTCGATCTGCAAGGGGCCGGAGTTCTTGAGCCATTCCTCCGGCTCGGTGACGCCGGGGGGCAGGGGCAAAGAGGCGAGGGAAGCGCGGCGACGGGACTCGGCTTGCGATTGGGGAGGGCCACCGGCGGATTGGGAGATTCGGCGGAAGCGGGAATATTTAGTGAGGGATGTGAAGGAGGGGAAGAGGGTGCCGTAGTTGAGAAGAGTGTTTCCCTGGCGTCGTTGACGCTTGGACTGGGTCTGGGTCAGGGGCTGGTCCTCGGTAGGCTCGCCCTCCTCTTCTTCCTGTTCCTCAGCGCGACCAGGTCCAGCACCGGTCATGCTGTTGGAAAGGAAGGTGGCCGATGGGGGAGTCTTGGGAGTAGATTCAGCAGCTAGGCGCCCCTCGAGATAGGACTTAGCGACAGGCGAACTGCGAGAGAGCCTGCGGGCAGCGGCAGATGCAGAAGTAGCAGCAGCGATCTTGCCGCCTAGCAAGCTGCCGACAGCCTGCTCGTTTTCGGCCTGACGAGCGCGGCGCTCTTCTTCCTCTTCAAAGGCGACCTGGGGATCTTTACGGATGTCGGTGTCAAGGTCACTCAGCCAAAACGGTAGGCGATTGACGTAGTCCTCGAACAGCGAAGCGGTGCCGTGGACAAACTTGGAGAAGCGCGGGCACGGGTGAACCAGGTGCGAATGCATCAGGTCCTGGACCCATGCAATTCGCCGGTTGCCACGCCCGGCGTCTTCACGCAGCTTGATCTCAAGCACGGCGTAGGGAAAGTGGGACACCTCGCTCTGGTTGATGTTGTGGAAGGGGTAGGTCATGTTGGCGTTGTCGATGTCCAGGCGATGCCACTCGCGCGGGTTGCGGCACGGGCGGTCGCGATCCAGAGTGTCCTCGCGGATGAAGACGATGTCGGTGTCGATCAGAATGCGGACACGGTCGTCACCCGGCTTCTGGAAGGCCGTTCGCACATAGTTGGCACGCACGACCGGTTCCAGCTTGTTCTCGCGGACAAACTCGCTGATGGCATCGGCAGTGGATCGGAAGGCGGCAATCTCTTCGGGCGACCGACCCTGTCGCTCCATTTTCTGGATCGACTTTTCCATGTGGTACTCGCCGTCCAGAAACGGTTTGACGTACTTCTCCTTGATGGCAAAGCGGCGCTCTTCGCTGGTGCCGTTAGCGTGCAGCAGTTTGTGCTCGAGCACGATCTCGGGCCGGTCGCGCAACTGGCCATACCAGCGCAGACGCAGCGAAGACACGTCCGTTTCGCGCTCGACCTTGCGCGAGTATAGGTCGAACTTGTGGTTGTCGAAGTAGAGCGAGGTGATGCGTGGGTCCTCCTGCTGCACCTCGACGTCCTTAACCGATTTGTCGCTGTACACCAGCGCGGGCAGCTGGCGCAGGATGTAGGTCTTGAGCTCGAGAAGGTTGTCGGGATGGACCCAAAACTTGTGGGCAGTGTAGCGCTCGCCATTGTGTGTCTCGGACTGGCTGTCCGGGTCGGCCGGAGGGAAGGACTCGGGCCCGGCGCTGGGCTCGTCCTCGAGCTGCTGGCGGATGGCAAAGTACATGAGTGACAGCTTGGTCAGCAGCGGTGAGTAGGCTTGTTCTGAGTTGAAGGGCCGCTTGGCCAGGCTGAGCTGCATCAGCGGACGGATCTTGTAGCGGTCGCCGCGTTTCCGGTCGTGCTTCTTGACGATCTTGAGGAAGCCGGTGTAGTTGAGGCTGCTGTACTTCTTGAGCTCCTTGACCTCGTTGGTGATGCTATCGAGCTCTGCCTCTAGGTCACGCAGACGCTGTATCTCTGCATCGCTCTTCTTTCGCGGCTTGGGTGCTTCTTCTTCTGCTTCCCCCTCATCTCTGCCCTTTCCCTTGTCCCTGCCCCCACCCTCTTCTTCTCCCTCTCCTTCTCTATCTCTCTGTTCCTTATGATGTTTTTCTGTCTCAGCGCCCCCGCCGCGGGAACTCGGCAGCTCCTTGAGGCGGGCAAAAGCGTCATCGACGCGGCGGCGTAGATCCTCGACCTTGTCGGCTTGGAACTTGGCGACCTTTTCGAGCTGGATGTTGAAGACCTCGTCGCAGAAGCGGTTCTCGTCGTCCTCGGTCCACGGCTCATCCTCGTCGTCGGGGCGGTCCTCGCGCAGGATGCTCTTGAGAAGGGCATAGTCTATGTACTGGTCCTTCCATGGCCCGTACATGGACTGCTTCAGCGTCTTCCCGAAGCGCATCTTGGCGGTTACTGTATGTCTCGTATGCTATATACCGTCTAATCGATAAGGATTATGATAGAAGAAAGCATAAAGATGGGAAACTTGATCTGTAATTGAACGGCAGATGGGAGACAAGAGATGGTGAAGGGTGACGAGCTCCCGTAGTTGTTGTTGTTGTTGCTGCTGCTGCTGCTGCTGCTGCTGCTGCTGCTGCTGCTGTTATTGTTGTTGTTGTTGTTGTTGTTGTTGTTGTTGTTGTTGGAGGAGGAG